ATGTGAAATGGTCCGGTGTTTCGTGAGGAATCGTGAGTGCATTCGATGTGCAAATCCGTTTAACGAACATTCTCCACTGGCTTCATCCCTCGTAAAACAACATTAGACTCATCACCATACGTTGGTTTATTCGTGGCACATTTGATGGAAACACACCCTAGTTAAATATGGAATCTCTATTGGAAACACAAAGCGCCAAAAAAGAATTAACAATATTCGGTATAATTATCTCTCTTCGTTCTAATATGAGTTTCTACGTCCGTACGCAACTATTCGTACGAGGACGTATATATATAATTGATGTATATAATGAAGATGTACCTAGGAAGGTTGCATACCTCGTACACGTATGTAGAAGCGTATACACGTGTGAACCGAGTGAAGGGAGGCAGACGAGCGTACTGTGCGTACGCCGAGGACTGTTTGTTCAGCCGCAACTTCTCTAAATCTTTTGTGCGCCAGAGGGTTGCGCTTGTCTCGTCCGCGGTTACATATGTGGCCAAGTAGGTACATACCTATATGCGTACGCACCCCGTATGCTCCATGTTTACGCGAGATAGAAGACTGGCTAACCAGTAGTATATTACCTATACGATGGTAAGGATGTTTTTGTCTATAATACAGTGACAGTTAAAGAAAGAGATCTTTGCCGTAATTAGATTCCAAAGGATGAAAGGAAAAGTAGACCGAATATAAGTAAAACCTAATCGAATAATTTTTTCTCATCAGGGACGAAGCAACTGGATTATCAATGTTCTTGATGACGTCTAAGCCTCATCACCTCGTCACCTCGTCAGGATAGTTTAGCCTCCATTTCGTTTAGTCGGAACACAGATCGACTGTCTAAAAGACACGAAGCAACGGCCAAGACAAACCTTAAATGCTTGCTAACCAAACAGTCGGAATTAGCCCTGGGTACCCAGCCTACCAAAACTAAAGCTTTCACCGTTTACAGCTCACTATGGCCATTATCTATTATAGGTGACGATCTTCATGACATTTACAACTTCCTGACCTGTGATCTAGGCGGATCAATGGCTGATTGAGATCCTGTAACGCGGAGGCGCTTTTTCGTCTTTATATGGCGGATCATCAAGCTGCAGAAGATCCTGAGGACATTGGACGATACGAAACGTCTGGATCCCGGTTGGCAGCCGATTTATTTCTTTAACCAGACAATGAGGAAGGAAATGCGGCTGATACGTTTTCAAGAAAAATAAACCGACACGCCTTGTCGGTGAGTACGAGCGGGTGTCGCCTTAGAGTAGCGTTTGTTTTTGTCTGGATCGAATCGAGACGAGCGACTTGCGTTCTATGTCGACTCGACGACTATTTCGCTTCTACTATTCGAGGCGCATGTCCGTTACGTTATAGTTGTATATACACGAAATGTTGCCCATTGCGCATACGCAGCTAGAGGATTGTGGAGTTTATACTGCGCGTGGAAGATGGTGCCTTGGGGGATGGTTTGATAACGTAGATATTTTTCATAAAATTTAAATCGGCACGGTGAATGTAACGTCATTTTGAAGGAAAGATGTCTCGCAGTGTTTGTGATTGCAATATTCATCTGGATAATCTTATGAATTTCGTGTTATCGGTGTATGTCTTGATCTTGGAGTTTAGAATACGATTAAAAGAAAAATATTATTTTTAATCTCGAGATAGGATCCTGTAGAAATGTTACTGAGAATCACGTGAGAATAATGCAGAGGAACAATATGATTGGTGCAGTTATGAAATATTTCAAGAAAAATATCTACGTTTTATTAAATAATCTCTGACTAATACATACAGCTGTATCATCTATTAGTAAAGAAATCAATAACGTTCATAAGGCTATAGGATCCGATCGTTTATACTATTCTCCTGGTTATAAAAATGTCGAGGTTTTAAATAACCAGAACTGTCAGTCTACTATGGCGCCTGACGCCTGTAAAAAATGTTTGAAAAGTTGAACGAATTCTTGACAGCATACTTCCATCCAGTAATAGTACACTCATATGCCAGTTTGAATGGCTATCTCGGAAACCATCGTTTATCCAAAAATTCAACACAGAAAAAAACGAGAACCACGCGTAAAACACTCAACGCCTTCAAAAGAGAATAAACCAGCTAACGAACGATTCCATATAGATATATAAGATCCAAAGGAGTAAACATGTTTATGGGAAAATAATGAAGCCGAGTATTGGTCCCGGAGTATCTTAATCGAAAACTCACCCCATTGACAAGGGTGCTAGTAACGTTAGCGCTGAAATCGACGCAACCCTATCTGTTCAGAGCCAACCACAGAATATCGCAGCACATCCAGATAATCCAGCACAGTCCCCATTGATATGCTGATGGGAGGACTTGTCGCGTGAAATTGCCACCCGGTATATACATTGTTCGTTCGATTTTCCGGTAGCAAAGCATCCCCCCGTTTGAATCGTATCGTCGGCTGGCAGGTTTCGGCTGGGCGACTGAGCTAATGCGTGATTGTGGCTGCTACACGAATTCATAATGGACGACGGCATCGGGCAGAAAAAATTGAAAGGAAGTCGTTGACGTTACGCAGGAAGGATTGTATCCTTGAAAATGTATAATTTTAGTCTGGTCAGTAACGCTCGAGGACAGGAGGCGCATAACGTGTTCGCCAAGTTGAAGATGACGCCTACGTTTTACTTGACTTCCTCCATCTTTTCCGATACGTAGAAGAGGCTCAGGAAAAGAGCGAGAGATAGAGAGAGAAAGATGGAGCCTTGGTGCACTTGAAGCGCAACAGACCTGCAACGCTGTTTGTTATCTTTATGCCACGTATCCGATGCTCATCATATACCGGGACTTGCTGTGTACGCGTGGAAGCTAAAGCGTAAACGCACGTTACGTCGCTTAAGACAGGACGCAGGCTGCCTGGGAATCGCGAAAATTTAGGATGCTCTTCTTACCATAAATTGAAGCTGAGTCATTTATAAGAAATTTTGAATATTTCACTGGATCCGGAAAAAATATTATAGAGATTGCAAGGTGAAGGGGTTCTAAGATAGATACCATTTTGAATAGTCCTTTTTTCATGTGGGACCTTGATTCGAGCAACGGATTCTTATTTAAAAGTATAAAATTTCTATAGTATACCATAAGTGTGCCTAGCACACTTGATCCTTGTGTTAGTATGAAAAAATAAAATAGAAAATACCCATAAGGTTCATGACGTAGATGTCAATAATTGATGTACCTAAAAAATACAGAAGTAAAAATGATACTCTATGGGGTATACACGACTTTTATGTATATTCTCAGTGATATTACAAAAACACCATATTCCTTTTCTCATCTATATTATCGTATTTGACTACCGTACGGTAGTCGTCAGAATAGTAAAGACATTTTGTATGTAAAAAGTAAAATAATAGATACAAGTATTGGTTCGTTCTACGAGGCCCTCATCACGAAATCGCTAGTTTATTGTTTCTAGGCGAAAAAGTATACAGGGTCTACATTCGTTGCATAGGGTAGGTCAAGAAGCGCGCGCGTTTATTTTAAAAGGTTTCAAAATTTCCTAAACATTTCTGCAAGCCTCTTTAAAAAAATCTACGGAGTCGCGCGGCTCCCTTTTGGTTCGTCTTATGACGTCGGGTTTCGACCGTGCAAAAGGGAAAAAAAATAAACTTAACACAACCCTCGGGAACGCTAAGGGACTTTGTCTCGCAATCAACTGTGCTTCCAGTTACAAGGAATCCCATTCGCTGAATACGATTCTTCGGTTACAACACATTTACAGTCTTTCCTTATAACGCAAGGGTATCCTTGAGGAGGTCCTTTAGCTAGCAAGATGCAAATTGACTCCGATCGAAACGACTTAAGCTTGCCTAATGAATTTACTCGACATAGGTCCTTAGTGCTTTCGCAAGGAAGAACACGGATAGATACATAAGACCTGAGGGTGGATTATTGAACGATGGTAAAAAGGTCAATTCGGAAAGGACTTACTTGTCCGGAAGGACATGGGGAGGTTTAATTTAGAGGATAAATTAAGGTAAAAAATTAGTATGGTAGGGATGTAGGCGACGACGAATTTGTGTTAGTATTCCTTGTACCAAATACCTATTTCTGCAAATTTTTTTTATAAGTAGGTTTACGAAGAGGATTATAAATAGCACGAGTCCTCCGCTGGAGGGAATAATGAATCTAGATAGAATAAAAGCAAAAGGCAATTAAACTTTCGCTGAAACTTCAAAAGGATTGGCTGGTGGCCTCCGGGCGACGGCACCTGCACCCTCAGGACGGCCAATGGAAACATCGAGACGCGCCTGTCGTTTCATTTAAATGAAAATTAGGATACTCCTCTTGCGCCAATTATCGATTTCCAACCGACAAGAGCGGAGAAGGTAGTAACTTCTCTCGGAACTGTTCGATTCGCAACTGTCTGCTTTTCTTTCTTTTATTCGAGTCGCGTGCAGGTGAGATAGCTATACATGTAGAAAAGGCCAGTAGCCGCGAGGTGGAAAACGAAAGCTGGACGTTCACGAAGGGGTGAAGGAGGATCTGGATGCGAGGGTTGAAGGGATACTACGGTGACGGGGTCTCCGAGGACCAAAGTTTCCAAGATGGTCGTCGAGGTGTCCTCGAGTGTTTTCCCAAGCCGGGAGTCGAACCCTTGGAAAAACAGACGACAAATTGAATCCCCCGCGTATAAGAACACTCTTGACTCTTGGCGCTTCGCGGGTTACAGGAGTTTCATTTTAGGATTACTCAGTCAGAGCGAATCCTCCGTTAAGAATACATAAAAAGAGAATACCTATATTAGCAATCATATGTCCCTAAAGCAATAAATGGTATCCTTAAAGCTTCGTTAATTTGTAGCAAATAAAAAACTAGGAAATTACAGTTACAGAGCTTTTGGAGTAATCTGTTAGTCAACATCCCAATGCGGTTCCAAATAGTTTAAGATATGTACAACAAGGTGGAGTCGATGAGGAAAATTTAAGAAATGATTTTAAAAAAGCCGAAAGGTGAAGTTATGCGGAAATTTTGCTTGTCTGAAGTTGGTAACGGAGTTGTCTTCCAGGGGAATCGCACGGTCGCGCGGTTCCCGGGCGTGTCTGCTGGCAGGGGTGGCACGGAGTTGGCAGTACGAGAAAGGAGGCGTTTCCTTCCCCGGACAATTCCCTTGGGTATACCGCTCAGATTGGTTAGAACCGACGAAGGCGTTTTCAAACTGCGTTAACAACCAATCTGCGTGCACCACCCCACCAAGCTCTATGAATTTTTCCAATTTTTCGTGCACGCGGCTGAGATGCTCGCGCAGCCGTTCGCGGCGGCACTCCGCTCTCGGCGAGACAAGCCCCAGTGTGTTTTTACTCGGGGCTGAGTAAACGAGCGGCTGTTGTGTATCATAATACCGCGAGACGGGTTAGTACCGTGGACCGGGCCTCGCGTTGCACCAGTATCTACGGCTAAGTCACGAAGCCGCTATCAGCGCGTGAAACCCTGGCACTGGCCTTCTCTCTCTCGGTCCGCCTAAGACAACATCGCTAAAAAATCCGGTGGCGGCATCCAAAGAGACCGAAGGGGCTGATGACAAGAGGGTGTGTACGGTGGTGTCTCGTGATTGCCTGAGAGAGAACGAGGGATATATATACATTGTTAGATACGTTGAAGAGATACAAGAATATCAAATATATAGGCATATTATTACATATAGAAAGCAAAAGAGATTACCTGAGCGCGTGCGTGTTATTGCGTGGAACGAGAGAAATTCATCAGGAGAGAGAAAGAGAGAGAAAGAGTGAGGCAGAGTGTCTCTCATCTCTTTTATCATCTGTGCGCGTGTGTATCTGTGGCATCAACGTCATCGGTAGACGTTATTGTTTAGTGTGATAACAGGTATCGCTATTTGTTACTAAACATCCTGGTTCATCCATCTCATATATTGTACCACGATTGGAAGACTATAAAGCGATACTGTCAGGTTCATGCTGATTTATTCCTGTTGGGTGTATTCATCATCTGCGACATCTTGGTGGATCAGATATCAGAATATTGGAGCGTTACCAAACGGCAGCCAACGATATACCAGTTGGGGTAATGCCAAAGTGACCACTGGAGCAATCGTCCGAGACCGAATCATCAAACTCTCGTCTAGAAGAGCACGAGGATGCACACTCTCTTCAGCGAGCAGAACGCGTACTACCGTCACGCGACGGGAGTACCCGTAGGTATGGGAACCCCCTCGTATCCAGGAGTGACTGGTGCTCCAGGTTATTATGAACAGTATCGTTACGGGACTTATGCTACTGCTGGATATCCCGTAGCTGGTATAGCACAGCAGCATATACACCATCCTGGAAAGGATATGGTAAAACCGCCATATTCGTACATCGCTTTGATAGCCATGGCTATACAAAATGCACCAGATAAGAAAATCACTCTTAATGGTATCTATCAGTTCATCATGGAACGGTTTCCTTATTACCGTGAGAACAAGCAAGGCTGGCAGAACTCCATCAGACATAATCTGAGCCTCAATGAGTGTTTCGTCAAAGTACCTAGAGATGATAAAAAACCTGGTAAGGGAAGTTACTGGTCCCTGGATCCGGATAGTTACAACATGTTTGACAATGGTTCTTACCTGCGGAGGAGACGACGCTTCAAGAAGAAGGATGCTTTAAAAGAAAAAGAGGAAGCCCTAAAGCGTCAGGGTCTGTCGAATGAGAAGCGTCCTGATGACGCTAAGGCGACGGTCCTGCAAGCGACGGACGCCTCGAAGAAGCTCGTCGGTGGTTTGGAGTGCAAACCCAAGAGAGAACCCAGCAGCGATCCCAACACGACGCACTGCATGGCAGCAGCCGTCGGGAAGTATTCCCACAGTCCTATACAAGAAGGGAAGACGAGTGTAATTCAAAGCGCCTTGGGACATCAGAGTCATCCTAATCACCAGGTACATCAGACTCATCAGGTGCACCAGGATGTAGCAATGAGTGACGTAGGCATGACTCTCGATCCGAGTACCTTCAGCGTGGACGCACTGATGACATCGAGGGAGAATGGTTCCCTGATGACGTCGCGAGATCCTCACTCTCATCCTCATCCTCATCCGCACGCGATCCAGCATCCTCATCCACATTCTCATGCGCACTCCCACACTCTCATGAGTACGAGCAGAGATGTCATGAGTACGGGAACCAGGGATCTATCCTCATCCTCGACGACGACTACCACGACGACCTCAGCCGCGGCTGCGGCCGCCGCAGCCGCTGCAGCCATGATGGCTTCCGGCTATGGACATGGGACTCCATCCAGGTCTAACTCGTCACCTCCTGGTAGCATGTATACACCGTATTGTCCATCCGCTGCCGCTGCCGCTGCTGCTGGATACATAATGGACCCTGCGGAATACAATACGAATACAAACGCCAGAAATCATAACGCGGGACACGCGCAATGGTACCAGGAAGCCTCCAGTCCAGACACCGCAGCAATTTACCAAGAGACCCAATCACCCAGCTGTCAACTGTACAGGTCAGTTACAAAATACTCGATGTGTCGTACTTTCTTAGTCCTCAGATCTTATTTATTTTTATATTTCTAAAATATTTAAAAAATATATTTAAAATAATACCTACAGATGGACAACCTCCGAATTCTCAATAACACGTTTTTCAGATCAAGCCCACCGACGCCATTATCATCGGGAGCGGCACCATCGCCACCTCTGTATCATAGATATTATCAAGACTGCAACGCTGTGAACACCAGTGGCAATCTACCAATCACGCTGCATAAGTACTGAGAGTACGGATCTTCAAGATCGCACGATCTTGATGAAAATACGGATTATGGTGATGGATCTTCGGTATACGTGAAGCAGGAGTGGACAACTGGCACGGATGATCTTCCGAAGGATTGGCACTAGGCGTGAGCTCAGGAAGATCTGTGAACACAGAATAGGGTGTTTGTGATGAACGTGTAAAAAAATTATATAAAACGGTTGGGAAATATGGCGAAAAAGGATTATGAAAGATAACAAATTATGGATATTCTCAAGTTCATGCAGTCTGCCGAATCCCAGTGATATATCGAGTGTTTGATGTGTCGGGTGTCCTTCGTTTCTCAAACACTCCTCCTCCGCCACCCTTCGTCAGCATTGTTAAAGAACGCAGCTAAGACAAAAGGACTTAATTGAATCGGAGCAGGCACGCGTGTTCCGCCTAATTGGATCGACTAGGTAAACACTCGCTAATGAAAAATAAGTATCGAACGCGTGAGTTGTTATCACCTGGCTAAACAAACTGACTGACCTGGGCCAATTGACTCAATTTCGCGCAGCACCCACGTCTCTCACGTTATTTCTTCTTCGTCTCTTTGCATTCCAACATTTATTAGTCTTGCATCTTTTATACACTTGGACGATATCTTTGTTACGAATTCTATTTATAATTTCACTGTATTTTTTCAATTATTCTTTTTTTTCTGTATTCACGTAAGTCACAGGCCATGCAATTTCTTATCACTTTAACGATTTCTCTTATTATCAGATCTTTTTTATGTCCCTCATTCGTTTTCTGTGTGCATCGGTTGCAACTGTGCAAACCGACGGTGCGATGCATGCCGACGCTCGAAAACAACCGGCGCGTTTCTATTTGCTGAACGTCTGTCGCGAGTACGTCAGCATCGCCGATGAAATTGACGGTAATGACGATTGAGTCGTGGACGATAATAATGCAAAAAAGAAAGAAGAAGAAAAACAGGTGGGTGAGGTCGAGGGTCACTCAAAAATATATGACGAAGGAAGAGGAGGAGTACGTGAGAAGGAAACCGCGTAATCGCGTAAAACTAATCGCTTTAATTACTGCTAAGACTAATGACTCGCGCGTGATTGGTAGGTGATAGACGACCAAGTGTAAGGGTCGAAACCGATACGTGACGCAGTAGCTCCTTGTACGCGACAGTCTAACGCAAATGACAATCCTCAAGGTGATCTTCATGGATGCTGCATGCGTTAGGTGGTCGTCGTCGTGGTTCGGTGCATTTATCATAAGGTCATTCCTGTACTCGAGGTTTGAGTGCCCGGCGTATCGGTATCCTGATCGCCACATGGGCTGAGATATATATATTTATTAATAGTAAATATGTGAATACAGTTAATAGCTAGAAACACTCGTGTAATAGGTAGATATTATTGCGTGTATATTATCAAGAGTATAGAGTATATAGAGATACAATCTATATATATAGAAATAAATATATCATGTATATCTCGCCAATCGTGGGATACCGATCGTATTGATATTATAGGATACGTCGTAAAAATGCGATAAGATATCCAAAATAAATATTATAAATCCTCAAATTAACTAGAACACGTATTGTTACCTTTCATCAAATATCCTCAGGAAGCAGTAAATTGTCCCAAGAAGAATTTCAATGATTACGTCATCAGGATCTTCACCAGGAATTCCACCGAAGTATCTACTCTGAAATGCCAGTTGGTATACACGCGAAGAAGCGGGTCTTCGTCGTTGTGTAAATTTGGTTTTCTGGGAAAGCAGGGTACCACCGCACGACTGGCATGCTCACCGCGGGAAAGCCTAGAAAAACGAAGGAAATAAAGGAGACGAGCTACGAATAGCCAGTGCTGATGGTGGTGGCAGTGGTTCCTGCTCTTCTCCGATGAGTACCAATAGCTGGTATATAGGAAGCGCTGGTGGAGGGACTCGTCGAACATGAAATAAGAGGAAGACTTAGCTCTAGGTGTAGGTGTACCTAATGAGAGCGGTGTTTAACATAACTCAAGCGAGAAACGCGAAACGTACGCTGCCCGTCTCATGGTATTTGGAAGTGGGGTGATAAGTTAGCTGGATGTTTTAAACAAGATGGCAACTATATCACTTGCCCGCCGGGATTTATGAGCAAACATCGGGAGATACATTGATTATACTTCCGACGATGCCCTGCCATCGTTCCCTTGAATCAGTGGCTCTTTATTCATAGATGAAAAAAAAAAATCGGAAAAAATTATTTTAAAAAGTATCAAGACCTCCCATAGCAATGAGCTGAATTGAATTCTTTAAACCAGTAAGACATCCTTAAATTCTAGATTTAAACTCTGTAGTATATGGATTTGGATTAACTGGGAATGAAACGTAACGGCAAAATGGCCAATGGGTATGGAGTTTAGTTGAAATAATCAAAGTTGCTTTTTGGGGTTGGTCTACGTCCTTAGCCTGAGGCAAGGTTTAACCGCATCTGCTGGAACACGTGCTCCGGATAAAACCGGGCTTAAGCTTCGCCAAAGGACAATCCGTTACTTTGATGAAGAATCGAATGCACGGCGCGTACACGAGTCTCATTCAACGGTTGCAAATTCGTAGAGGCATTAAGGTATATAAAAGAAAAATATATATATATGGACGCGATGACATTTCAGTTACTAAAGTAAAATTAGTACCAAGGTATATAACTGAATCGTATCGCGGTATTTACCGAGTATTAATGGCTTAGACAGGGAGAATACTAGGTTATGTACTTACTATAGGGTGTCGAGAAGTGGCAAAGGGTGCAGAAGTCATCCTCCATCCGTTCTACAGCAAACACTCGAGTTATCCTTTTGGATGCGTTCAGCAAACACTAGGCAGGTCGGACTATAACTCAGACAGGTCGCCGATGTGGTTTCACCTTTTGGATTTTCCTTCCGGAAATTCATAGCGACCGTAATCCATAAGAATATTGAGAATGACAGGATTTTTGTAAAATCCTTTGAAGTTCTTAAATCTTAATACCATTTAAGTACCAGGCAGTTCTGATATATACATATATAGAAAGTGTTCTGGAATTACGATATTAAAAAGATCGCCAATTGCACAACGTCCTATCGAGTTTGTAGAGCTGTATAAACTTCTATTTGCGTTAAGGTCTGTTTAGAACGTACGACTTTAACTGCCATCCGCTTCTCGGAGAGGGCGACATAACGTTCAGACATGAATTTACCGAAGAGGAAGTAAGAAGGCCAGTTTTGGATGATACACTCGCTGTAAAACCAGCGTTGTTAATATCTGTTTGATCCGAAATCCACGGGTGGCAAGTTTTCCAGGCCATTGCCGATCTCCCAGTAATTATTGATGTATCGTAGACGTATTTAGGTATCACTAGTTAAAAGCCTTAGTAGCAGAAGACAGAAGAAGTAGGAGGATCCGTATCCCGTTGAGCCATAAAGCGGAGTTCCCACGTGGGTAGTACGTACGTAAACAGGGCGTTACGATAACCGGCCACTATTTCGGTTTCGGCAGTCTGAAGAGTAGTTTTTCGGCGGCAGTTTTTACGTGTAACCGCTGCGGCGTATTAGCGGTGCGTGCAATCAATTTAAAAAAACCCTGGGCCCCGGGGCTTAGTCAAACAAACATTCGACGCTGCACAGTGGATAGATAGGAGAAACACGCCACCGCGCGCCACAACGCCCAAGAACACAGTATACATATTTTCATGTTCTATGGTGGTCGCGACGTACACTCAGTGTCCCCTGGCGTAAGATAATCATATCATTTTTCTCTTTGTATCTCTAGAATCTATTATATCTATGGCGGTCTACTTGCTACCTCGGTAAGCGACAACTGACAGCTGTCTTAAAAAATTCACCCAACATCCAGCCAAGCCCAGGGCAATGGGTGAACCCGCGGCCAAACTTTACTAAGCAACGACGTCTGCTCGATTCCACGAACAGAGTCGTCTCTCGGCCAGGGATAGGACGACAGGTGTGTTTATTCCCAGGGACCCCCGGCGAAACGTGGAACAGAAATCGTACAGCACCTAACCTAACCTTCTACCGGAGCATCCTCCTACTACTCCTCCTACTGCTGCTAAATGGCAGTGGCTAAAATCATCAAGTTGTCTACCACTAGGTAGATACATATATGCTTTCGTAACTTATAGTCCTTGGCGTTAGGTTAAGTTATTCCAGACATTTATGTTGGTGATACTCGGTGGAATTGAGTACTGAAAATGTTAGACTGGCAAAATGGCGACAGTGTCTACTTGTATCGGCGGATTGACTTGTAAATCTCATAAGGCTTTTTATCTCCACATCGAGAGCTAAAACAAAATTAAGTTACACGCAGTGGAGAATCAGAGAGAGAGAGGAAGAGAAAGAGGGCAAAGGCCTCTCATAGTGGCAGGGTAAAAGAGGGAACACGGTATTCGGTTAATCCAAAATAAACTAAACAGTCACTGCGTTGAAAATGCAAATGTCATTATGACATTAAATGCTAAATTGGTTGTGCAAACATTCATTTCTCGTAATAATGTAGTAATTTATCGTGCGCTCTCGGATTCGTGCGTCTATATGTATACTCCATGTGAGAGACTGAGAGAGAAACAAGTTGCAGTGCGGTAAATTTCGGTAGGTGCCGAACAATATGCAGTACTGGTCAGCACGAATGCACCGGATAGATTTAACAACTGTTATATATTGTATGATCTCATTCAGCACTAATTGGTAATATTGCACAGCCAGAAAATATACGATATCGAATTCGTGAAAACTCGAATAAAAAGTACTACTACGATTATTTCAATTTCTCACACAATTCTAAAATTGTTTTGAATTTCAATTTCCCTGTTAAAATTGTTATAACATGATAGTACCAGATTTGCGAACGGGTAGATCCACATGGAGCATCAATATGACTATCTCCCTCTTACACACTTAGTTATCAATAAGTTTGTCTCTTTCGCACTCATGTTAGATATAAGAAATCTTAAAAGGATTAGACAGTCATTGTCTAGTAAATACCACTTGAATTTGGATAATTGGTGAAAGTCACGCAATTCAAGGCGGTTGCACGATCCACCAAGGATTATCAAAGAATTATTTGATTATAGTTTCCACAATATCGTGAAATGGTGCTTCATCAAATGTGATCGTATACAACTGTCAGATATGACTGATACATTCGAACTGAACATCTCTGTACAACTCATCGGAATTTACGGCAATTTCGTGTTTAATTGATACGAGACAACGTGATATCAGTACACAGTTTGACCGTATATTGTATTTATATATCTATCTAACCAAAGCCTGAAGCAAAACGGACGCGTGGCGCGTTATCAGCCTCCAGGTAATAAAAATCATGATATAAATTGATTGAAAGCTATAGAGTACTCAGGAAAAAAGATTTTATAACGAATTTGAATGTGGTACTCGGAACATGTAAAAATATTACTAAAGAAGATGGTACACCCATCTACTATAGCAAAAGATCTCGGCCACCCGCAACGTGGAACTTCCCGTTTTTGGGGGTCACCAGCCGACTAGAGGCTGTTTACAGAATTACGAATGATAATGTAAGCATTTTCACGCTCTCACACTGTACGCCGCGTGTGGGTGAACCACGGCGGACGACCACGTTCCCGGGGCTAATTTTAGGGTGTTCAACCCCCGTTTACGGAGGCACATATGCCTACGGCCCGACACTGTCGCTGTTTACACCAACTCGTCCCCGCCAGCCTGACACTGAACGCTATTAAACGCCTAAATGGGCTTTCTTCTAGGAATCATTTGTCTCCCTATGGGCCAAACGCTTTCTTGCGCGTATCTAGTTGGCTCAATGGCAGTGCAATGCAGTATGGAACAAACAAATAGATGTCGCGTGGCCCGGAATACCTACTGGAAAAATAGAAGAAAACAAAATCAACCCCTGACAACACACCGTATAATGATACATCTAATAAGATCTACCTACGCGGTGGTATTTCTATAATGGAGAAGAAAAAAAAAACTCGACCACAGGTAAACTATTCTATTGTATCCATTCACGAATGCACAATTGCATTCAAATGCATCCGCCACGTGCACAATGCCGGCCTTTCCAAATAGCATTAAGTCGATCCTAGGAGCCAGTCAAGCGCGTGATTCCTCCTGTCGCATGGCTTTCCCTCTACGTTACTAGTACCTAATATAGCCCTTAAGCTACCTTTAAAATGGCGCTTTACGCGTTATGGGAGCCTGACACAATACAATGCTGCTATTGTTTATGTTGCATATAGGTATACCACGACGCCGATACGAAAAAAATGCACCCTTGTATTTTGATCTTGCGTTTTGGAACTGGCAGCAGTATCTTCTTCACAGTAAATTGGAAATCAGCACGAAGTTGCGCAAGGACGATAAAGAATTGAACTTTTTGAAGAACAAAAAGATGAACAATCTCCAACAGAAAAAGGCTGATGGATTTCATGGTAAATCAAACCTCTTTGTACCGAGTAGGTATACCTTACGCAGGACTATTGTGTATGGTTACCTCCTGTGGTGTCACGCCAGAATACCGTAACTCGCTTTTTTCTATAAGTCTCAAAATGGTATTACACAACATAATAGCTCAATCGGGGCGGCGTTAACACGCTCCGCCCCAATTCTTACATGAGAATCAATGAAAAGACGCTTTTATAAATAGGTAGCCAAATAATTGTACGCATCTCTGGATACGTTGCATCTTGGCCCAGTGAATATCCAACGAATATAATTTTTTTTTAATTCTAAAACTAAAAGGAAATTTAATGAACTCTTTATAGTGATAGCTGAAGTCTCTAAAACTCACGAATCTTCAACTCAAGCATATTTCCTAGAGCAGCGAACATGTGTATATGCGAAAAATTCTGTATGTATAGTTATAGTATAAATTATATATGTACTATATTTTCTCTAGCAACGATTTGATAGTATTACGAGAGATTGGAGAAACCGATTAAGATCCCAGCATGGCATTAGCGAGCGTAGTCTCGCGGTTATACGCTAGAGTCTCAAAATTCAGTAAGCTCTATAGAGTAACATCCACCATAGTCATCTTGCCCTACTAGACAGTAGTTGAGAACGAAGTGGTGATTTAATATTTTTCCTGTTATGAGTGTAAGCTCGCTGGTTTGTTCTGAAAACAGCGCCGGCTGCCGCAGTTCATCCCCATGAAGCCACCTGCATATCCAGGACCGCCATTACTGCCGATATTCTAGATCTTACTTACTCAGTGGCTTATCCACCTCTATTATCCTAAACCATTACACTCTGATATCCAGCAGCTTTCTTAAAAGTTTTTGCCATAGATAAGTATATACTAAAGTAATAATAGAGTGACTCGATACAATATAAAGAGGATTATTAAATTTAAGGATCTAAATATCGCTGATAGAATTCATTATCGATAATGATATATACACTATAAGTAATGCTTAATAATTATAATCTATTTTAATATGTAGGCCTAGGTTCACCCAACCATTCCAGGATTCCCGTGGGAGACGAGGTCACGAAATTTTTACTATGGAGAAGAATTAGGTACGCGCATAGAGACTCAACCGACTATTCTACTGCTTCATGATTATTTCGAGAAGGCAAGGCGCCGCGACGCGTCCGCGTCTCTGATGGATGCCGCTAACGAGCGTACTCGACGATTGACAAAATATTCTCAGTCCGTGACACTACGGTATATCTGGCTCTAAGCCCTAGGTGACTGTCGTGCTTCCAGATCACCCATGCCAAAGGACGGTTAACCTTTCGCAAGAGATACTGACTTAGAGCCAATAGTTGATGATCATCAGGAACCTCCACGTAAAGCCTTGAGGATGCTATTATATGTACGCTCTTGGTTAGATAATCCCGAAGGATCTAAATGGGTGCTGCTGCCTTCTAGGAAGTAAAAAAGCATTTCCTCTCCGGTCGACTCGGTAACGTTCTTCCTCCTGAGTACAGTTGCACTGTCTCTCCTCAGCAGACTTCACTTTTTATTCTTCCGCCTTTAAACATTCCCCTAGGAACTATCAGTTGCATTATCTTCTCTTCGTCTGGTGCATGCACCAGGACCATCGTGGTTAATGACTAAGCACTAGGGTGTACGACCCTATCAGTCTTGTTCTGGGTGCATAATTTGTTATGGCATCTTGTTGATCCTGGCAGGGATTTCTGTTGATGCAACTCAATGTCTCATGGCTGGGCTTCTTGACTATCAGGAATGCAATTGTACTCATTTCCAAGAACCACGAAGTGAATGCGAAGTTGCTAGCTACGTAGATGTTCAGACTTTCTAGAAATGAAGAAACTGGTTAAAGAATTATGAAGAAAAAAAAAATCTTCGAACAGTGCAAATTATCAACTACGTACAGTCGAATGATTTCGCACGGTGCTTGGGCCAGGTCAGTAATGTTGCTCTATACGTAAAGTGGTGGACGAGCGTGAGGCTCGTCCGGGTAATTAAGACAAAGATTTGTTTATAGTAGGTTAGAGCGAGCCGTTCCATCCACTTCCAACACATGAGCTCATGCCTTGAACAGTGTGCGGTCTTCGTGCTTGTACCAACGTGGAGGCATGTAAACGTTTATGACGTGCAGTGGGTGGTCGTTAAAAGTCCTGTAGGATGAGTTCAGCTACTGGACATATATGAAGCCGGATTCCATTGAGGGTACGTATGATTTTTTGTAAAGAATCACACCATATATCTTGTATGACGTATAACACTGAAATGAAACAGAATGATAAGGTGAGAGGATACGAAATGTTTAGAAAGATAAAAATTAGAAGAACAAAAGCGAAGAGAAGAAGGAAAGGACCAAGACACATAGGGCTCATCTTGCGACGTTCAAAGCGTTGGTAATGGGGCTTGAAAGCACGAGGGTTACTTGTCCTCTTCTTGCTTGGTGAATAAGAAAAAGGCCGGCCAGAGGGGAAAGAGAGAAAAAAGAATCAAGAGAAACTCAAGACACCCTCATTCGTCTTCAGAAGCGTTCAACCGTTTGATCGCAAATGGTTGAGGGATACTGTGGTGAGGATGCAGGAAATCGGCCGAAGCGAACGAGCTACATCTTCCTCAGGGAGCAGTAGGCCGACAAAACATTTGAGACTGAGTTAGATATAGAGTTTGTAATATCAAAACAGTTTAGAATCTGCTTGTACATATTCTACGTATAAGGAATATGGCTCTGCGTGTACGATGATAACTTCGAATCGTGCTTCTCGACTAACGGTTTGCTTGACCTGAAAAAATAAGCAGGGCTCTTGAGCTTTATTCTAAATTTAACGAAGATTAGGAAAGTCGTATTGGTAAGGGTGAGAGAGAGAGAGAGAGAGAGAGAGAGAGAGAGAGAGAGAGAGAGAGAGAAGGTATGTATACGTGAAGTTGATAGGATAGAGGTGGTGGAAAACTGAGAGAAAAATTGTGAGGGCGTTCTGTGCCTTTCCGCTCGTCGTTAGCACCCCCCCGACAATTTGCTTCGATGAGTAAAACAGACCTCTGAGAAGCATTAGCGCGAGAAACCACCCTCCAAGTTAACGTAACGCTCAACTACCCCCATGTAGGTGGACTGACTCTGAAGGACCGACTTTTGAAAGTCAGCCCTCGTTAAAGAGGGTAGACCTGTCGACGCCGATGGTATACGCCCTTCGAGACACGAAGATGTACTGCTTCTTTACGTGACATGGTGGACGTCCTGAGAGCTCACGTGATTGTCAGCTTCCTGACCGATCGGCATCTTAGAAAGGGATTCCAGGAAGAGGTAGGGATACAGTTTCAGATTTTTGATCGATTTGAAACACGCGTGACGAGGAATTCTTGAATTCGTACAAGGATCTATATAACATTGTAAACTACCCCTTTCATATTTTAGGACGCCTCCTCATTGCTCCCTTGGGTGCACCGTGATTCATACAGAAGAGATTTGATATAAAGAAGGAGAAGAAGCAATATTAAAAAAAGAAGACAAGGAACAAGAAAAAGGTACTAAAAGAGTAAGAATCCCAAGGGAGTTGCGTGCTCCTGAATGACGCAGCAACTCGCCAACCTTAAGAAGCCTCTAATACGCCTCTAAAAATGACCAGAGGGATTCTTTCGTTTCCATTGAGCGACGCCTCGAGTCACTCCGCGGTTCATTCATTCGTTGTGAGCTTCTCGTGGAACAGGCCGAAGTCCGACTCGAGTGGAGTGAAGAGGAGTGTGAAGTGGACCGGATGGAATTTCGTTTCTGACAGGCCGTCTCTGCTTTTCGTGACTCGCGATTGCGCAAAATGTACGCACGATACGATTTTCAACTGTTAGATACACCCTGTGGAGAAGCAGTCAAAGAATTTTTCTTTTTCCTCGGCAGAGAGAAAGGGATTCGATGATGTGGATGGAACTAGGAAGACGAGTGGATTATTAGGCAGAAGAAGAGGCAACTTCTGCAACAGTGATGACGGTGGTCCACCGTCGAGGATACCCGAAGTAATATGAGCAGAGTCTCGCAAAACATCGGCTGTCGCTCACAGCGTGAAACATCCTGCGGCTAAAACCCAGAACCCACTCGAGTAAACCAGGAATTCCTTCGAAGTTCCCAAATGCTCGGTTATATCCACACTCCTCATCAATATTTGGCCTCTTCGTGGATTCGAGTGCCACGTCATTTGAAGTTTTACCATCGCCGCCACAGACATGTCGATCCGGTTAGAAAGAAGTGTCTACTGTACTCGATGACTTTTCGAATTCAAGCCTCGGGAATCCTACCGAAGGGTCAGACAGCTTGGCACCTTCCAAGACATCGTAAGATCGGACAAGTGTGCTTTTACGAGTTAAAGTTAGACGAGTAGAAGAGAGAGAGAGAGAGAGAGATGAGCGACCGCCGATTTGCTAGCTATTTGTTTATCTTGATTTTATATAAACGCTAGAATAAAGTAGAGATAGCATAAATGAATGGACTATAGATGTAAGAATTGAAAGAGTTTGATAACGAAAGAAAGAGAAGAAAATAGTGAAAATTGAAGAGAAAAAAAAAGTGTTCCTCCGGGACAATTTAAACTCGTAACAAAAAGAAGAAGAAAAATATTTTAAAGTGGAAACTCAATTTTGACTCCAATCTTCTGCGCATGTGCATCCCGGAATTCATGGAAATCGCAATGACGACATAGAGTTGCACGCTGCGATGCTGTAGAATGGAAGAAAATAAATGGAGGAAAAGGAATAAGAGCTCGCAACAGACTCATGTTGATTTTGGCTCCTGGCCGCGTTTCGGTAGGACGGTTAGAAATATCGGGTGCTGAAATAATTTGACAAAACCGCGCAATTCTTCGGCGTTGCAACCGATCGGTCTTATCTTTTAAAAGTCCTTCGACTTCTTTCCCCCTGCCGTAGTATCCCAATTGGCTGACTTTCTCCTCGAGCAGAGTGCCGTTCACGATAGAGCCAGAATAGTCTGGGGAAAATCACCGATTTGACTCCACGAACAAACCAATAAATCTCACAGGTCGAAAGAGCAATATATCTACTCGTGAGAGAAGCAGAGTACGGGGGAGAGCGAGATAGATCCAGAAGAGGATACATATACAGTTAGATATAAGACTAACGTAAGAGGTAGAAAGAGGGAAAGAGAAACTCTAGGTGGGTGATATATTTTAAGCGCGAGCCGCGTGCGCCGTGTCGTCTCCTGCGGCACGCCCCAAAATTCAAGAAACGCCAAAAAATCTCACTTAAGCTCACCGTCTCTTTAACACGAGTCATACCGTACTCTAAAAATACACCGTTGTATCAAGCTATTTAGAAATTGCAGTGTATGGCATTGCGAGGTGTCCAATGTTTGTGATTTTATTTAATGAACTTTGATTGCTACCTGCCTATTGAAAATAATGTGTGCGTATAAGCTAAGAGATAAGTAGTAAGGATAAGGTGTGCATGTACATTGATGGTGATGGAGAATGAAAGGAAATAAAGAAAGAAAAAAACGCGGCTGGCAAGTAGCTCTCGTGGGACGTGGGAAAACGCGTAGGCGAGAGAGCGACTCGATGCCCAGGACTATTCACCTGTCAACTATCCCCTTATTCTCGAGGGTGGCGAGGTCACCGCCTCGCGTTGCTCGCCTACCAAAACATCTTCGACGTCGTTCTATTTGATTCTATTCTTCTGCGTGAAACAGCTTAATATAATCCTATTTAAAGAGGTGCCATTGTGCACGGCAGGAACGTGACCAATATTATTTACTCGTTTATTAGAAGTCGCTGACTATACCGGATTCCGAGGCCTGCGGTTACTGTCCCAGAAATTTGCATGTGGCACATTGTACCATCTTCAGCTGAAAAAAGAAATAAGTTATAATAGTAAATTGAAGAGTCACAAAAAATCTTACATAGATACATGTATTACCTTGGATAGGAAAACTTTGGCAAACTTATAAAGAATTCACCCTCGAATCAAGAATTTTATTGCTCCAATGAACCGTGAATTGTCCTATCGTAAATCTTGCATGAGTTTCATCCCTCAGGTTTGAGATAAGAGTAGAAAGATACCTGAAGGTATGTAGCTACTTAACGAGTCGATTGATAAAGAATCGTCTTCAATGGGGATTTTGGTATCGGTCCGAATTTACACTTCATGGGTAAGGCCAGCTTTGCTGTGTTAGATGGGCCAACATAAGCAAACCACTTGAAGCAAGACACATGTGGCCAACAATGGTCCAGGAGGGTACATGTGTAGCGTAAGATAAGGACCGGAAGCGGATGCCGGGATATAAAGACAAAGGTCCCAAGACGCGGCTTACGACCGAGGAACAAAGGCCCGATAATTTCTCGTCCTTTACTTCGGCAGACCACAGCTTCTCCTTGTTCTTTCACGTTTCTTCTTTCTTCCTATTCTCTCACTATTTTCTTGTTTTACATTTTTTCACGCCATTTCTGTTCATCGATGTAAAAGGAAAATCGACCCCGTCCATCGTATATCGAACGATCGGTGGCGTAGCCACCTAGCGGAAGTTCAAGGAAACGTATACTGAATAAATACTCCTTACGTAACCCACTATACTATACTATGTCACTCAAGATCTAAAGCAGGAAAAGGATGGACCACCTTCTTACTAAGGCACTCTTCTAGAAAACATGTCAGTACTTGATCAGGCAGTTCTAACCAAGTCTGAGAATCTGACAGGGTCTGGATCCCTATACCCCACTGAGATCTAGAGTTACATTGGTCATCGGAGCCGAGTACATGCGTAGGTGTATAAAGATACCATTGTGCTATCGTTACGATCACTTGGTGCAAGATCAGCCAAAGTCAGTCTGGATTTTCTAGAATTTCCTTCTTAGTTCGACCATGTACCAACTGCCTTAAATACTACAATAGTAAAATATCTATACCAGTACAGGCGTTATAGTTACTTCCTGAAGGAAAGCGTGCCCGTTCCTTGTGAACGGCTCATTATCGGCTTCCAGGATTTAAGCTAGGACTTTTAGTCCCAGGATGGATTAAGTGCTGACGGTCAGGACCGTGAAAATAAGGTGACTCGGTGAGCATCCCCATGGCTCGTTTAAGAGATTAACACCAGAGGTGGCATCGTGTCAAAACATGGGACAGTCCTGGCTGACAGTGGCTTGACTTTCGCAAAAGAATGGCGACGGTTGAAGTGAATATCACGAAGGAGAATGAAAGATGGCGGGGCTCGACCTGTATGAAACGGTAGCTAAAAAGATGTATATTCAACGTAACATGTAATTACGTAGGCGTGTCCATTTAATGGAAACGTGTAGGAGCTGCGAGGACATGATGGCGTCGCGCATGGCCGGCACTCCATTGACTACAAAGCCTTCCTCGAATATTTTTATACGCTCTCCTTTCCCTTCTGAATGTACTCCACCCATGAACTTGCTACCTTTATGTACCATATATATACATATATACTCGTTCAGCTCTCTACACAAGTTCTGTCAGCCCTGTCAGGCTACCGAGTACATATAGTTATACACGCGTGTAGTCAGGCAACTGACAGCTCTATCAACTTCTTTCTGACTCTTGTACGTGCTAGTATCTATAGATATATATCGCTACATAGAGATATGTACTCATGTATGCCATAATCATTACTCTCGTTAGTGTCAAACCAATCAAACCGCCATATTTCTCACTTGTTACCTAAACAAGCATATCCACATCGAGATATCAGCTAGTATTGCTTTTTAAGGTTTGAATTTCGCGCTATATAAGGATTTACCATCTGGGAGTGAAAGTATAAGTACCAGTAGGGAAACGCAAAAGAAGGAAGTAGAATTTTGGCTTTCGTCACGCCGTTAATTAGTCGAACCGAGACTCAGCAGGGGTTGGTCACTGCTACGACGACTTATACCGACCCTCCCTTATTTTTCAAGAGTGCCACGCTGTCTGCCACGAACATTTTTACAGAGACATTGCTACCGTGTGCCACAGACTCTTTTCACGCTGGTCATAGTATAGGCATTTCTCTGTACTCTACTTCCGTGTGTATCCAGTACACGTATTGATACAGACACCGGTGCATGTATATATGTATCGATGTGTTAGAGTCCTCCCTAACCTAAAACAGCACTGTTTTCTCAGCTACGGGCTCCGATATTAGCGGCTTTCTGTTTTTCTAAGCAGCGGGCTACTTCCTTATTACCCTTGTGGAGACACTTTTGGTGCCACGCTGTCTGGGAGAATTGAATTCTGCTTGGCTATTAGACTTCTTCCATGAAGTCTCAAGATCCACAGGGATCCTTACGTTAGTAACTATCAGAAATATTCACATATTGATAATTTGTTGAAAACCTGTGGGTCATAAATAAATAATATTATGTAATAATTAATAACGCAAAAAGCACTACCGAAGAAGAAGGGCTCGATTAGTTCACCAGTACGGATAAAAAGTATGAGAAGGTTGCTCGAGGAGTGTATAAAAGAAGATATCAAGGTAAGGGTAAGTTTCTTTGTTTTGTATAAAAACAGCCGTGGGATGACGAACCATAGCATCAAACCAAATTTAATTGAGTACGGACTTACGTGCTTGGATCCTAAGTAGATACGCTCTTGAATATGGCAACCATTGATTATCTTTTCGTTCCGATACTTATCTTAATTTAAGAATAAAAAACGCTGAACAAATCAATAAAGTTCCCCTTCCGATTATCATCAAGTCATTATCGTCAGCACGTTCCATATTGCTATATCTATCCAGGAATTCGCATGGGACAGATGGATCTAAGGTATTAGAATATTAAGACATAAATCAACTGGTAATTAGAATTAGCGACGACTTCTCGCTAAACGGTCGCTTACATTTATCCGTTCGCGCGTCTTTGATGAGTTTTCCCAAGAACGAGTCACGGGTTGCATTCGGGTATTCGGCATTCGCCAAGGTTTACGCATATCCGTTGTCGCTCCCCTTTGATGTCACTATCGACTCTCTGGCTGCGCTTCGACGACCCTCGCTTCCCTCCACTCTTCCTTCCTCCCTTTCACACCGCTCTGAAACGCCGCACTTCCTCTACTATGAGTGCAAAAGCTCACGCCTGCAGTTCCTGCTGCAGTACTGCAAAAGAACTCAAGATCACTCAACGTCAATCCAAAGTCTACATGCAGCAACGGACTTCAAGAGTAATTTAGAGCAATATACTAAATTCTAATACAGTTTATGTATTCTTCTCTTTCCTTACCCCTTTTCCATTTAACTCTCATTGACCCATCTACTTTTTCTTAGTATCTCTCTCTCTCTCTCTCTTTCTCTCTCCTTTCCTCTAGCAAGGATTTCCTGGTATATCGGATTAACTGGTGGCGCCATTCGGTTGGGATTTAATCTTCAAGGATTTCACCAGGTTAATCTAGGAAAGGTAGAATTAGCAAGTCGTAGCCGTTGACATTTTCTCACCTAGTGACCACTGTGCACTTCTTGACGTTTCCAATCTTATATCCGAGCTGTGAAGGTTCACGCACGTAAGGATGGAAGTACGTACAACCAGGTCTTCGGAGGGACTCGGGAAAAAATTCTGCATGCGTTTTAAGTCCTTCCAGATGTCGGTGACTGTTGAAGATGCGCTGTCCGTTCAGGTAAGTCGGTACTAAGCCGAAACAAATGTGCTTCCAGTAGAATGTTGTGGTCTGATGATTAAGAAAAATTACAATAAGTATTATTCTTTGTTAAATAACCCACTTAACTCGTAAAGTATTCTGTACCTTCAACATACTGACACTCTCGTCACACATTGCCGCGAAGAAATATAAAATCAACTCACGCAGTCCGCTTCTAATAATCTGAAGTGTTCGTGTACAAATCTCGAGGGTTTTTGTAAAGTATCTATAAACTCATTTGACGGGTAGAAAGCGATGCCATCCATTTACAAAGAACGTGTCCTGTATACGCATAAATTTTCGATTTTACTGCCAGCTATGTTAATTGTGCCGACATTTTAAGCACTTGATTATTTTTCGTCGATCATTATTTCACTAAGAGAATCACCTTGCCGACAGGCGATGGTTCTCTTCTTTAAAAGGGTCTGTAAGTTTTAGGGTCTCTGGCTCTTTTGCTCATAACAGTGAAAGTACTCTGGCACCAGGAAAAGGTGTATATTTTTCGAGATCTTGATCTCAATAAGGATAATTATCTTGAGTTTCTTTGAAAAATATAAAAACGCAACGTGCACGACCGATGGCCGACACAGATGTGCGCTCAGTGGAAAACAAGTGGAACGTGCTGATATCAAGCTACCTGTTATACCATGGCTATACAGGGAAGCCAATATTGATTCAGAAAATATACGAAATCTGCAGGCGTATAGGTCGGGACAAGGGAGTGAAACAATGTTTTTATTTAGTCTAGGATAAAGCGTTTAAGTATCCAGCAAAGAGAGCCAAGTCTCGCCGTATAGCTTCTTGGACTTGTACAACTGGACATGATATACATAATATAACACAGGGATGGAGTTTGTACAACGACAATGTGTGGTTTACTATGTAAACTAAAAAAGATGACAATCCAATCAAGATTTTATAGTTGTGATCTTTCAATACCTAATGTAATTATTTCTTGTAAATAATAGTTCAATAAATACCGATTGAATAATCGCATTATAAGGAAAAGTATTGTTCTACTTAACAAGTGTTTTTTATTGCGGTTCAGCGGCGATATAACCCAAGGCATTTCTTTGAGTCCATAAAAACTTTTAATATTTCAAACGATTTATCTATATGGATAATTTTCATTAAAAAAAAATATATTTTTATCCATCAGCTACGTTCAGGCATATTCATATTATAAGAGCTGATAAAATATTCTATATTATTTATTTTTAATTCTTCCAAAAAAAATACCAATCTGCATATTTCGTCTTAATTTTATTTTATGATAAAAACTGATAACAAAAAGAAAACTGATACCAATATTCTGTTTGCTAGCGGCCTCGGTTGGCTTTTCTCACGAAACGTAACGAAGAGCCAGTAGGTAAATCTCAGACGTCGGTAAGGAAGTCTCGGGACCCTACGGAGAGTAACTTAGCGACTGAGTCCTTAATTTTTGTAACTGTAGCAGTGCACTATTTTATCTGAAATAGTTCATAAAAAATATTACCGACTTCCATTCAATTATCTACACACGATACAACCATATGATGTCAAGATATATTGACATTTCATAGTTCAGTTTCTGATCCCTTGGGTCTTATTCAATTTTGCCATACGAGATAATGAACAAATTGGTTTCAATTCTGAATAACAAATGCACGCGATCGTATCATGATTTCATTAATAAAATAAAATGTTGTAATCCACCGTGACACATGATTCCTGATCTATCCTAGGTTTACGTGTGATAGAACACGTTGCTTTGCCATAAAATGAGAGATGAAACGCAAAGATAAACCGTGGACGCCACACTGTATATTTTCGCACAAGCGTGTAGACCTGATCTCAGATAATCGACCACTTGCTACTATACGACTGTAAATCTGTGAATTTGTCCGTGTAAACATCAAAAGCATAAAAAGAATTAAGACCACACGCAATTCCATACATTCAATGCTAATACTGACAATTCTGTAGAAACAACTAACAACAATGAAATCTTTAGGCTACGCATTCAACAGTACAAATATCGAAAATTTTGTCTTGAATTCTACTAACCTCGTTCTTCGCAAATCATCTTTATCGTCCTTGCAAAATGATGTGTATGATTTCCATGTCAATTCTATGTATCGCATCCTTAAGTATTATATCTCAAAGGATGAGAATTCCCTGCTATCAACTTCCCTTTGGACAGTCCAAGCAGATGGTTCGCGTCCGAAGTCTCGTAACGATACTTCGTCTTGTAAACAATGGCACAATGGGGAACGTATTGTCCGCTAGATAGCACTGATGCGACGTCGTTACAGTGTGGCGTCGAGGACGATATATATTCGTCGATCGTTCCAGAGGAAAGAGTTAAGATTTATAACTTCCGGTCTGCTACACCAGCTTCGTGGAAGATGGCTCCTGCTACGGTCGGAATATGATCCGGAGGATACCAGTGAAAATCGTAAGCTAACATTAAACTACCCTCCGAACAACTTTTCAAAAGTAACACCTCTAGGAAGATACGAGTTGCACTACTGACTACTGACGAAATTTCTGATGCAATTCGTTCTGACGTCTGGGAGAGTTTTTATTTTTCATTGTTATTCGTTAAACTTATTAGACAACATTACGTGTCCTATACTGGTAAATGATAACAGTGCACAGAAGCTCACGGGTAGCATTCTATTCCGGTAGTCCGAAGCTTCTAACAAACGGTCGTTAATGCTTAACGACGCCGTTAAGTTGATCTGGCAAGATGGCCGCAGCTGCCCTCATCTACGGTTCATGACGTTCCAGTTCGGAACGAAGCTGCCAATATCTCGTGAAATGCCTCGTCACTTCGCCGATTGTTTGATTCACTATAACAATATCATGGGTATGTTCTTTCTGACTACGTTTATGATATCAGTAAATATATTTACTATTTTAATTGCATATTACGTGCATGCAACCATTCATTTAAATTTATGTACTTGCAAGAAAGTTTCAAAAAGAAAGATCTCTGTACGAAATAGTATGCGAATTTGTGGAAAATTCCTGCATGGAAAGACACGACGGAGAAAAAATCCATTATGCGATATCGAATGGAAAAAATAGGAATAGAGTAACCAATGGTAGTGACGAAACCGCAAGGAGTTTATAAAAGTGTAGAAACGCACTAGCAAGCTGAATAGACCGAACGATACAGACGAACAGCTACACCTAAACGGCTAAACCAAACGGAAACGTAGTAAGCTAAGGTCGGTGGGAATGGTTTAAACATTGCGGTCCTGCTAAGTAAATTGTTTGGCTCCTCTATACTCGTCGCATTCGTATAAAATTACGATGAAGCAGGCATAGCAGTGAATGAGGTCGATGCGTTCGCAACCCTTCAAAGTGGCATAAGACTAAGTACCAACAATTATTCAGGTAAACGTATTTCTACGTAAACCATCATAAACTGGGTCAACTCCACTGTAAAGTAATACCATCAAATATCGGTACTCCTGGATTTCCTAATATTTACAAAGCAGAGAGATCAGAGTAAGTATGGTATCTAGTAGGGTTGTCCCTATCGTTTTCCCGAATTTACGTTCCCGGATCGTAGTTTTCTTTAAAATTTACATTCTCGCATGACTAACTTTACACGCATTTGGGAAGACGCATTTTCGAGTCCATAATCGAAAATCTGATTTTTCAGAGAAATGACAATTCGAGAATATGAATTTGAGGGAAAATTATAGGGCCCCGCTAGTAGTCATACAGTAGGTTATTTCTCTCAATATGTAAATTTAATTGCAAAGATTCCAGTTGCATGACATCGTTTCTACTCGAGGAACTCTTTCAGTGCAACCCCCTGCGGTAGTCAAAATCCAAACACTAAAACACCGGATTAAGTAGGGTACACCCGGTGCGTAAACAACGTGCTCGACGGGGGTCGCTGTTTGGAAGTCGAAATCTTCTCTCCTGACTTCTGTACCACTCTGTATGCAGGATCAAGTGTTATGGCATCAGCATTTGTCTACGGGAGTTGCATAGAGCTTTTGACTTTGGCTAATCTCAAAATTAGATAGTCTTTAAAATCTTCAATGTGACAGAATCAAATAGATTAAGAAATGGAAATCGCGCAATGGTACTTTTCAGTAGAAATAGGTGTTCATTCGAGGAACTTGCGAGCTTTCGAAATAGCCGCATGAGCGGATAAACAGGTCTTATTTTGAGAGCGGGTTCGGATCCGTTCACTGGTTGGCTCATTCGCTACGGCCGACATCTTGCGCAAAAGAAACACTGTCCAGACGTGTTCCTACATGCGTATGGACGCGGACAGCCAGGAATTGGGAGAATCGATGGCAGGAAGGAGCGTGTGATTCAAGAAATTCGTAGGAGGCCTTGTTTTACAATCCATAGAAAGATATTTTAGATACTGGAGCAAGCTCAGAGATTCAAGAAAACATATGAGTTTCTCTTTTGATATCTGTAATAAAAGATTATTTACTAAAGTTGTCTGAGAGATGAATCATCATAAAAGACAAAATTCTGATTGGTCGTTTCATCAAATTGCGCTGTCTGAAACGATGAAAGAAGTTTGACACATTCAATGTCTAGGATAACGATCGTGAAGCTTTTGTTTTGACTGGCCTTAAACGGTGTTCAAGGAAAACACTCTGACCATTTTCTCTGGTTCGTACCTACTTCCTTTGGAATAAGCCGTATTCGCTTCAAAACATTCCTAAACGGTGTTTTCACCAAACAATCGGCACTTTAGAAAGAGACTCGTATACTGTGGTATACGCACGTGGTCACCATTCCGCGTAGCACACTTTAGCTACTCCCCGATTGTCTCGTCTTCTCCCTCGGGACACTTTGAAATCCAATCCCCAGGAGTTAGCAACCTATAGGCACTCTTCAGGGCGGATCTTACCTGGTAACCTTTTTTCTACCTGTGCTTACAGAATCACGCCTGCCATTCATGAGACTCAACCCTGATGGTCCTGATTTCTGAACTCCTCCTCACCAAGAGTAAATATCTCTACAGGTATCCCATTCACGTGCATCGGTTTTCCTTCAGGATGTACGGACGTAGGTATGTAACATGCGTACGACAGCGGTATAAAATTACGGTATCGTGTAAACAGAGCATCTTGTCGGCGCGTGTGATGGCCGCCTGGGTGGCCGCCGTTCGCAGCGCAGCTTCACGTGCTTCCCAGAGGCACACAGCTTCAACTCTATCTTACTGGCTTGCGGTAGTCTTCTTGGCTTCTTGAACTTCCTTTATACCTTTTTAGATTTCATCCTGTAATTCAAATGGGTTGTGGACTACTCAATGTTACCAAAAATTGTGCACCGGGTACTTAACCCTCCTGGCGTCTGCATGAGCAGGGACAAGTTTGGGTTTTCATTTGACGAAGGATCCTGAAAAACCTCTGGTTCCGGTCTGCGGTTTTCAGGAAGACACGTGTAGCTTTTCGGGTGGTCCAGTAAGAGCTTTCTTTTTGAAGGGTTACTTATTTCAGGGTTCATCGTCTTTATAGTAAACTAATTTTTGGTTTTAGTGGTTCCTAGATTGGTCCTCGGATTCTGCCAAGATTAAAAAGGAGATTGACTAACTGGACATCATCATCTTTTCTGAGGAACATTACCCAAAGCTCAAAATAGGCTGCCAGCTATCTTCTTAGTCCTGATCCCTTCGTATTTTGGGATTGGTCCAGATACTTGAGGTTGTCGCACGAAACGTCACGAGAGCTCAGAAACTCTCGAGGCTGAGGAGGTAATGGTAAACAGCAGCCCTAATTTCTTTATCTCTGAAGGGTGGCCCCGATTTCGAGCCTCCACTTTCAACCCTTAAACTACGAGAGCTCCTACTGAGACTGTGTCCTCAATAAATTAACATGAGTGTCTCGTCCTGGGTAACCTATGACCACCATACGTGTAGATTCTTCCAAAAGAAAGTGTAGGTTCGTATGGCAATCATCCTCAAGGATATCCTTCCACTAACACCAGTCTCTGACTAGCAAATTGTTTCTTATGTCAGGACAGTCAAAATGTCAAGAAGGACAGGAGAAAATAGGAGAAAAGGAAGAAAGCTGAATCCTGCAGGCTACCAATGTGGACTCGTGAGGATCTGCTTGAGGAAGACACAGGCAAGATGGCCGTGTCGCGTCTCTTTCGTCACGTCGTTCGCTCCAAGGCAAACAAACTTCTTGAGAATTCATGGTCCCAAGAGGCAAGACTCGAGCCCCCACGGTCACCCCGTTGGGAAAGATGGTGACATTAAATTATCTACTTTTTTATAGATAAGGGTGTGCTTAGCAAAGGACAAAGCTTTGATTCCCTTGGAAGAATTTATAATTAATCAGCGTAATTTGATAACGATACTGTTATGCTAATGAGCTTAAAGAATATCGGACGATGACAGTGTGATTATTCTTTAGGAGTATCGACACATGATATCAGATCACGTACTAGAAGGAGTAAACATTTGAGCTGATAGATTCTTCTGCAGACTTGACGATGAACGAGTTCCAAACACAGGGATTGTCTTTTACAAATAATCAGACTCTAAATAAGGGCTTACAATTCAGAATATCTTATTTAGCATAATGGATATAACTTTTGATAACCTTCGCTCTTTAATATATTAAAATATTTTGTCGAGTCTATTTTATTCACTTTTGGGAGGAGCTTGTACCACGGACTCGTCTAAGATGATTCATTTTTAAGGGATGCTGAAAGAAAGGAAAAGGGTTGCGGATATGAAATAGACCCGTATTCTCCCCAGAAGGAGGTACCCTCGTAGGCGGAGCTCAACCCAAAGATCTCGTTGGCTCCATCCTGGACCAATCTCTCTTCAGGTTCTCTCCCTCGTGACTAATCTTAGCACCGATACTCAAGCCTATACCGATGCTCTTCATATTTTTCAATATATTGGTTACAATACCGTGCCTCGTAAGTACCTGCCCATAGGGCTCTTTAAATTGTCCAAAGTTTTTTGACACCCTATATGTAGCTGCCTTTGTCATATTACAATAGAAGACCTTCCGTTTCAACCTTACAGTTACGAGTCTGATTGTTTCATTGATCTGTACTGTACTATCTGCTTCTTCATAATTTGACTTCATTTTCAGAAAGAAACATTAATTGCTTTATCGATAAATTGGATGGTATTTGGATCCGTACACGTCAAAAACGTATTGTGCTACAATTAATATACAATGGAGGACAGTGCAATTCAGTAGATCGAGAGAGGTATAGCGCGATACATCGGTGTGAGATTAAAGGGGTCTCCGGATGGCTGTATATCGACTCGAAGCTCCTCCCATACGAGGTTCTAGAGTTCCATGATAGGGTAAAGCGCTCCGCCTCGCCACCACCTACGTCCACACACGGAGAGAGCATCGCGGAGTTAAGCTAAACTTTAGTAAAGCTGAAACACTTACGAGGCAGCCAGTCGCCTCTACGAACCCCGTCGCGTCGAACTTAAATAATTAACCCGAAGAAGATAGTGCAAACAATTTATCCAGTCGGTATATAAATAATTATAAACCATTGTCCGATTGTGCTTACAGTTTCAAATAAATGTTTGCCGCGCCGTAAATATTTCATGAGCATTTCGAGCTCCGTTATAGCTGAGCTATCGATCTCGTAATATTTAAAATCCGCGATATTCGAAGTTCTATTTTGTCTCTTGTTATAACATTCTGATGTAAAGAATAGCAGTTATTTTTATTTACAATTTTGTCAAAGTGTATCAATTTGGAACAGTGATAGAATCTAATAATGCTCTTGAATCGGTTATAAAAATTATCATTTGGAATACTCGTGTCAGCCAGTGAACATTTATTAATAAATATAACAAAGACCGGATACTAGCTTCAAGATTTTACTTCACGGTAGCTCGGTGATCATGAAGAACGAGGTGGAGGTGACGGCCAGTTTACAAATGCAGGAACAACAGCAACAACAGCCGCCGCCTCCTCCCTCAGGGCCGTCGCACCTACTTCCTCATTCTCATCAACATCCTCATTCTCATTCAACATCCGGAAGAAACAGCTCGGGTACCGGTGGTGGTGGTGGTGGCGGTGGGGGTGGTGGTGGTGGTGGTGGTGGTGGTGGTGGTAGTAGTAGTGGTGGTGGTGGAAATACAAGTGTAATCTCTTCAATACCACAGTCTCAAACTTTGGATCCACTAATGGTCAATTCCACCAGTGAAACTCCAAGGAAACCTGGTGCGCGACGTCAGGAAAAACCACCGTATTCGTACATCGCTCTAATCGTAATGGCGATTCAGTCTAGTCCCGGAAAGCGTTTAACACTCTCAGAAATTTACACGTTCCTCCAGCAGAGGTTCCCTTTCTTCAGAGGTGCTTATCAGGGTTGGAAGAATTCCGTAAGACACAACCTGAGCCTGAACGAGTGTTTTATTAAGCTTCCAAAAGGTCTGGGAAGACCTGGCAAAGGACATTATTGGACAATTGATCCAGCAAGTGAATTTATGTTTGAAGAAGGTAGCTTCCGCAGAAGACCTAGAGGATTTAGAAGAAAATGCCAAGCCTTGAAGCCTCAGTACTCTCAGTACTTCACCAGCGCTACACCGGTCGGTGTTGGCGTCGGGGTAGGAGTAGGCGTACAAGGTCCAGGATATGAAAATCTTGGTGGAGGTGTTGAGTATGCTAATGGGTATCAGAATCAGTATCAAAATTATCAGGATTACGCTATGTATGGTCCTAGTACGGGAATGACTGCGGATTGGGGATATGCTGAAACGCCATACAAAGCTCCATCAATTGCTGAAGTGACCTATAAGACTACTGAAGTCACTTATAAGACCGGAGAGAGTTCGCTATACCGTAACGGAGAAGTGCCACCAGCTTACAAAGCTGCCGGAGAGATCACGTTCAAGAATGAACCACCCTACAGAAACCCTGGTGAAACCTCGGTACCCTCATACAGAGTATCTGAAGGATTTCAGCCTTCCACCAAGGATCATCATCCAGGAATCAGCTACAAGCCTGAAAACGATCATGAGCCCATGATGAACAGCTATAAGGGAACTGGTTCGAATCCTCCAACACCGGTCAGTTCAACCCAACAGGATTATTACACGGGTTATGGTCTCCCTGCACCCGGAAACAACAATGGGAATGTTGTCAATGCCAATGCAAATGTTCAGCAAGCTAACAACATGCAGGGAATGCAATCGCAACCAGGTTCAGCCAGTCCAATAGGAAACATGAACTCGCCTCATAGTGGCTGCCATACACCAGTAACAGATCATGGTAAGTTTGTCATTTGTAAAATTTCACAGAGAACCACCTGTTGGCAAGCGGTTTTAAGTACCCATCTCCTTGAATATCCAACCTGGTGAACGGAAGAGATGTATATCATATAGGGCAGCAGGTTATCCCAAGGGAAAACTCGAAAAAAAATATGTTGAAAGGGTAGCGGTGGGTGGGCGTACACGACGCCTTGGAAAACGTGTTGACGTACAGGCTCAGAGACCTAGAAGGTCCACGAGACCTATAAGGACTCGTGACTGCACGAAGGGGCCATCTGGAAAATCAGAGACAGTTTACGAGCTTTTGGGCGCCGGTCCATGTAATACGAAACTGTCGACGACTTTTCTTCTTTATTTTTTTCAAAATTGTTTCCAACCCTATTCGTCAATATCGATTCACGTGCTAGCCAGCTGCGAAGATCTTGATACCTGCACCAGGTATACCATCATCCTTAATAAGTCTATATCTAACACTATAAATTACTCATCCTGTGTTTCCTTCGCAGATCATTTCTCCTGACCTTTCTCTAACATCTTCATCGTCTCGCAAGATGTCCAAACTTCCTGATCAAGAGCCTTAAACGATTTACTCGTTATCGCCTGCACTTAATGCTTTGGAAAGTCACGCGTCTGAGACCCGAACGCTTCCGTAGGTGCATTCAGGCAGTAGTTAAGACAGAATACCAAGTCACAGGCAGATGACAGGGCCTATTAGTCGAGGTGACACGACTGTCACGCCCAAGCCAGTCGTGAGGTCGTAAGTCGTAACTTAACACGTGTACCAGACCGTCCCGTACGACTACATACGTCCCATCCCATCCGCGTGAGATTAATTTAGCGTGAAGAACTGGAACGGGGCCTTTTAAAACGTTACAGAGCTATTAAACCGTTGTTACGCACGGAGTCACCCTCGTGATCTACGGGACGACCACGAATACACCCACGAAAGATCCCTTAACCTTTGAATTTTTCGCTCTCTAACGTATCATCAGCTAGATATGGACTGACCAAGGAAAATTTTACATGTGCATCAAAATCACGGTAATAATAATTAGCGGGTTAGGGTACCGATAACGAATCTGTTAAGACACCAGTGTAGAGAATACATCACTTTCTTTCCGACTTCTGTACTAAGTGCGATCTCAAACCGTTTATCGCCCAAATATTTACGAGCGTGATAAACATGATGTTCTTTAATCTACTACACCGAACGGAGAGTCGTAAAGGTTTCTTGGCTATTCATAAATTTTCAAAGAATTTTACGGTCCCGGTATACCAGACCGACAGGAACCTGTACCAGGTATCCTAGATCTATATTATATCGAGTAGATGATCAATGCTGAAGAATTGTTTAATTCTTGAGATTAATTATCCTCATTCAATAATCCTATTATGCTGCATGAATCAGAGGAATCCTTCAGCCGCCTTTTATATCATCACTGTACTCTCTTTATTCTTCGTTCTTCTTGGTTTCGAGGGGCGGTGTATTTCTGGCACGATGCCTCTGTAATACTGCGTGATCCCGATTCGTATTCGTGCAGAACCAGCGGTTCCATGGTTCCTACGGTGCCCATATTCTGCTTCTGAACCATGCGGCGCACACGTCCCGTTAAAAGTCGAGCTGCCGCGCGCGCCGTATTCGTATTAGTCTTACGGCCTTTGAGTCCGTGAGAGATTTTGACTGGCAGCCTTACCCGGACCACACACGTCGTCTTCCTCGTGTATCACGACGGCTTTCAGTTAACTTCAGCATCGGCTCGTCTTGCTTCAGCTTGATCGTGCTTGCAGTGAAGCTGGTAGCATCACGAGTCAGACATAAGGTCGTCCCTCATAGATTTTACTAGGCACGAGATACCTTTAGAATTTGTCACGTAGAATCTTTTGATATATTTATTTAATTAAATTTATCGAAAACTGACGAAGACAATTGACGAATCAAACAGCGATTAATAAGTAATTAATGTCGAAAGCATAAATTTACTGTGCTTGTGAATAATGAAGTTTGCCAGACCCTCTTATCTGTCGATCGTCGCTATATATCTTTGTAATCCTAAATATCGTTATAAATTATGCTGGTATCGATAACCAAAAACTAAATAGAATTTAAGCAAGCTTATAGAGACTCTTTTGAGGTATGACGTACATACATGTAGTGTAGGAAGTAAGAAGACTAGTTCTATCTAAGTGGAAAATGGGAGGATAAAGAGGAAAGAAAGAACTAGAGTGAAGTACGCACTTAAAAGAGCAACTACTTGAGAGCTGCCGGAGGTTTCGGATTTATCGTACCTACAAGGACTGATTCTTATCGCGAGACTTTTTTTCCACTTGTGCGCTTTTTTTTTCTTGATTTGTGTGGTCCCGCGAAAGAATCATTGCTTATGTACATAACAACAACATTACACTTATGAGTAAGAGATTGACTATCACTTTGATTGCAGGTATGAGAATGCAGTGTTCGAGTTCGAATTCAAATAGTTCCGGCGGTGGACTCGTCGAACGGAAATCATCTTACCTGAGCCATCCTCCAGCTTCCGTGGCGTTAAGCTCTCTAAGCTCTCTGAGCTCAATAAGCTTAAGCAATCTGGGTGGTTTAAGTATACCCAGTATACCGTGCACTGTACCATCGAATGTTCACACTTCGACGTCACCACCTACAACAATGTTCTACGATCAGATCAAGTACACCATGTGATTGGAATTGAGAAAAGGAAAAAAAAATCATTCGCAATTATACCACCTAAATGAGTATATCAATACAGGCCGAATCTTACGATAAAGAATCGTGGAAGGAAACTAGAGGGAAGAGAAAATAAAAAGGAGAATCAAAAATACGTACTAGAAATTTGTACGATAGTCTTAATGAGTTAGGATAGTATGTCTATCCTATAAACGTCCTATTTATATTTATGAACGAGTACTAATTAATGTCGTTAGTAATTTAAGCGTAGTCATTAGGCAAGTCTGTAGAATTAAATATCGTTTGCTAAGAAAGTTTCGTCTTTATCCTATATTCAGTTATTTTAATTTTTCCTATAATCGCGACAACTCTTATCCCGAGCACCACTGAGATGTTTTAACCGCATTGTTGTAGATATGATTTAAAGGTCTTTGGACGACGTGACATTTTGAACAAGTGCCACGTAAGATTTATGAACGTTCGTCATTTATTCATCATAATTACGTAGTCAAATTGCTACGTCAGAATGCGACTTGCGGTAATAATATCGCCATTACGTGAGGAAACCAGTTCATACTTATCAACTGTTGGGAAATTACGCAAACATTGTCAGACAATGCGGAGTCCTGATATCCTCCTTGCGGGAGATGACGATTCCTCGATATTTCTGTAAACAAATATCTTAAACGTTCTTATGTATTTCGTTTTCTAACGTATTTTGGTATCGCCGGGCGACATATTGCTAGCAGATTTTGAGCGTTGAGTAACAAAAGGAAATATTTGTCTCTAGATTACAATACCCTGTCGTAAAAAAATGCTTTGTCCAAAAAAAGATGCACCAGGTCTACGGGTTTCCTTGCATGTACTACGCACATGTGCACAAGGAACAATAACGGCGATAATCTTGACTCAACTCATTCTACGTAATTTACGTAACCACAAAAATTCTGTCATCGCTCGGTTAGGGGCTCGTTCGATTGATTCATCCGCCAAAATAAAGAGTGACAGAATTGGATCGTACCACAATCTCTAATCTTTTATCGTGGTTAGGATGTAGCGTCCATCGGGAAATTCCTATAGAATCATCAACCCGGAGGATTCCCAGATTTCTAATATTCTATATTTTCTCCTCAGCATCCGTATCCTGATAAACAAATAATTATGTTCCGATTATTTGTACGACTTATATCAATTCAGTCCATTACCTTCGTTGCAAATAGTTCTGAATGAGTGTGAGGAGACTTGAGACCAGTCCACGAATCGGCGAACGACTGTTTATAATAAATTCAACCATCTACGATCCATCCCGGAACGGCTGAGCGCATGTGGTGTCGGCTTATATGAAACAGATTCATAACGGACATTAATTTCACATTAATTTCTTTTTTACTGATTCTCTGTTACAGCGCAGACATTACCCTTGTGAGATACTTGCACTATATATGGAGATCTCTTTAGTACATTATTATACTATATACACCTGATATTTGCAAGTACCTCCACATGTGACTTTCATTGATTTGCATATTCAACTTTTATGAAATTATGGTGTCCTCCTGCTCGAATGGAATTTCTATTATAGATATATGTACATTCAGTACAGCGAGTGCATCATTCCTTCTGGACTTGAAATTGGAATGCTGCTTAGAGTCTCCAGCCATGACTGCATCCACGACGTGTAAGCCGAGTCACTCAACGACTATGTTGACAGCTCTCTCACTGTCTTCGTACCATCTTCCATGAGGTCTTCGTGCGAGAACGCAATTTCTTACTATCCACTCGCTATTAGGTACCTTCATGAATTTATCTTGAATGTCCATTCCTGTTTTTAGCTTTAGAACGTTCCAAAAATTTTATTCTTATATATACCTATTAGTACAACATATGCATATAGTATAGAGTATACGGATGCTGGATAACAACTTACAGCTTGAATACCATTTTCTGGATTGTGACATGGACAGTTGTGTATTAAATTCCAAAAGTCAAGAAGGAAATCGTTCGTCCTAATACAGGAGTTTCCCCAGGGGCTGATTAATCCTTTGGTATCCTTAGAAATGGCTGACTCGAAAATAGCTGCACATCTAGAGAAACAAGAAGACTGCATTATCTCAAGATTCGGAAGAGACAGTGATGTAGAATAGTTAAAAGAAGGAGAGATGGAATGATTAAGGGTGAGCTTGAGGAAGAAGGAGGGAGGGAGAAAAAGATAGAAGGCGGAAAGAAGAAGAGAGAGAGTAGAGAGCTGCGGACCTGGAAGGAAGGGGTTCGCTCTAAAATAATAAACTACCCGAAGCAAAGCTAGACGAAGCGAGTCTAAACGGCCTGCGACTTACACTGCGCAGCCTCCGTCTTCGAAAATGTCAAAATTCAAAGGCTCTGGAAACTGATGCTTTTTCTTACCGACAAGAAAAATTCTCTACGTCTTCCATCTTCCCAGTCGTGATTGCTTAAAAGAGAACGAGTGGATTCGCGGATTTTTGAGGCACAAGAATAAATAATCATACCAAGTGGGTAATCGACACACCTACCTCGCGAAAATTCCACGAAAATTTTCAAAAGTATTTTCAGACTCCTTGAGCTTTTTCGGTATCCGTCGCATACTATTCTCTGTGAATCGGTGACTTGACTCGTGGCGCTTAGTTATTTCTGCCCTAAAGAAACTCACAGGATGAGGGAAGGAAGGATAACGTGAGGCTGAATATGGTCCCGTGCTTATTTGCCTGTCTTTTTTACTTATTTATGCTAGACGTTTTACTAAGGGGGTTTACACAGGGAATATAATGTATCAGACAATGCTGAATCAAAGGCGTATAATATAGGTTGTATATAGTCTTGTGTATTTCAAGTGAAACATATGAGGGCGAAACACTCACACAATACAAGATTTTGAGAACAATCAGAGTGTCTCTTGAAACTTTGCTGTGTATTTAGGTTACGTTTCTATTCATCAGTGAGCCATCTGGATATGCATGATGAATGAATATGAATATTTGCTATTCTTGGAAGAAGTAAAAACGTTTAGCAAATACTGTACTACATATATTCGATAGATTTTTGATCGTTCACGCGGCTGCACAGTATACATGCTGTCGATTAAAGCAAAATAACTAATGAAAAATAGCTTGAGTCTGTGCAGATTGAGTTTGATATACTGCTGTAAACTTTTTTCGAATCGTTACGGTGATGTAGGGTTAGGTCGTAATGTAAAGACGAGATAAATTCAACTGCATTCGATCATTCGATACTGAAGCCAAATCTCGACGAACCATGTTCGAGAATTTAATGTCTCAGGAATATTTGATAGCTGTCAAATTTCTATACTCCCATAATGTATATACATACATACATTATGTAAACTATATCAAGCCATGGAATTGAACGACCTAGGAATCTTGTACGTACATACATAACTAGTCCGGCAGACAGTATGGCTCGACGATGTCTGCCACGTATAACCACTCAACAGTGTGTATCATTAAAAAGCTTCTCTACTATTGTATATTATTCCCCTCCCGTAGTAAACAGGCTCTCATTAAACATTTACAAAATGCCCATTTTAACTTCAAGGAACTTCATACTACGTCTCGAATAAGAGCGCCTTAGCTAAATGGGATGGAAGATGAAAGAAATTGTCTTCTACGTAGAATGAATCATAGGAGTTACGTACCGACTGTATATAAGGAAACGACATTAAGAACAAAAACTGTTGTACGGACTTTCGATAAAGAAATGCTAGGCTAATATGGCTGCCGTCTGAGTCGGTAATTCTTGGTTCGTTTCATACTCGGTCGACTCTACAGATTTTACATGTACAGTCTACGCTTACATTTCTTCTAAGGATTATGATACTAGAATTAGAAAATGGTCCATTTATTGTTCTCAAAAGTGATCTCTTACAGTGTACCTTCGCCATTTTGCATCGGCACAGCGTTTCGGATGTTATATGAAAGAATAGTATTATCTGTCATGTAGGATTATTTATGGAGTTTTGTAATTTTATATCGAATTGTACGAATGTGTAACGCATGCGCTTGGATCTGATTCTGTTCATCAGAATTGAACAATTTATTTTACGTCACGGTACGTCACGTTCGCCGACGGGCGGCCAGCACCCGGTTTATTTATTGGAGTATTTGATTAAACGTTTAACACACGTTAACTCGTCATGGAGGAAATTCTGCTAAAGCTCCTGGTTGCCGACAATACGATAATACAGGAGGTTGGTACAAATTGTCATTTTTTTGGGGTTAATTAACGTATTACGTTGAACAACACGTGCTCGCTACTGTGTGAACGTCCTACCAAGTCAGGCCACGAGATCAGAAGGATTTGACTTTTTATTTTATATATTCTAGTCAAGATGCGATGCATGACCGTTTGTAATGGGTAGATGATCAGAGGTCACTGTTTTATAAATGTTTTACCACCTGACATAAATTTGAGTTGATTATTTTATGAATTTTTCTAGGGTACTGCTGAACTTCGAGAAGCTATTAAAAAACCAGAAAGTGCTCCTGCATTATGTCAGCTTGTTGTTTCATCAGCTAATGCTGAGGTTTGTACTTGTAGTGAGATGTAAGGCTTCCTTTAATATTTAATACATTTTTTGCATTTTACAGATAAGACAGTATGCTGCTGTTCTGCTGCGAAAGCGGTACAACAAGGGAAAGCATTGGTTGCAATTACCAGAACACATCAGAACTGAACTAAAAGCAGTGATACTCCAGGCATGTTTCTGATTTTCATCAAGATTTAAAATTACTATTGTTCAAATTATTGAAAGTAATTTAATGTAAATATGTACCCTGTAGGCTTTAGTGAACGAGCAAGAGAAATTTGTGAAAAATGCAATAACTCAGTTAATTGGAACTATCGTGAAACATGAACTGCCAAACAATGGTTGGCCTGAAGTTCTTCAATTTGTTCAGCAGCTTGTTTCTAGTGAGAACTTAGCTGACAAAGAGGTAAGAAAAATTAATTCTATCTCCTTTCAGTATTAAACATACTGTTTTCTTTCCAGCTGGGAATGTATACTTTATCCACAATGACTGAAGTAGCACCTGATGCCTATTTACCGCATATGTCTTCTATTGTTTTTCTACTTGGAAACACACTGAACAATCTTCAGGATTTAGGAAATTCTGTGGCACATTATATCCTTCAGACAATGCTACACCTTGTACCTTTAGTAGAAGGGGACCAAAATGTATGTAACCAAACGATTCCAATATCATTTTCCATTATCTTTTCATATAATCAACATTCCCCATTGTACATCTGATAATTAGATGGTGAACGCATATCATCAAATGATGCCTCAAGTGATGAACACAATTCAAGCTCTAATTGTTGCGAATGAATATCAGGCAGTAGAAGCTTTCGAATTGTTGGATGAACTATGTGAAAATGCAGTTGCAGTTATATCACCCCACATTAAACCCCTCATTGGGATGTGCCTTGCGATAGCTGGGAACAAGTCCTTAGATGATGCCTTGAGAGTCAAAGCTGTAGACTTTATAGGCTGGTTAACAAGATCTAAAAAAAAAGCCATTGTTAAACACAAGATGGTTGAGCCTATAATTGGTAAGCAAGTGACTGGCTGTAAATTTTGTTATCATTTCTAAGAGAATAAACTTGTTTAGTATTGAATCCTAGACATGCTCTTCACACTGATGTCCACACCACCTGATGACGAAACTGATGAGGTTTACTTTAGCGGTGATAATGAGGACAACACACCTATGACCTGTGCCACACAGACCCTAGATCTTTTGGCATTACATCTACCTCCAGAAAAACTCATTCCGCATCTGGTACGTGTATAAAAATAGAAAACAAGCTTGGACCAGGTCCATATTGAAAAGTGGTCGGCAAGTATCTGTATTGTTTCTTCACAGTTGCAGCATGTGGAACCAGGTTTACAAGGTACAGACATCTATGCGAAAAAGGCATCCTACCTAGCAATGGCGGTGTTAGCTGAAGGTTGTTCCGAATGCATCCGCTCAAAATACTTAGAATCCTTTCTACGCTGTATCTGCCAGGGTATCACAGACCAGGCTGCTGTTGTTCGTAATGCTGCGTTATTTGCACTTGGTCAATTTTCTGAGCATTTACAGCCAGAGATCAGTCGGTACTCGTCCGAGCTCTTACCTGTACTCTTTGAGTATCTTGGCCAAGTTTGTACCCATATCAAACAAGAGAAAAAAGAACTTCCATCCGTGGACCGCATGTTTTATGCCCTGGAGATGTTCTGTGAAAACCTTAACGAGAGTCTTTTACCATATTTACCTATGCTTATGGAACGACTTTTTGAAACTCTGACAGCTGATACTCCCGTACATGTTCGTGAACTTTCCCTAAGCGCAATTGGCGCCGCAGCCAATGCCAGTAAGGAACATATGCTTCCTTACTTTGAGAGGATCATCGCTATACTGAATGGTTACCTAACTGAGAAGCAAACGGATGAGACAATGTGCTTACAGATCCAGGCAGTTGGTGAGCATAACAGGATTTGAAAGTGTTTACCATTTGTTAAATTATATATTCGGTACTCAGATACTTTGGGTGTTCTTGCGAGAACCATTGGAAATGATCATTTCGCTCCACTGGCGGAGAGTTCACTTCAGTTTGGATTGAAACTGCTCAAGGAAACCGATGATCCAGATCTGAAAAAGTCTATCTATGGTCTTTTTGCGTCTATTAGTTCTGTTATGAAGAAGAGTATGGCTGTTGTACTACCTCAGATTATAGAACAGATGATAAAGAGTATACAAAGTTCCGAGGGTATAGTTGTACGTATCCTCTAAAGAAAAAACTACTGCACCTTGACTGTAAAGAACTTATATTGATCTACTGTTCATTAGGCACATTTTAAAGACGATGAGAACACTGCATTTCCTGTATATGAGGATCTAAGTGATAACGAAAACGCGGATGAGGAAGATATAGAGAATACTGATAATGAGGAAGATGACGATGATGAGGATGTTGCTGGTTACAGTGTTGAAAATGCATACATTGAAGAAAAGGAAGAAGCCGTTTTAGCTTTAAAGGAAATTGCTCAGTATACGGAGTACGTGCTTTTCTTTTCTTTTTTTTTTAATCTCGAACTCATTTTTTGATATAAAAAAGTTTTTTAAAATCACTACTCTTACAGAGAGGCATTTTTACCATATTTGGAACAGTCCTTTGAAGAGACATTCAAACTTATTAATTATCCACAAGAGGATATACGTAAAGCTTCTATCGATGCACTGCTACAATTTTGCATTAACTTTTCTAAAATTGGTACAAACGAAGGAAGGCAAGCCACTCTGAAGGCTGTTTCTATTTTCGTACCGAAGCTTTCAGAATTAATAAGACTGGATGATGAGCGCTCTGTCGCCATTGCTGCGCTTGATGCGTTTTCAGAGCTTCTCAAGGAACTGAAGACAGATATTCTAATTGGGGAAGGTCACAGAGATGCCATAGTAAATTGCATAACAGATGTAATGACAGGAAAAACTGAGTGTCAGGATCAGGAAGACGCTGATGGTGAGGAGGCCGAGGCTGAACAGGACGAATTATTAGTGGAATGTGCTGGCGACGTTTTGTCGAATTTTGGAAAAGTAATTCCCGCGGAGGATTTTGCCCTTTACTTTCAAACGGTGCTGCCAATGTTTCTCGATAAATTGGTATATATTTTTATACTATTTATTTTTATCCGCATCAGGTGGAATTTTTATTTTTACATTTAATTTTTAGAAAAAGAACAAATCAGAGGGACAACGATCCTTTAGTGTTGGCACGATTTCTGAATGCTTTTCAGGATTGAAACACACTGTAGCATCATTTGTACCTCAACTTCTTCCAACATTTCTTAAACTGACTGACGATCCTAGCGCTGAAGTTCGCAATAATGCAATTTACGGTATCGGAGAACTCGCATTGCATGGCAAGGAATCAGTATATCAGTATCCTTTATGAATCATAATTTTATACACCACTTTCAATGCATAATTTTATACTATAAAAAATTCTTAATAAATATTCCTTAGATATTATCCTGAAATTCTTCAGGCTCTCTCTGGTGCAATAGCAAAGGAAACTCATGGTGGAGCTCGAGATAATATAGTAGGCGCAATTGCGCGTCTTATCATAACAAATTACGAAATCTTACCTTTAGATCAGGTGTTTCCTGTATTTGTAAATCAACTTCCACTAAAAGAAGATTTCGAAGAGAATAAGGCTGTCTTCAACAGTATCCTTATTCTCTATCGAGCTGGCCATGCCGTTCTTCAGCCACACGTAAAAACCTTGCAGAAGATTGCAGTAACTGTGCTTCGCGAAGAAAAAGCTATGGACGATGGTAAGCGTTGATGATCGTTGCCAACACTTTTATTAGCGTTACTCATCAACTTTTACTTTTCACAGAGACCAAGTCACTCGTCAATGAATTTGTGAAGTCATCTCAGCGAGATTTTCCTACCGAGTGGAATGCTCTCCTTAGTGAACTGCCACCGGAAGTGGCATCTGATATTTATCGTATCTTCTCCTAAGCAAGTTCTCGATGTCTATCGTTATTCTGAGAGATTTAAACGACATAAAAAAAATACTCCGTTAAGAGCAATGTATTTGCGTTGTTGTTTATGAAACCAGAAGTATCAGTGCGATTTTCTGGTTAGATACATTTTAATCCTTATATTTGTGGATTGGATCTGATCCCAACGCTTAGAATTATTAAGACCCAGTCTTATAAGAATCACAATCGTTTAACCTTTGGAATTCTGGTTTCAACGTAAGAATGCACGCGTACGCTATATTCTCTCAGTTGCTAAGAATTTATACGAAGTGCTAGAGATGTTTTACGTGTGGGAGTTCGTTGAAGAAATATTATCATGGGAATTTTGTACAACGTGCCTTCCGGTTAGTCAAGCCATTATTTTTGCATAAGCCAACTGTTTCTTCGGGGTATAGGTATCCCGCGTCCGGTTTCCCTTGTAACAAGGATCTAAAATCTAGAATCAAAATCCGAACAGTCGTATCTTATAATTATAAATTACGAACTAACGGAAATTTTGCTTGCATGGATGATATAATTTTTTAAAAATCTTGTTACATCACGCGAAGAAAAAATTAAATTAAATAATAGCATCATCGTACAATAAAAATAAATGTATTGCCGTGAATGAAATAAAGGTTTTGTATTTTTCTTGCGACCATTTTTTCCGTTCCATAATCACTATTCAGTAGTAGTAATTAGTAGAAGTAATGAATACCATAGTAATGTTTCCTACGTCAATATTTTCATCTCCTAAATCACGATACTCTCACCTATGCACTATGAAATCTCATATATACGGATGAACAATTAGGGAAGCACAATTTCCGGACAACAAGATATACACATGTAACTGATACAGAACACGGGGTGATGCTATCACACTGTTATCATAAAGCCCCAGATAAGCCAGTGGGCAGTCAAGTTTTTAGAGATGTATCGACTCTTTGTCGTTTAAGACTATCCCAAAAATTAAATGCGGTGTAGTGACAGTGCATTTTTGTGAATTTCCTAATAGAACATATCTTCAAACAAAACTACCAATAATTACACAATTGAAAGTAATACCAAGTTCATGGATCTCAAAATATGAAGTTAGTGAAGTTGGCCCGTATACGGCAGCAAAATGTGATATGTGAAGTGTATAAAAGTTAGCCACACGAAATAAATCAGATATAATAAATTATACTTCGACGAGTAAAACAAATTATTATAAATATTTAATTCAATACGTCGCAATTATAACTATAGTGATATAAATCCCTCCATTATTTCTGTTAATGTAGATTGTGAAAGTGACAGAAACGTACCAAACTGTACCACGTAGCAGTAATCTATACTGAAAACACAGTAAAGCAGCAGTACGCCGAATACATTCCTTACCAGTTAACACTTGAAACAAAAATTTCCAATTCCAACTTATGTTGTATAACACGTATATACTGCCCTGGTTACATTAACGGTAAAAAAAAAAGTTTTTCGTAAAGAGCTAGATGTAATTATATTCCATCAAGAAAGATATCATTAATGATAGCCAACATGATTTCCTACTGCGAAATATATAAGAATCGTTCTACGACTTTAGCGATTTCTCCCAAAGAATTTGAAAAATTAAATTTTCTGAGTTTTCGAAGTTAGTGGAAAGTGACTGAAGGCAGTTTATCTTGGTCATAACAAATTCAATAGGAAACTTACTCTCAGTTAACGACATGCTCTTCATCGTACTGTCCATCATTTGAGAGAGGCTGACCTTCCACCATTATAAAACATTGTATTCATTGGTGATATAGAATCGACGGAAGTCATAACTCGGGTAAGTTCTTATACTCACTCTTGATATTGCACGTCAGTCATTAAGTGCAGAACTGTGCGCGAAGGTGAGTGATAGGAGTGACAGTGGTTATAGGCACCGGGATGATTCCAGTCCAGAGAAACTAATCAACTAGTATCGTTCTCATTCAAGACCTAGAGGATGTCAGGCTAATATTAATAGAAAACATCATACAGGGTACGTTTGAGTCACGCATTCATGCCGGTTTATGGGTATAAATTAAAATTCTCATACCTATGCATGATCCTTTGAAGTATATATGGTACATATCAGTATCAGTCAGTAAGGCGTTGCGGGAAATAACAGCAAGACAAATATCCTCCTATACGGGCGCAGGATGTAATTAAGACGTGATGATTAAGAGAAGTCTAAACAACGCGGTGCCATCAGTGGGAGGCCATAGCCTTTTAAATCAAGTCATTGCTCGTCACGGTGGCTCATAGCAGCTGTACGTGATCTGTAATCCGTAATTCGACATACAGAGTGTCCGACTTTATACGAGTTAGTTAAAGTTAAGTTTTTATATCTGGACGCAAGAGTTCCTTTGGCTTGTATTTTCTTTATACTACTAAGAGAGTTAAATAGTGTAGAGGCTATTAAAATTGCAAGTGTCAGGATATTCATGTTTTCTTAGTCACTAAAAATTGTTGTGAATTGCTGAAATTTATTTTCAATTTATTGTGTATCCTCGTGTACGAGGCCCTTTCTTTGTGGATTATTCTAGAAGTACAGTGACTCGGTGAGTAATTCGTATGTTTCCCGCGCGCCAGACAAGGATTTTCGAATTCTTAACGTGAACGGACAGTGCAACGTGCGTGCTGGAGAAAGTTTAAATTATACCGGTCGAAATACAAATGCATTCACTTGCCATTAGAAACTCCTTTCAGCGACGGGTATTGCGTTAATATGCCCTAAGCTTTTCGTTGGCCATGCTGATTATTACAATCATTTGTTATCGAATGGATTATTTCAATTGCTTTACATTTTAAATGGTGGAGAGAACTCATATTGCGAGATCATTTATTTTCTGTGCACGAACAGTCTTGCAGTACTTTTGCCAGAGAATGCTAGACCGTTTCTATTGTGTTATGATTTTTATTTCAGAAAATCGCAATGATGAATACAATGGCAAAATAACCAAACGTGCATAACTTGTAGTGAGAAGGTACCCGAGATACCTACAGTAAAATGGATGAACTAATGACAAGAACCTCATTGACTTCTCTCCATAAATCAGGAGACGATCGAGTTATTTCTCCAAATAGTTTAGACGAGTGGACATGGAGCAGTTTGAGAGTAAGTGTTATTTGTATGCATAAACCAATTTAAAATTCTGAAAAATATATTATGACACAGTATTTCTTAGTGATTAACAAGTAAATCCTAAAATTAGAAGGATTCGTACCAGAGGATAAAAAATGATGAAAACTGAATCACGTAATACAATTATACGAATCATACATGTACGAGTGAAGCTCATCATTCTGTTAGCTACTATCATACCCGTATCAGCGGAAATTGATAGGTATTCTAGGAAATTCGATTTTAATCTCAGGAAAGAACTGCGATAATCAAGTCAGCTGGAGGACGTCATCTTCTCTGCATCTCACTTGATCTTATTCCAATAAATCGTCATCATTTACTAGAAAGTAAATGTAAAGATAGAAATCTACTAATAAACAAATCTTCATCGTACAACTGATACAATGAATCAACAGCTGGCATCTCAGTCTGTGTTTCTCGTATCGTGTCTCCTGCTCCGAGTATCTGCATCCTAACAAAGAATCATATCCGAGGACATATAGCAAAATTAAAGATCAATATCGCGCAGGCTGCTAACAGACTACGTATCCTGTGATGACCCGTACCAAATATATGTATATAGATGCAAGTATATATATAGAATTTTCGGTTCTGGCGTCGAATCTATCCCTGAAGCGAAGCTCCTACTGAACGAGGACCCGTAGTGAGTCCTGGATACATCAGAAAGAGACAGCCGAGAGAATCGAAGAGCGACTGCGCGTTCAAACCCAGCTCACCGTTTACGGACCGTATAATACATATATTATTGATGTTATATGTATTATGTACATATGTACATCGCACTCGGTGTGCAGAGACGAATGTCGTACTCATAGTAGAGAACCACCTGGGGATCTGGGCCCGTGCTGGTTCACGGTGGAGGCCCGTATCGTTCGTCCTCGTACGAGTTTTCTTGCTATCATGTAAAGAATTTTCCACACTGACAAAACTAGGCCTCCACGAATTAAACGACGTTCGGACAAGCTTTTCGTGCGTTGCTGCATAAGTCTTACCTAATTATTTACCCGTGTATAATAGTGGATTGCACTCGGTAGCTGCCCTGTGATCACGGGAATGATCTTGACTCTAGTGATTAAGAGGTCATCGTGAAGAAGATATATTTGACAGCTGAATAAAATTCCAATGTAAATATACTACGGATTTAGTCGGGAATACAGGTGGCGGTGAGTGCATTCTAGACGGCAGTGTCATATAATTCCTCTGTTACGATAAGTAGAGCAGTAGATAGCAGCGGGTACATTTTTGAATGCTATAAATCACGTGCGCGCCGCTTAACGGTGTATTTTATTTTTTTCATTTTGCATCATTTTTTTCTCACGCGTTTGGCAGCTCCTAGATCCTATTTATACAACTTTCATGCATATTACGCATCGCGCAAATTTGATACGTGATTTTGCACCATGACGTTCTGTAAGAGCTATTTAGATATTGACTATTGGACAGGAGTGATCGTGGTGTATTTATCTTGATTTTTGATCCTTGGTATGGTACACGTTGACAAGTCAGTAATATGTGAATTTTGAAATTTCACTGAGTGACGGATATCTGTATTCTTTTTTTTTTTTTAAAGACATTTACAAATCGTTATAAGTAATAATGATACTTTCAAGTGGATAAAAACTTTTATCGCATTCTTCAATCGATTACAGAAACAGTTCAAGTACAAGAGCCTAGAGAAGCTATATTCGATTTATCAAAGAAGACTGCAAAATGGTTATCTGTCGCTGTTCGTCCTTCTACGAGTGGTGCTTGGCGTCACCCACTGCACAATATTAATCAAAATGGTAAGAATAACAAAAACAACATGACTTCCTAGTATACCCAATACTAATATAATATATATTAATTATCCTCATAATGAAATTTTTAATTCAGGGTAGCTTGAAAGATTCTTTACCGGACTTGGTGACGTACAGTGTCCTGGGTGCTTTACTTCTCCCTGTAATAGCTCTGTCATTTCGACCAAAACTCATCGCCAAAAAATCCTACGTTCCAGTACTCCTGTCCTGCATAATCGTGGCACTTCTTGTCACAGGCGACCTGGCTGTTCCGTTATATTACACTGTTGCGTACTCCAGCAGCATTCCAGCGATAAGGTACATCGATAAAACCCCAAACATTATCATAATGCTCGCTATCTTTTTTAAATTGATCCTACTGAGCCTTATTTGGCTCATATTACGGACCTACCTAATGTAACATATAAACAATAACTATTCGCCGAATCATTTTTTTAGACCGGCCTATGTAACTCACACGCTTCTGGCATGTTATATCTTCTTGCCGCTTGCGGAAAATCTACACGCTTTTATACTCGGCACTACAGCGACTTTATGCTACCTCGCCAGTTTATATCTGATAACATACAGGAACATGCCCAATGCAGTGAGCAGGGTGAGTCCAAATGTATCTTGAGACTTTATTACATTAGTAGCTCGCTATGGAAATCATCATAAATATAGATAATCAGAAGTGTTATGTTATGATTATGTGATCCAGGATGATCCTGATTTTTTTTGTACAAATCCAGACAACAGATTCAACGTGCATTTGTACCAATAATACCGGTTTTAATTACTTATCTCGGATTGCGTTCGATCGATTGTCATATGATAGTTCAACTATCTTTGTCACTCCTATTGTCAGTATCTAAGATACGATTCTACTTATCTGATCATGGAGCATTTATTTTTGTATTTATTATTATTTTTGAACTTATTTGACGCATATTTATGATTAATTCATTTTTACTGATGGATCTTTTTGCAGATCATTGCTGATGCGATTTATCTCGCGTGCGTTAATGGCCTTGGACTCTACTTTAGATTTATGAATGAAGTTGTAATAAGACGATCCTTTTTGGACAGACGCAAGTGTGTCGAGTCTACTCTTAGGTTGAACTATGAAAAGGATCAAGAGGTAGACGATTTATTTATTACGTTTGATATTCGTGATTTATACGATTTTATATAGATGATGTTGTTTTAATGATCTAATTATTGATCCAGGAGCAACTTACGAGAAGCATCTTACCGCAGCATTTTGCTGTCAAGATTAAGAAGGAATTTCGGAATATCTTCAAGTTCATTGAGGAACACAAAAAAGCGCCTCCTAAAGGACAACTTTATAAGTATGCACTTAGTTATGATCTCTAGGAATACATTTTTTTTTAATTCTATTAGAAAGAATTCTTTAAGTTGACAATGTTGCAGCGATCTTTACGTGGAGACTCATGATAACGTCAGTATTTTATATGCTGACGTTGTTAATTTCTCGGGATTAACCGTTGCTTTATCAGTCACTAAACTGGTTGAGACCTTAAATGATCTATTTGGGAGTTTCGACGAGGCTTCGGAAAAACACAATGTTCTCAGGATCAAGTTCTTAGGAGACTGTTATTATTGCGTTAGCGGCGTGCCAACACCGAATTCTCAGCATGCAAAGAGCTGCGTTGATCTCGGTGAATAGAAGTTGCTCATATTACATTAATTAATTATTATTTTTACTTTATTTTCAATCAATTGTATTATAGGATTGGACATGATATATATAATTAACGAAGTGAGGTCAAGGGTACGCCAGGAAAGTGGAGAAGATGTTAATATGAGAATAGGCGTTCATTCCGGCACAATAATATCCGGTATACTGGGCGTTAACAAGTGGCAATATGATGTTTGGTCACGGGACGTAGTGATAGCCAATAAAATGGAACAAACTGGTCAACCTGGTATGGTTCACATAACGCAACAAACGTTGGACCTTTTGAATGCTGATCAATATCATCTGCAACCGGTAGCTAATCTGGAAGATGAAACCTTAAACAAATACTGTATCAGGAGCTACCTAATAGCACCTGAACCACCAGTCCCCCCGCCACTCCCGCAGGTGCGTATCGAACCTACTGAATCCTCCTCTTCGTTCACCTCTGTAGCTCTTCAAGTCGTTGACAGGCGAACCTTGTTGCAGAACAGCGAGGACCACTTCAAGGTCACGGTTCCTGACTCGCCACCACCTCCTAATAGACATTACGTTAGATGGGCTGGGATGAGATCAAGTACTACCAGTACAGGAGTTTCCTCAAAGAGTAATAGGAGACTCACTTCATCAGTGGGTAATCATGCCGACGTGTACGCGGGTACCTACAGACGACGTACGCACTTCATGGACTCCTGTCTTCGTGATTACCATCTCATGCTTAAGGCAGCTGATGCTGAAATGGAGAATGCCATCAAGCAAATGCCTCTCAGCAAGTGGGAGTAAGTATTAGGATGATGGAGTTTTCTTTATCGTGATTAAGAAATCTAGCAAACTAAAATTTATTTTTTAGACAGTGGTGCGCATGGGAACATATCAATCCTATCTGTCTGACTTTCCGCAAGTGGAAATGGGAAATACCATTTGTACGAGAACCAGATCCACTCTTCAAATTCTACATAGGCTGTGCTGCTCTGGTTTTGCTATGCATGGGACTGATTTTCCTTGTGCCGTCAATAACGTTTTCACAGTAAGTCAAGTTATATGTATAAAAAGTATTTTGCGAAGGTGATGGCTTATCTGTGGCTCAAGGACAAACATCCTAGGTTGGCAAAGAATACGCGCGATCTAATCTATCGTATCTGATTTACACGACTACTCGGAGAATGAACAGAATGATTGTAAAATTTTATGTATGCCATCGTTGATTTTTCGATACATTGTTTTTTCATTACCGTACTTACATCATGGAAATCTTTAGGTTCCACTTGAGCACTACTGTTGGTTACTCGGCAGCCATGATCTTTTTGGTCGCATTGATGCCACTTACTTGGATGCACTTTATTTGGAATCGCTATAAGGATCCTCATGATGAACACGAAGGTCATGTGCCTCAACCTCGTAACAAGCTTTTACATTTTATGTATCAAACTAGTGTGAAGGTATAAGCGTTTGTTAAACTAATGGGTACTTTATTGGTCGTACAATTAAATAAGAACGCAATTATATCCGCAGGTAGTCTGGAGTGCACTTCTCAGGACTAGTCTTTATTTGGCTATTACTATCATGCTAGCTGCTTGCGCCATGTTGGATATGCTGGTAAGAATTTTTTTAAATGCTGTATATTTTATCAATTTTTATTTCTCTGTTAATAGTACAGTTAACTCTATAATTTTGTCTAGTTTGAGTGTAAGAATACAAATAGGCTGGCGAACAACAATGTAACCTCGAGTATTGCTGCGGTCGGTGCTGCTGAAATTGACTGTCTTTCTACGCCCTGGGTAAGCTGATGGTTTCACCGGTTCATACATCTTGTACTGCGCTCCAGCAATGACTTACAAGTTTTTCTCAATTCTTTATTACTTTGCAGCAAATGACCGAAACCTGTTCCTTGGCTATTCTTACCAGTTTCTTATTTCTAAGGATTCACTTCATCTTGAAGCTAATAATAGGTTGCTCCATAGTGGTGTTTTATACGTGGAACGTCTGGCTATATCGTTCAGTCGTATTTCAGGTATAATAAATATAATGTTATTAGCCTTAATTAGATTTAAATGAAAATCATCCATCTCAATAACCATTGCAGTCGGACGATACATGGAATCCTTACATGGAACCAAGAATGGCTCATATTCTAAGCGTTGCTTTTCTAACGTTCTCTCTCCATCTCATCGACCGTCAGGTAGGCTTCGAGACCAATAAATCTCATTATTTCCAAAGATCGGACTATCGATCAATACTTTTCGTTCTATCATTCGTTCAAGTTCACGTTCACGACGATTCATTCAGGCAGAGTACATGAGCAGATTAGACTACCAGTGGAAGAGGCAACTAACAAAAGAACAGGACGAGGCATTTCATACAAGGAACGCGAACAAGCTTCTACTGCGAAATATCTTACCTGAACATGTTGGTTCGTAATAGAGATATTAGATTAGTAGAAAAAGTAATGATAACTATAACAGTCGATATTCAATGAATTAATATTTTAACAGCCGAGTTTTACCTTAACATGACCAGATCAGAGGAGAATGAACTATTCCATGAAGCGTACGACACCGTGGCCGTCATGTTTGCTTCTTTGACGGATCTGTCCATAGACGAAAATACGATGCTAGTAGTTCTCAATAAAATCATTTGCGAATTCGATAGACTCCTTTTCAATCAAAAATTTGCAACTCGCGTAGAAAAAATTAAAATTGCAGGTACAGTAAAATTAGGACAATTTATATCTCAGGTTATATTTATCTTAGGAACTTACTAATATAATATTATACACATGTACAGGCACAACATACATGGCAGCCTGCGGTTTGGATGCCAGTAGAAGAGATTCTGCACATAGTAGCGAGACTAGTTCAAATACTGATGAACATGTTGTGAAAGTCATGGCGGATTTTGCTGTCCACATGATGGCGGTACTTGACAAAATGTATTTGCCCACTGATAGACCCTACAAGTATGTAAACGTTATATACTACACATATGTCGAATAAATCCATAGATAGAAAGCATAGTGCTTGTAACCTGAAATCAATTCATATCTAATCTCTCAAGTTTGTTAATACATTGAAGTGTTAGCGAGTGGAATTCAAGGTTTATAGTGATATGACTATATTTTCATGCAGGTTGAGGATAGGAATATCCCACGGTGAGGTTACCGCTGGTGTGGTTGGCGCTCAAAAGCCTCTATATGATATTTGGGGCGATGCCGTGAACATGGCATCCAGAATGGATACTACTGGCGTTCCTGGTAAGATACAGGTAACGAAAAGAACAGCTGCAGTCCTCGAGCAACATGGAGTCAAATGTCATCTACGTGGGGAAACGTACGTGAAACCTAAAGGTCTAGTCACTACATACTTTGTGGGTGTCGAGGGAAACAGGAAACTCGAGAGAATTACATCCGTGGAGGAGACTAATCTTTGATGAGACTTCTATAGGAACCTTCATATCGACTCTTTTAAGCTACCTACCTTCCTAGGCGTTCTACTCAAATTTGAGAAAGAATGCATCGGTAATGGGTCCAAGGAATTATGAAGCCAAAGAGATCAAAGAGACCAAAGAGACAAATGATAAGAAATATCAATTGTATATCTAGTACTTCCTTTATTTTTTTAACTCTTTTAATGCAATCAACTGAATGCCTCCAGCAACCTGTGGATTCGATAATGACAGTCCAAGTTTACAAATGTTAACCATATATCAATTTATATAGTATACTCGCACATACGTATGCGCCATACGCAGCAAATGAGAATACGGATTTAAATAATTAGCTGATAATCGAAAATATAAATGATTCCATTTTAAAGTAGATACCATACATGATTTGATTCTTCTATATCTGCATGTTCTTAGGTATCAACATCGCGTTGATTTCTACGTCATTTTCATCATGGAAACGGTAAACGAATCCATTCGATAACTTATACATTCTTTTTCCCTTTTAAGTTGAACATGACATTCTTTAAGTATGATGAGAATTGTATCAAAACAATGTGATAAGTTACGATAGACCATAGCATCTGAAAAAGAAACATTATATAGTTATCGTACAAATTGCCGATTCTTCAAAGTGAATTTGAATAATTTTGGAAGCTCAACAGAGGATTTGAATCATTAAGATATTTATGTGAACGATCTTTCATGCGCCATTACCATTAAGAGTGTCTATGTATATTGGAATATGTAACGGCGACTTTATTTTTCTATGTATCGCGCGCGCCATCATATAGCTGATCTCTATTGGTCCGTGTGATAGCGACTTTATCTGTAAATAATTCTGTACATAGTCTTACGTTAGGATCATACGACCAAAAGGCGTGTTTGAAACTTTTGAATAAAATATTTATTGCAGCGTACCAAAAGTAAATTAAATTCTATAGATAAATATACTTATTAAGGATGGTTGGAAACGCCTAAAATCAAAGAATCCTACAACAAATACTTTACTGGCTCCGCAGTAATTTCGATGAGAGATAATCGAAAATTATTAATCTTTTCATGCCTATGATTATTCCTTGTAAACCTTACACTGGTTTACTGTATCTTAAAATTCATGAAATTTCAATCTCTTTCCTTGAGTTCAGAAGTGGATCTACCGAATGACCCTAAAACATTATTTAATTATGAGATGATCCATATATTGATCTTTATATAAATCTCACATCAGTAAACAGGTTTCCAATATTTACATAGATAACCTATATAACATCCTAGAAATTCTGTAGTTGAGATGTAACTATTGCAAGATTTGTTTGCTCCTTTACTATAATATATTACTTATCGATTCATAGATTAAATGTATTACGTTCAAGTAAATAAGTACAACAAATATATTGAACATAGAAGTCCGTAACAAGATGTAATATATTTACATCATTTGGCTAAGAATGCATGAGAATATGTAAATGTTCATAACGCACATAATGACATTAATAAAATAATCTAGAGCCAGCATAATAACATAACTATAACTCAGCTAAATAGTAGCAGATAATAGGAGTGAATAAAATGTAAGCATTTAAACGAATAAACCATTATTGTATTATCAAAACATTCCTATGCAAGTGTAAGTTAAGAAGGGCAAACAAATAATCATGATTAATAAATAAATTTTATTTATTGTACACAGTATTGTATATCGATATAATCTGTTACCTTTCTTTAGGTTACGATCCAAGGTTTACTATATTTTCCAAAATTTCACAATTCAATGTTAAACCAAAGTTTAAATATACCTCCATATTCTAGTCATCATTATAATTTACACTACAAGTTATCTACCTTTAAACTTTCAAGTTTCAATTGTTTAGCGCCACAATTCAATATGAAAATTATATCGACAGTAGCGCCGTTCTACTATTCATATTTTCTAAACACCCGTTAGTGGGAGTTGCGTTTTTATCGAACCACAACGGTTTCCTAATATACCGGGGAAGATTGCTCTACGTATTCCAGGATACCATTCCGAAAGCATAGACCGAAGTTCCCATTTACGATTTTCCTGAACCTTTATTCATTTATCGACAGTTACGGTGCTTCTCTCTCTTTTTGAACTTGAAGGTAGAGAAGAACTACGATTTGCATATTAATTTCGAGAACTTATGTCTAGACTGTGTAGATGAATAATTATTGTGATTCATTGTTTGCTTTTGTTAATTCCGATTGCTAATTCGGAGCTGTCCTAGTCAATATTTGACGGAAGGACGATAACATGGATCTGTTTGACGTTCTGGAATTCGCGTGAAACGTCATTTTCTTGTTTCGTTATTGTGCGAATGTTCACTGTATTATTCTTAGAATAATAGCATTATAGCATTATTGCTTTAAATTAAGTGCAGAACGTGTAATATAAATTTTGTTAGTTGATTTTCCTGTACCGTCCAGTCGTAATTTGGTAGGAACTACTCCAATATTTGTTCTGTCATTTTCCTTATCGAATGTCTCATACATATTTCGTGATAACATTTTATATAGATATGGAAAAAACATATTTTTTATGAAATTATGCTCTGACTTATTTAAATATTCATTAATTTCTTTTTTAGTGTTCTATATTACAATTTTGCATACTAGTCCAGGATGGATACTGGTTTCTCTTCATACCACAATGGTGGTCTAACTCGTGAGCAGGACTTTGGGAGACTATCTCAAACAATTGGCACATCGATATTGAAGATATCCCAAAATGGTAATTATTCCTAATAATACATTTATTGTAGAGTGTTATATAAATATTATTCTCCAACAGTTTCTTCAATGCAAAAGATGGTCAATCAGTTGGGTGGTTCTACGGATTCTCAGGAACTCAGGAATCAACTGTAAGTTTTAATACACATTGATTATATTAAAGAAAGAAAATACAATGTATTTGTCTTACTTTCTAGCCATCAAATACAACATTACACACAACAACTTGCCAAGGACACAAATGTGCACCTTAAGGACTTGGCAGTACTTGCAAATAATGCTGGTTCAAGCAGTCCTGGAGAACAAAGACAGCGAAAGATGCAAAGGGAAAGGTTACAAGATGAATTCACGACAGCCTTGAACAATTTCCAGGTGATTATATATAGTCATTTTTCATTTCCTATTATCTATACTTATTCTATAAATGCAAATTGCTATATCCTTTATTCCACAGGGCATTCAAAGGCTTGCTGCTAACAAGGAAAGAGAAATGGTAAGGAAAGCAAAGGCAACTGCAGGTATAGGACCATTTGGTGATAAAAAGCAGGAAACTCTGATCGAACTTCAAGACAATAGAACACAAAAACAGATTCAACAGCAGCAGCTGCAGGAGGAGCAAAATCTGCGAATGTTGGAAGAGCAAGAAGCCAGCATACGCCAGTTGGAGGTAAGCTGATAAAAATTTCCAAATTCTTTTGCCTTTTACATTCCTCTGAAAATATCAAACTTTCTGTGCTCTTATTACAGAGCGACATCAGTGACGTGAATCAGATCTTCAAAGAATTAGGGGCTCTTGTACATGAACAGGGTGAAGTAATTGACTCCATCGAAGCGTCTGTTGAAAGAACAGAAGTATTCGTAAACGAAGGCACACAGGAATTACGACAAGCGGCTACTTATAAAAATAAATTACGCAAGAAGAAATGCATCCTCGTGATTATCGGTGCTGTAGTAGTATCCATTCTCATCGGGATTATTGTCTGGCAGAGCAAATCGTAAGGTATATCGGTATTTTGAATAAACTGTTATACGACGTACGGAATTTGTGGTAGTAAGCATATGGTGCAACTAGAAACTATCAACATGGTGGGAATTATTTTTAAAAGAGTTTCTAAATTGTATGGTTGCTGGGACCGTGACCGATAATAAGTTAAAACTGAAAAGATTTACTACGTCGTCATACAGTTTTTCGTGCTTAATCTATACGTCCTGCGGACATCATTTCTCATATAAAAAATGATAAAAAGTAATGAAAAGTATATTTCACGGCTATTTGTGCAATGAGTCGTGTGATTGTCCTGTCCATTTGTACGATACGCTATTGCCATACGACGTTTACTCGATTACTATTGATATAAACATAATTTATGCTTATCAGTTTTAGAAAATATACTCGATGAGTGTATACACTCGTAGAAAATATACCACGCTAAAAATGTGACGCGTAACATGAGATGCGAGTGCTGCATTATTGCGATTATTGCAGCGTATCGCGAGTGGGCATTTACGAAATTCTGTAAATCATTCCGGATAATTAACTTTAACGTAATTATTTTACAGTACTTCGTAGAATAACCGGCAGGTGGTTAACAGCCTGATGTATTATATTATATTTAAGGATGTTGATTTATTTTAATCAAAATGTAACAATCTACATATATGAATATCTCGTCTCACTGACTTTTTCTTTAATACGTCTCAATGTGATAAAGTAATGAGTCAAATCTCTTATCCGCTGAGTTCCAGATAGTACCCTAATATCTGAGCCATAATTAATAGTGGCAATTATCGTCACTAGTAAGGCAAGTATTCTAACCCTTCCAATTGAAGATTGGATGGATAATCCACGGGAAGAAAAAGGAAAAAGATCCCTTATATCTTTTGGACAAATTACTGTTCTCTTAGTAAATGAAAAGTAGACGGAGGAAATGAAGTACGAAAATACGACGAATGAAGAGCGAGAAAGTGTAAAGATGATAGAGGAAAGGTGATTCAAAGATGGAAAAGGAATGAAGATGGTAGGAAAGAATGTTGCGAAATGGGCTCCATCCCACCCATTTTAATGACGCCCTACTTCTCCTACAAGGAAGCTACAGTGAGTTGGCTACAAATCCTCTGTGATCTAAGTAAGAATGGTTTCTCAGGATTCAGGGAAAAAATTGCAAATTGGGAGATTCCGAGGAAAAGCCTCAAGGATAAGGATGTAGGTTTATTACGAATTACAAAAGCACACGTGAAAAGGTCCAGACGAAGCTGTCGTTGATTGGAAATACACAAGACAAAGCCCAGCCTCCACTCTATACTCTAACCTTACTTCCTGGTCAGTCAGTTAGTTTCTCGCAGCACGAAACGCACGAGAATGCCCAGTCTATTTAACTTTGCTCACGACGGTGTGTTTATGGTATGATTGCTGTATAACGGGTTCCTTGTTTGCAGCTGCATCACCTCGGTGAATTCATTACCATCGCGAATACTACGTCTCTATTGGCAACCAGAATTATCATGGCCTACAGTCTGGAGAATCTATGAAATGCTGATAGCATACATCTTTTTTTGGCTATAAATGTTGATCGTATAGAATCTTCATAAGGCACACTTAGAGTAAAAATATGCAGGTACCTCTTGGAAAAAATGAGAGAAAGATCACACTCTGTACTCAAAGTTTAAGAATAAATGATAACATCCACGAAAACGTCGTATTAATAAATTCAAAAGGAATAACAATTTACACTTGCTCGTATACTATGGGTATGCTAAATACCCATAGGAATCCTATTTGAGTACCTATACTTAGTATTTTTTAATATATCAACCATTTCGAAAGATGTCAAATTATACATTCAATATGGCTATCCAACACCGACCTAATATCTCTTCGTTAATATCATGTATCAACAGACACAATTGATGGCGACTTTACGACATTGCAAAAGATATGATGATGAAAGCTCTTCTAAAAGATATACATAGCAATGTATTTACGTTATGTCAGTAATAGTTAGCTCTCTATAACTTTAAGTAGTAGCCGGTGTTCAACGACTCGTTTATCAATACTTTTTAATGTCGACATTAAATTACTAATGCCTTTTAAAAGAAGGAAGTCAAACTAGCTGTCCTCCAGACTTTCAGACCTGCTTATCATAAAAGAATTTTTACCACCGCGAAGTGCCTATAACAACCTAAAGTTAGTCAGCAGCCGGCACCCGAGCGGATCGGTTGTGCGCTCTCGGGCAGAGCGTAACAGATAATATAGATAAATATAGTTATAAGGTTCTTACTATTTTAGACTCTGTAGTTCTCTGAAGTAAAGGAAGGAACACCTTAAAAGTAAGAACCAGTGGAGATAGTGTGATAAATTTTAATATCGAAGAAGCAGAATGATTGGTATACGGTTCTTGCCAGTTTTGATCTTCGATTTGATTATGATTCAAGATCATTTTGTCACTACTTTGCCAGGTACTTGACCTCATGCTAATTTAGTTTTACTGTTCTGTATAGATAGATTCATATATAAATCACGCTTGATTTTTTAACTCTGCTGGTGACTTTAAATGCTGATATTTACGTGGTTTAATTAGATTTTATCATACTTAGTACTTGGATATGTCAATATCGTTGTTTTGGTTCATTTCATATTCTATTATTAGAGTCCAGTTATATTTAATTTTATTTCTCGGAATTAATCGCGCTCACCAAGAAATTTGTCATCGTTTGGTGCGTCTCTTGCATATTTTCATATTATTGGATTAAGAGATAACGACGAGCGGATTTAGTATAATCTTTATTGATTATCACGATAAATTTTTCCTGCTAAATTCGAGAATCCTTGATAGAGCAAATGTCAAGAACATTTTGAATGCTCCGTATGATTAAATTCTAAATTCGATCGAAAAATATAAATGCTCGTTTGTGAAAATTTCCACAAGGAATAATACAGTGACTGGTACAAAGACTGTACTGTATTCATTGTCAGGGAACAATATCAATTAGTAGACACCTCGTTAAATCGTGAATGTGTCACAGTTAAATTTCATAATCGATAATCTATCTTGTGCGCCTATACTATTAATCGTTACACACATTATGATAAAATTTGTCCATCTGCACAATGTCGATGAATATGAATAATCTCACACGCTGGTAAGAACAGCGCACGTTAAGAAAGAAATAAAATAGAGGTGCAAATTATTGTTCGTATTTACTGATGAATTACGTCACGTGTTTATCGCATTGGTGACTGATTTAATTACCTATTAGCGAAGAAATATTTCTTGAATAATGGATACTCATTTGGTTATAATAAAAACTTCAAGTTTTCTACTCATTTTGACATCGCTTAAAAAATCGATCATTCTCAACTTATACAAAATTTTTCACCTGATCACCCAGCATTTTGCTCCTTATGTCTGAGGAATCTGCAACCAATCGAAACATCATATACAATTTTTTCTTCTTAAATGTTGACTATAAAAAATTCAATCGCAACATAAAGGATGATTTTGTGAATACATATGTTCTAATGGTTATACTCATTCACTACGTAGTTGAATAAAATCCACGTAGCATGCAAACTGCATGAGAATCTTAATCAATCAAGTAAGAAAACCAGTCGACTAATTGCACGAGTTGTGATGTAATGCCGAATGCACCCATGGAGTTTGTTTTTGTGTTTCATAGCCTCTAGATTCTATGTTTAGTTAAGATTGCAACTGTAATCTTTCTTGCTTCAAGAAAATTCACTTCAAGGTTTCTTTATTTACTACTTTATTACTATTATATACGTTACTATTTACCCACGCCACTTACTATCTGGTGTGTAAGCACAATTTTTCTTGGATTATACATATTAACTCAGGCACATCTATTAGTACACTTTTGATCTTTAAGGTTAAGTTCAAAAACTCATTGTCACTGATGTAAATTATACGTCTAGCGGCTTTGCAGATCATCGTTTGGATTATACTGAGGATTTACAATAGATCGCAATTGTGATCACGTTCACTTAGCTATTACGAGTCGTAAATAGAATAGCATTTAGTTAATGCTTAAGCACAATGGCATACCTCGAGCATTATACAGTGTTGTAATACTGCCTAGAATATTTCAATAGTTAACATTTCTCGCCTTCTGTAAATAAACGTGTATCGTTTCTGCAAAATAATGTCTAGAGCCAAATGGAAAACATTGAAACAAAAATAATATCGCTCGGAGAAATTATTTACTGTTCTTTGGAAACGATCCAAATGTTTCAAAGAAGCCTCACCTCTGCAAAAGTGCCCCGAGCTCTCTATATATATATACATATACATATAAATCTTCATTCTTCAGAAGTTTCATAAACGTTAGTAAGGTCTACACCAGCCTGAAATCGTGCACTTATCTCAAGTCGTTCTTTTAATTCACGTAATCGACTCAACAAGCGCACACCAGGAGATCCCAAACAGTGGATGCTAGTTGATGGTGGTAAAACAGTCGCAGTAGCAATACCATCTTATACTTCGTAAATTTTTTTTTCCTCTTTTTATTCCACGCGGTACTATCTAAATTCTGCGTACGTTGTTCACGCATTCATAGCAGGAAGCGCGGTATGCATACCTATGGAAATCATATTCACAAATAATATTATATGAGTGAGTAAGGTAGAGATAAAGCGAGAGTCATGCTAAGCATTTAGAGAAGTGATATCATTAAAAATGATCTGAGTATACACGGATCCTTCTTCGGATCATTTGAGTAACTGAATATACCTTATTGTTTCATGGCGAAGCACGTGAGCAAGATGATACGGGTTACAGAGTACCCAGGAGTAACGAACCTTTGGAAAACAGCAAACCTGTAGACCAGATAAGTGCTGAGGTTGCTGATGACAGAAACAACGACGGTGTCCTATGCATCATTGAGTTTGATTCTGAGTTTAAAGTCAATGCTGAGGTTGGAGACGTTTCAAAAGACAGCGAATACGTGGATACCACTGAAAGTTCTGCTGGTAATAAAAAAAGAAAATTTATGATTTATTACATAATGATTCATCACGTTAAATGGTAGAATTAAAAAAAACTATTCTTACTTTGTATGTCCAGAAGATGCTGAAGTACAAACTACCCTGGATCCATGGTCCGTTGTTTGGTACATAGGATCATTTGGTGGACTCGTGACATTTTTCTTGGTTGTCAGTTGCTCAGAGTGGTGTTGTCGGCGTGGTACGTCACGAACATTATCACCAGGCCGTCATACAGAACCAATGATGGGAACTTGTACGTCAGCGACGACGACTGCTGGTGTATCAGATACGCCACCACCTCCTTATCACCTCTTCGCACCACCTGCCTACGATTCTATTGATTATTCAGAAGTGGCGGACAAACATCATATTGAAAAATTGAACGTATTCGTCATATCTGTTCCCAACCGTAACCCGTAATCAGAGAGAAGAGGACGGCATTGGAAGTGTCGAGCCTTTGGAAATGTTCATTGTCTACCGAGATCTCAGGGTGAAGTCTAGATACCAATGATGTTCAGGGTAGTGGAATTGCCTTCTGTACAAAGAATTATTGGTTACTGATTATCAATATGATTTATAGTGAGTCAGTTCCAAAATGGCTAATGATAACTACAAGTTCTTTGGGTACGTTTCGAAATTGAATATCAGTACTACGTATAATTGTATTTCGGTCAGTTGATAACGGTAAATGAAGACATGACGATACTCTAATAAGGGTAGTAAGTGTGAAGAAGGAACAATTAAAATTCTGTAGGAAATGAAAGATGGATGCGATGGTGTTCTCTTATGGAGATTTGTACATAGAATGTTATGTATTATATTATATTAGTATCTATAATGTATATAGCTTGATACTCATTAGAACATTAATTTTGGTGCATCTACGTCACTCTACTTGTAATGAAAATCGATCGATCGTGGTAGCTGTTGGTTCTTGTGATTCATTATGACGTTAGTGAGGACGTATCGTTTGACCTCAATCGGCACCGTCTCTTCAAGGACGTCAATTGCACCCAATTATAAAGAATTGCGGTGGAAGCCATCAAAAGATCTTCAGGCATTTATAATGGATGAACTATCGAATAGGAAATATATAATTTGCATTGTTATAAGGAAAACAAACAAACAGCCTGTACCTGCCATTATTGATACGAATGCTGAGACATACGTTGTTTCACGTTTGTAACAATTATGTTCCGCTTGATATAACGATGGATTTCCAAAGTTGATCTCACACAGTCGCTCAAATAAATTTGATGGAATTTATTACTGTTTTAACTCAGCGTGCCCAAACTCGAGTGTGACCCACCCAAAACCCGTCTTGTACTCGGTGTTAAAATTTTATGTCACGCACGCCAAGTTAATGCTATAATTTACATTCGTATAGGTGCGGAAAACGTGTCTTTATAAGATAAATATATTTTTTGTACTTTTATATGCATGTATGTATATAAATATATATAAATGCCATGAGAGCAAGGAACCTTGCTAAAAATAAAATGTATTTACATCAGTACCTTCTTATGTTATTGTCTTCCCCTAATAAAGTGTGATCTCATAAAAAGCTGTTGCAGCTTGTTGCGATATTTGAAACTTGATTGATATATTATATGATTGAAGGATAGTTGGGATTTTACCTTGATCAAAGTTTTACTTCGAATAGGTATGGAAGTTTTTTGATTACAGATCAATATAGGTAGTTGCTTTCATGATAGACCATTCCAACGATTTTCTGCTTCAGTACCATTGTTTTGAAACAATCAATCATTTTGGAAAGTCTAAGCGACTGCCAAGTGTGACTTTATCAATGATTAATAATTCAGCTAGCTATCTCTTTTAAACCTAAATATTGAATAATGATATTGTTTTATTAAAAAGAAATTTGATTTATCGCGTTTCGCTGGTAAAAAGGAACAAACACCGGTTGCGACATCGTGATGAAAAAGTATGAACGTCATCATCAAGTGTGTCGTTATAACAAAACTGAAGAATCTTCCTTTCCAACTTATGTCATCTAGTCACATCTAGTGTGTGAAAGATTTTTGTCAATTAGAAAATTCACGCTGTTTTCATTACTCGCAAAATTTCTTGCAAGGATTGTTCATGGAGCCTTTGAATAAAATTTATTAGACTGCTGACGGTAACGCTCTCATGACAAAATGGAATGTGATTTTCTTTTAATTTTCAAATATCTAACCTGACAATGGAGTACTTAGGCGAAGCAGTTGCTCTCGGTATTGACAGTATAATATTTGGAATTTGTTTAAGACAATATTTTCATTGCAAAAATGCTATCGCGGCTGTTAAGGTAAAATGATCGTTTATGCCTTTCTTTGTCTTATGAAAATATGGAATTGACAGTGTGCAACCTTGCATTGTTAGTCTTGCGAACATTTAGAAATACTATGTAATCTTTTCTAGGCTGCTGAGTTTCACGAAGTCGGAGAAAATCTCAATACATTAGTCAATAACAGCCCAGATAATCGAGTGGGATATGTAGCGATAAGAGGAGCTGTGAAACCATTGGGTAAACCACTTTATAGTATGACAGACAAAAGATCGACTGGAGTCATTCAAAAACTTAGTGTCAAAGAACATGTTGTTGCTAGAACAACAGCTGGGTTTTGGTACGTTGTATTACATTATAAATTATACTTATACCTTATCTACAATCTAATGTTCATTGTCATGTAATAATGGGAGAAACATCTAATTAATATTGCTAGATATAAATGTTATATTCGTAATAGATAAGAAGTATTTTGATATATAAGAAATAACAATAAAATTTGCATGAATAAATTGCAGGTCAGACCAAGAACGCACAATGCAAGAAGTGTACAACAGTGTTCCATTTGCTTTACAACAAGGAGGCTATCAAGTAGAAGTGGTAGATCCAATGGCAGCTGATATATTAGACTTGGACACAATTTCTGATTATTTTGAGCCATGTATTCCAACCATTGCAGATCATATATGGGGTTTTTTTACAGGTATATAGATAATATATAGAATAAGAATAATAGACTTTAAGAAAAGTTCTCTTTTCATTTTTTTCTTATCGTTCTTTATCTTGGATGAGGTGAAGTACCAGAGTATACTTTTTCCATTATATGTCAGGTGTTCGACAACGCGGCCTTCAATCCACAGAAGAAATGCTTCGCGACGGTGCAATAGTTACCGGAATTGGTGAATTGTCAAAATCTGTAACTAAACCTGGTTCATTAAGCTTACAACCTCCACTTTCTGGAACACCATTTTACCTCACAACAATGTCTGTTGGATCATTAATCAGAAATCTAGATGACAAGAAAAGAACTTATAGGCAAGAGATTTTGTTTTTTGTAATCTCCATGTAATTATATAAAAAATTTGTATTGCCTGCATGATACAATATGCTTATTCTACATAATTTCAGATGGCTATGTCTAATGTTTGGTGCCATCGGAATTTTGATAGGCGGAATAATGGCTCGACGTTATTGGAAAGATCAGGAACAGCAACGACACTTAGATGAATTACGTCAATCACTAGATGCTTCACGAAAAGAACGAAGACGTAGAGTACGGGATAAAGATTTAAGAGAAGATCAACTATGCGTTGTATGTCGATCAAATCCTCGAGAAATAATTCTGCTACCTTGTGGCCATGTTTGTTTATGCGAGGATTGTTCGGATGACATAATCGACGATTGTCCCGTATGTCGGACAGGAATCCGACAGAAATCAGCAGCGTACTTCGTTTGATTAAAACATACCGGTAGGCATTAATATCTATACAATATTTTTGTCATTATCAGTCAAGAAAAGGAAAAAAAAATGTTGCAACACTATCGTTATCAATAAGTCCTTTATTACATTTGCAAATCTCCATACCTTTGAAACACAAACTAAAAATTTATACGCGTTTTAAGTCGATTTACTTCAGCCTGCTGAAGTCGCACTTTACTCGACTTGCCAATGCCTAATTTAGGCATACCACGATTTAGGCCCTCAAGCAATACACATGCTTTACATACTTCACAACTTGACACGAAACCACAACGTGAACAATTTCGTCTCTCCGGCATTTTAATAGTGCCTTTTGCCTGTAATCGTTCTCCTGAACAAAAAAAACTTTTTGTAGATAAAATTGAGGTAGGAGAATAAGTAAAAGATATCGTTTGTTCAAACTTTGTTTAGAGTTCAGTATTTACCTGAATGTATAATATCAATAATTGCTGATGGACGGATTTTCTCAAGATCTTTTAAATACGCCCTTGCATGACCACGATATGCATTTGGTGCAAAAACGCATTCAGTAGAGAAATACACAAGACGCTTGAAGTATGCGTACATTACTATTTCTTTTTCATACGTGTATTTTAGCGGCTTACAACGTGTTATCGAACCTTCTCCCGACTGTTTAAAGCAGAAAATATTGCTGTAATTATGACTTTGTGACATTACAGCGTGACTAGTAGTAGTCACTTACTGTTTTCATGAATTATAGGCTCTCTACTTTTGTGATTTTTATTTGCACTTGAATGAGATCAATGTAGTTTTCTTTACCGTTATCGCAGATGTACAACGTTGTAACCGAGCAATGTCTCCTCTCAACACATTCATTAAAACAGTCTCTGCGATATCGTCAGCATTGTGCCCAGTTGCAATGCAATCCACTCCTAAAAGTGCTGCACCTCTGTCAAGGGCTTGCCTTCGGAAGACACCACAGAATGTACAATTATTCTTTCTACCTATCTGAGAAATGTGTCAACAGTTAAGACTATGATTTCCAGTAATGGGTAAAGAATCTTACTGATTTTGTAAAATATTGATTACCTGGGCAACAATAGAATCCATAGTCCAACCATATAACTCTTCGTAAGAAAGAATTTTAAGAGGCATTTCATAATCATCTCGATTTTGTTTTACAGTCTCCAGACTGTCGTCCCGATACCCTGCAATAAATAAGTTATTATAATGTCACTTAAATGCCGAGAATCTGTTGTAATTGTAACCAACCAGTAATTCCTTCATCAATAGAGAGAAGAAATAATTGGAGACCATAGTTATACCGCTCATTTAGTAATTTCAGAACATATGCAAGTACAGTTGAGTCTTTACCACCAGAAGCTCCTATTGCTACTTTATCACCTGATTTGAATAGTTTTCCATTATCAATAGTATTATGAATTTCTGTCTCAAACGCCCAGTAAAAACATTCCTTGCATAAGGCATCCCCAGTTTTTGGTCTCTGAAAATATGCACAATTTTAATAAGTATTTAATATCTGTTTCCAGGCCTAACATGAGCGTCTTTTCGAAATGCGATTGTGGAAAAGGCATTTACTTTAAGTATTGCGTTGTTCCCACATTTAGCGGAGCATAACACGGGCATTTTCACGGATTTTGCCTCTCCGAGAAAATACCTATTTCATGTAGTGGTGGTAACCTATCAACTAGTATAAACGCATTTGCTGATGTTTGACACTAAATCAGAGGAAGCCAGTGAAAGCATAAATGGCAGTGATGCTCAGAAAAATTGTAATATACATAGAATAGAAACAATTCTAGTATAATTTCACAACCTAATGTTTTTAGCCCCCTGGTGGACAATATCAGAGTTATAGAGTTAAAGAACAGCGCTTCTATCAGTAACTTACAAATAACTAATATCTTCAGTTAAAGACAGTTATCAAATACTATTGAAATATAAAATCAAAATTAGCGTAAATTTTTCTTGAAAAAATTCAAAACTATACAACTTTCACTAATTTTGAATAACTATGATGCACTTTTCCAGGTGATAGGGGCAAATTTAAGTCGATATCGTAGAAAGGTACGGAATTTCCATAAATGATGGCGACCGTAAGCTTGGAAGGACGTCCGTCTACAGGCAGCACTGTCACTCATTACGTCAGACCATAATGACGTAATATGGTTAATTGCTTCTACTTTCCCAAGTCTGCCTTTATGAAAAAGCCAAATCAAATCCAAAGAAAACACACGATGCGTGATGCATCGGCTCACGGAATCATAAAAATATGATTGCCAGAACGGTCTACCATCGTTGTTGACGTTCATTTTTACAACGTAAACCACGGTACTTAATCATTGCGGCGTTGGATCAACACGATGCGAAGAATCGTGATCATTGACTTGTATACAAGTCTGGGCACTTTACGCATTTCACGTTTTCCAAGCGTAACCCTAATGACTGAAAGTTTCTACTTTTAGCCGCAACGCTAATCTCGGAGAAGCCTACTGCATTTCACTCTAATGGCACATGGAGTCACCTGTAATAAGTTAATAGGACACTTTTAATTTTTAAAGTTTTTTTTAGTACTAATTGTTTGGTAGTCGTTTGGTGGTGATTGGTAGTCTAATTAAAAGGTTTGGTAGTTAATAGTTCTTCTCGGATATTAAAAATAAATTTCAGCGATAAGTTAGCCGGACATATTTCATTTATTAACCGATTTTATTCGATGCGCAATCGTTTGGTGGTTATCAGTGGTTATGAATAGCTTAGTTAAAAGTTTTGGTGGTCATTGATTCTGGTAAAAATTTTAAAAGATGATAATGGCGTCGAATTTATCGGACAAATTTGTATTTTATGAATAGTACCGAAATTCCATGATATCTTGATCGAAGCTCAATCGTTTGGCGATGATTGGTCGTCTAATTGAAAAACGTTGCTAATTACTTGTTTTAATTTGCCGCATTGACTACGTTTACATAGACGGGTTTTAGAAAGGGTTAACCAATCATGTTCGTTTATTCTTTTTAATTCTTACATATGATTGGTTAATCCTTTCTAAAACCCGTACGTGTAATGTATTTATTAAAACATTTTGGGGCCCAGTCACGCTCGTTTGAACGCAAGTCCCGACTAATGACACAATGTGAATTCCTTTGGATGTGTTATATCATTGGTCGACAGTCTGCGTTCACACGCGCATTTAATGCTAACTCATCGCCATCGTGTGACCTACTCCCGCCGGTATTGCGTTTTTGGCAAAATCAATGACCACTAAAACTTTTAACTAAGCTATTCGTAACCACAAAACAATTGCGCATAGATTTACCCCCTTATCGAACAAAATTGATTAATAAATAAAATATGTGTCCAGCTAAAATTTGTTTTTAATATTCCAGGAAACCTATTGACTACCAAACCTTTTAATTAAGCTAGCAATCACCACCAAACGATTGATAAAACAAAAAATTAAAAAATTTAAGTATCCGGCTAATTTATTACAGGTTTCACATAAGGCACGTCTCGCGAGGTACATCGCCATCTAGTGTGGAACTTTCAATGTTGATTATATAGGACCAGTTACTGGCATATGTCTCCCATTGGGAATACGGCCATAAGGTAAAGAAGGAATCTGGTGCGCATGTGCCATTAGAGTGAGAGAGAGGGATGCACAGGCTCCTCCGACACTAGCGCAGCGGCCAAAAGTGGAAACTTTCAGAGTCATTAGGGTTACGCTTGAGAGACGTGAAACGCGTCAAGTGCACAGACCTGTATATAAGACCATGCTCGGCACGATATCGCAAGACAAACATTGCACGTGAGTACAAAAAATATCTGTTATAAACAATCAATCATTTCTCGTAGTGTAAAAATTAAATGTAATTTTTTTTTCCTTATCCAAAAACTGGGCGACTCCCTTGCCACCCAGTCGTCAGCAATGGCGGCTGCGGTTGTCTTTTCGATAAACTCTATGGCTACGTGGTGGTATCACTCAACAATTTCATCTCGTTATTCTACTATTTACTTGAAATTTATGGGAAAATAAGAATTTTTGTCAATCATGAGTTAGGCGATGATTTACCTAACAACTCCTCGCTACTTCGTATTATCTTTTGCACTGTATGCCTTTATACCTTCTACATACTACCTCTACATATATATACTGTACTATATTCACGCAGTACAGTATGATGCAGGAATTACAATATTTTACTTTATTGATAATTCCTGTAGATAATTGATTATAATGGCTCTCATTTCATAAAACAGTTATATGCCATGATCCTCATTTAGAATTTTTTTTTTTGTTATGTTTTAGTAGGTGACATGCCTAGCAGTCGTGATATCGAGCGTGCCGAACGTAACGGAAGATTCAGATCGCGACGGAGAGACAGCGCGAGTAGCGACGTAAATCGTCATGGCTTGGAGAGTTCAGACAAGCGACATAGACGACACGCTAAGAGCAAGAGCTCTGGAAAGAAGAAGAAGAAGCACTCGCACGATAAATCCTTGGATAGTGTCCCAACCGTAGCTTCTTCCGTGATTAAACCATTAGTGGAATATTCTGATGTGAGCAGCGAAGCCCTGTCTGGACCAGAAGCTGGGGAAATACAGTCTGAGGATAGTAGAGGAAATAGCTACACTGATGGGGAAATCGGAGACCAGATGCCACAGAGAAGATACTACGGTGGTAGTCCTGGTCGCACACTTGGTGCATCTCCAATCAGTCTTTCCCCATCACCTCCAATGCAACGGCGACACGCCAGTCGAAATTATTCACCTACGGATGAGCCCCAGGGACAGCAGATGCAACAAAACAGAATCTCGCCAGAGTATGGTGAGGAATCTAGACGTTATCCTCGGAGGAAGGAAAAGAAGCATAAAAGAGAGAAAAAGAAGAAGCGAAGCATCAGTCCTTCTTCTAGTTCTGGGAAAAAGAAGAAGAGGAAATCAAAGAGGCAATCACGTAGTATCAGCCCAAGGGTTCCAGAGGAAATTGTTATCAGTTCTGATAGAGAAAAGGATGGTTGGCCGGAGTCACCACTATTGCCACTGAAGGATAGTACTTCTCCGATTTCACCAGCTACACCACAAGAACAACGTTTCCCTAGCGATATGGATCTGGAATCGCCACCGCTACCTCCACCGCCACATCCTAGAGAATCCATCAGGGAACTTCGTGATGGAAACTCTCCAACGTTACTTGCACCAAGACATACGGAGTCTCCGCATACTCCTCTTCTACCACCGAGAGCTATCACTCCGGAAAGTGGAAAAGGTACAAGGGCTTCATCAAAACATAGTCCTGATAGACGAAGACACAGTCCAGGTTTAGTAGTTGGTCATGTACGAAGATCTAGTATCAGTCCTGGACCTGTAGTGAGTGGTGCTCGAAGGAGACCTCATAGTCCAAGTCCACCATCGAGAAGACGCGATCACAGTCCTCCCAGAAGAAGAGAATTTAGCCCGAGTTCTATGATTCATAGACTTAGGCACAGTCCCAGTCCTACGAGTATTAGACGTAGGGAAATCAGTCCTAGTCCTGGGGGAAGTCACAGACGTCGAGGGGATATCACGTCCAGTCCTACGTCATCGAGTAAACGTAGAAGACGTGAAGAACCCGATCGGAGACACAGGCATCACGAGAAGGACAGACGAGATAAGAGGAAATCGCGATCCACTAGAAGTCCTACAGGAAATCGGTACATAAACATCGATTTTTTGTATACAAAAATACTTGGCAAGTTTTTTTTTTTGTTTTAACTTACTCTTTTCTCTGTAGATTACCAATGCCCTTGTCTAGATCAAGATCCCGCAGCCCAGGAAGATGGAGGAAGGCACAGTCGCGCTCTAGATCGCGGTCTCGTAGAAGAAGTCGCACGCCTAAAAGATCTCGTTCTCCCAAATCCCACAAGTCCGCCAGGAAGCACAAATCCAAAAGCCCCAGACCATCCCGAATACCATCCCCATCGCCACACAGATCGCGCGCGCGTAGTCCTACGACCATGAGTGCAAGGATTCTTCGTGTTCAGGCGAAGATTAGCGAGACTAGTTTATTTGCTGAACTTGTTAAAGACAGGAATATGAGAGAGCTCGCTTATAAGAAGCTACAGGCTGCCAAGGAGAAAGCTGTAGTGAGTCAGGACGAGGTTCAAATCATCGAGGGTTCAGATGACAGAGATGGAAGTAACACATCTTCTGAAACGAAAGATAGACCCTCTAATGGCAAAGAAGGTCCACTCAGAGAATCTATTAAGTGTGTCGACGTGGTAGACATTCCCGTTCCCGTAGTGTCATTAGGTGCGATGGAAGACGACTCTATGGCGGGAAAAACCCCACCTTTACCTGCTGGTCAATTAATCACTACGATAACTTCGAGTGTTACAAATAATCAAGTACGTGATTCCTCAACAATTATTGCTAATGTGAATAATTGTACGGCTGATAACGGAAACGGAAGTATTTCTAGTAATTCCGGAAATCTTCAAATCCCTGTGCAAACCGATTCTGCAAATGCAGGCTCGTTGCAAGTACCTGTTCCTGTGCCTGTTCCCGCACCTATGTCGACATTGCCAAATCTTAGTATTCCACCACCACCAATTCACACGCTAATACCATCAGTCAACACGGCCATCTCCAAGTTTAATACACCCAACAACCTAGTTCCTCTAAAATCCGTGGATCCTCCTAAACCTCCCATTGTAGCTTTTAAAACTAAGAGTCTGTCGAGACTGCCTCTACCTCCTGGTATCAATCAAAATGATCTCGAGAGTATTGATTCGCCACCAAGTCGATCACCGAGTCCACCTAAGGGTCAGGGTAAAATAGCCGGAACACTTAAAGTACCGCTAAAGAAGAGTATCAAGGATCTACCAATGCCTCCAGGTATATTCTTCATAAATTATTATACAAGAAAATGCATAATGATTTTATGTGAAAACGAATACTAAGTTGAATAGGTAACAATTATATATAAAGTATATATTATTTTTTAGTTGTACCAGGCTCTGAAGATCTAAGTGGCGAGGATGATCCAAACGCTACACCGCCACGAGGAAAGCTCGACCGAATTACTCCTAAACCAAAGTTGAAGAGGCCAAAAATATTGAAGAGAAGAGGATCTCGAAATTGCCACATGCCGATGTCCGCTTCCGGTGGCAAAGACTGGGGCGAACGTTGCGTCGACGTCTTCGAGATGATTGCTCAAATTGGAGAGGGAACGTATGGTCAAGTTTACAAGGCTCAGGATAAGAGAGCCGGTGTCCTTGTAGCCTTGAAGAAGGTTCGTTTAGAAAACGAGAAAGAAGGTTTTCCAATAACGGCTGTGCGTGAAATCAAGATCCTCCGACAATTAAATCACAAGAATATCGTGAATCTTCGAGAAATCGTCACAGACAAACAAGATGCTCTGGACTTTAGAAAGGTACCCGTATACCAAAATCCAATATAATGAAAATATATTTACAAATTGATGTAACATCTATGAATTATCATCTCCAGGACAAAGGTTCCTTCTACCTAGTTTTCGAATACATGGACCATGACCTTATGGGCTTACTAGAGTCTGGAATGGTTGATTTCAACGAGATGAACAACGCCAGCATCATGAAACAATTATTAGACGGTTTGAATTATTGTCATGGGAAGAATTTCTTGCATCGGGATATTAAGTGTTCCAACATCCTGATGAATAACAAGTATGTGACGTGATTAAGATCTTTCTGAAGTATGTGATATTCATATCACATTATATGCTAATTCATCTGCTTTCAGAGGAGAAGTCAAGTTAGCCGATTTTGGTCTAGCTAGGCTCTACAATGCTGAAGACAGACAACGTCCTTATACAAATAAAGTGATAACCTTATGGTACAGGCCACCGGAGTTACTCCTAGGCGAGGAACGTTACGGTCCAGCAATTGATGTCTGGAGCTGTGGCTGTATACTTGGTGAATTATTTTCAAAGAAGCCTCTCTTCCAGGTGAGTATATATATACAATCATTACGATTGCGCAGAATATCAATTTCAATATTGAACAACTAACATAGGCGAACGTGGAGATGATGCAGCTAGAAATGATATCTCGTGTATGCGGTACACCGACACCCGCAGTTTGGCCGTCGGTGATTAAATTACCACTGTGGCACACGTTGAAACCGAAAAAGTCCCACAGACGTCGTCTACGGGAGGACTTTTCCTTCATGCCAGGTCCAGCACTGGATCTACTTGACAAAATGCTGGAATTGGACCCGGAAAAGAGAATAACCGCAGCTGATGCATTGAAAAGTTCTTGGTTGAAGAACGTCCAGCCCGAACAGTATGTCTTTCCCAAAAAATCCATATTAACTTCCATCATGCATGCCATTACAATAACTCATTTATATAGTATAAATACTTTATTTTCACAAATCGATAGAGTTAAGCTAACGTACACAAAACTTTTCGTAGAGGGATAAATTATTCTCGTGATTCTAAAACATAAAAGTTCTTAGCCTGTTTATCCATTTCTCGACATTACCTGCACGACTTCTTGATAGCTAGTGGAAAGCTATCGTATACAAGTATATACAATATCATAAATATAGTTAGCAATACTTGTCGTAAGATTATCGATCCACGTAATAATCTACGAAATCAAGTCAGTGAAGATTTTTCCCAGTGAAAGATCACTTTGTAATATTATTCCACGATACACTAGGATGCCGGCGCCTCAGCTTCCGACCTGGCAAGATTGCCACGAGCTATGGAGTAAGAGACGTAGACGTCAGTTACGAGAACAACAAGAAGGCACGACGGGAAAGGTTCCCCTACTACCCCTTCCTAACAAAGGTGGTCCCCACAAACCTGTCGAGGACCTGTCGGACGTCGGCGGGTGAGTAGCAGTAAATCGACACGTCAAAACCGCGATTTACAAAATAAACAAACCAGAAGACTTGTCGAGGTACCCTGAAGTATCGCTTACACGTATAGTAGGTGTAGTTCGTGCGCTTGGCATGGTGTTCTCTCTTTCATACGTTACAAGAAAAAGAAGTTCTCGTGGAACATGAAAAAAGAATACAAGCACAAAAGACATATATTCGGTCTAGACAAATGAGGAACCAAAAAAAAAAAAGAAGACAAAAATGAGATGCTAGAAACGTTGATAACCAGTGCAAAGTAACGTGCCTCTTATTGCGAAATAATTCACCGTCATTTTGGTATAAAATTCGCGATATTCTCGAACAAAGAAAGCAAATGATAACGTAACGCTATGAAAGCTAATATCAACGTCCACACAACGTTGAAATTGATGGGATGATGAAACATGTACAATGAACGCTTAACCGTTAACAGAAGCGTTTATTATTGAATAATAAAAGTGGCAAGGACTTTATGGTAAGTGCACGTCGATGTTTCTCTATCTAACATTCTTTGTAACGAGCCAATAGTTTATTACATTAATACACGACTTGGAATTACTGTTAAAAAAAAGACAAAGCAGAAACAATCAATGATTGAATCAATTCGATGTACACTGATTCGCATGCAAATGTCGACGTGCACCGAATCTTGATAGCATTGAAATAAGGTATCGAGGATGTACCGAAATAAATGATAGCATAATAATATAAACGTGGAGGATCGACAATAGCACTTAAGGATTCTCCCGTTGATGTAAATATAATATGACGGCGATGGGCAGTACGAAGGAAAATGGAGGAAGATGTCACGCAGGACGCAGAAGACTGGAAATATGTCGAGGGATCAAGACTTTAATCGTTGTTCGGAGACCATCGAGCCTTCATGGACGACCAATATCTAATTTCTTTTTTCTTTTCTTTCCTAATGTTACTTTACCTTTTTCATATTCTCCCTTTTAATATCTTTGTCTTTCTCTCTCTCTTTTTATCTCCATTTAGTTTTCTTTTTTACTTATACCAATACACAGCTCATCTCCCGTTGGCCAAGAGTCAGGATCATTTTGACTATACATATATATAACTTAAGATCCTGGTGGTAGCTGTGCCTTCGCCAAGGGGATAAGCTGCGTCGTATGGTCTGTTAAATTGTACTTGTAGATAGATACTACAGAATTATAATTAACGGGCGTCGTTACAAGTACGATAGAAGAGGAGAAAAACTTGAACGTGAAAGGTGTCGAAGAAATAAAAAGAAATAGAAGTTAAATTTAATAAAGATGTCGTCGCACGTCGTCTTTGTAACGATACCCGGCGCGTTTACAATTTCCATATATATCTTGTTTACGATTGTATAAACAAAATGACGATACACGCTGTAACATACATATTATATCGATGCCGCTGGAATAAGTCAAGTTGCATCTGTCGTACGGTTCCCTTTACAATAATAACGACGCTGACTCGTTTACTTGCTCCATTCTCTCCCAGGCAATGACGAACTCTCCTCCTTTTTTTTTTTATATTTATTTATTATCGTTTACTTTGTTTTTGTAGCATTCGACGAACGATCTTCGTTTAACGTGCAGAAGTTAACGATACCTTTTTAGGAAGAAGACGTGGAGATGATTCGCGCCGAAAGGCCTCCTCCTCCTCCTCCTCCTCCTCCTAGGAGAGAAGATCGCAACACTTTCGTTTTCTTTTTTTTTTTCTCTCAGATTTATCTCGTTGGCTTCGATCATCTTAATTCTTTATTTAACCGACGTACGCCCTTATAGTGTGCTGCGTGTTTCTCGGTAATCATACGGTGATTTTAAAGAGTATATTTTTAATAAGAATTAATGGGTAATTCTTATCAAATATATAATTTATGGCCACGTAATAAATTGTCAATTTTCACTTAAAAAGAAAAAAAAAATTTGCCTTTTCCTCGTTCATTGATTGATTCATTATTAATGTCTTTCGCTGCGTGTGTCATTACTCGAAGGTTCGATTCATTAATATTATACTGTTCATTGTTATCCTCCGGTGCAGGGTAAAGGTTTCAAAAAGAATAGAAGTGACGAAAAATAAATAAAATATAAAGATGAAAAGTGCGCTAGGATATTCACTCGATGTATAACTTTATATCCAAATAAAACAAGGAGAAGATACCTTGGCCTTGCTCTTGATCGACGAATCCATTAACGAACCATCGTATAGAGAATCGTGCCTATATATTTATTATATTTATATATATATATGTGTGTCATTTATCATATCGTTACTCGTTTGATAATCACATTGATTCTTAATGGGAACGGTATTATCTAATAAGAGAGATTATCAATGCATATAAACATGGCTTCACTTCGATTGTGCCAGCCGAAGATATCAGGACACTATGGGAAGTATAATTACAAATAATTGAAATACAATTTAAGTGTTGTAAATATATATATACATACATATAAATGTGTATATTTTAGCAAATTTCTAATACGCGATAATAATGTACATTCTTTGACGTGGCTATACGAAAGTAATCGTTGGAGATCGACGATCGAAAGCAAACTAATATTGTAGGATCTTATATATTGTGGCCTTGTATATATATATATAAAAAAATTGTATATTTCTCATTTTATCTATTTTGAAAAATATTTCCACACGTCATGCGGACGACGAGGCAAAACTAAGCGATAAACGCTTGTACTTGACACCGGGGACAAGTGATATGACTTATTCCTTCATTTATTAAATTTTTTTTTTCCTTTTGGTCATTGTCTCCGCGAACGAAAGGGAATCTATTGGCTTCTATGTATAACGAAAGGATATAATTATGTTTCAGGCGATAATTGTATTGTGGCTGATTGATAGAGGGACATATTTTGTAGCACTGTTAAGGGTGTACATAGGTAATGGATATTCTTTGGAGACCTTTTTCTTTTACTTTATTACCCTTTCGCGAATTTGTTACTTTTCTTTTGTATTTGTTGAATTTCGAGGAGAAGAGTCTTTTCCAAATTGTTTATCTACATTAAGATTTTTGTTCGGGATGTCCTGTCAATCCGGGGCTGCGATCAATGTTTAATGTGCTTTGATTAAGCTCGTCCTCTTGTACTAGAACGAATTATTCATTCCTGCGCGTTGCATGCATTTTTCTTGCGAGCGATCATTAATTGTGTATATTTTAGGGAGCATATTCGCTTTGCATCTTTTGTGCGTCCGAGGGCATCCGGCTTTTACTGATGGAATAATTACTCCGGCAGGGTTAATAATATACAATATTATATGTTACTGTATAGAATGTACTACGAGCGTTTCACGAATGATTACAATCAAAATGGTATAATTATACTTTAAGTATTATTAATGTACGATGTAATTTCTTTTCGTTATACATGTTTTTCTTGATTCTTTTTTTATACTAAACAATCGCACAAGGAATGTTATTCGTATCGTTTGGCAACTTTATTATTGTGTAAATTGTTATGGAACCGTATCTATTCATTTATTGTTTTCAATATTACACTGTGAATGTATAATAAATTATTCCGCATATTATTAACCCTTGATATAATTTTTTTTTCAATGCACTATGCGATACTTGTATGCGTATTAATAATATCAACAGATATTTTACAATGTACGCACAGGATGTTTTTGTGAATATTTATAGTTTCGAATATATCATATCGCGCGTTGCATAATTCGCAAAAACTCGTTCAGTTATTGGTAACTAAATAATAAATCGTGTACGTAGCTAATGAGTTAAAAATTCGATAAATATAAAAGTGAAGAAAATATAGAAAAGGGTGTATTAAGCAAAACTATTATAACGTTAGAGCGCATATAATCGTAAAGTTGTAATTTCATTACATCGCTAGCATCTAGAAATATTTCTTAATGTTCAAGAAAAGTCAAATATACCCAGCCGGAGTAAAATTCTGAGATAACAAAAACTAACATTGTCGACCGACCGGTAATCTATGCTAATTCAGTAATTACGATTACAGATCGTCCAAGAGACTGAAAATGGAGGCAGGCTACAATTCTCAAGTTGGCCGCCTCGGAGAAGGTCATTATACTGGTGAAAGTATGTTTGATCAGGGTGGAGGGTACTCATCTTCGTCACCACTAGCTCCACCGCTACCATCGTCGGCTCCTCCACTACCACCATCCGCGACAACATTGTCCTATTACCGTGACAGTCCGTCCGGGAAAATTAGATCTGGTGCAAAGCAGTCTTATGAAACCGAAGATTGCCTCGCCAGGAAGTTGAATACTCTGAACGATGCTCTCACACGAGGGAAACCCATCCGCGTTGATGATCTCATGTCCCTTCGGTCTGACGGCGAGGTAACTGATCACTCCTGATGAAATATTTTCAATATTTTTATCTGCAAAGTGTTAATAATTTTAATAACCTCATTGTAACGTTTTATGCAATTCTAGAGCGACCCCAAGGCAGTTCAACTCCTGGGGGAACTACATACTGAACTGAGATTGGCTGCCAATGCAAGAGCTAGTGGACGACTCGAGTCACATCTTCCTGTACTAAATCCACCGAGTGCAGGTCAGTTTAAAACATTGCTGTTAAAAAGTGATGATCCAGGAGAATAAATGTCAGTATAAGTCGACATGATTGATTTTGTTAAATATTAAGTTGTTCATATTGTAGGAAGTAACTTACACAAGCTGTAATAGGCAATTTAAAAAATGAAGAAATCAAGATGATTACTGTCTCTGTGTTATACTTTGCTATTGATACTTGTAACAGTGAAGATTTGTTAATTACTATCAATTCCAAACCGTGCTTCAGTAACGACTTTTCCAGAAAGCACAAGCATCCGGCAGAAAGGATCGTTCGACGCTCATGCAGTGTACGCAGGCGACGATGCAGTTAGCACCGGGAGGTGGTCGCAATTGGCGACGACCGGGGTGCGAACTGCCCTGTCCGCACTTATGTCGCGCTACGGTCTGGAAACTCATGATCCCTCTCCCGCTATGACCACCCGACCCCCAGGTAAAACATCCAGTGGTCTCGCGCAAAAACTTTTCCTGCCCTCGACATCATCCTCCCAGGCTGCCTTCGGTTCCCAATGACTTGTACATAACGCAATCTTGAACTATACCGATCTAGCCGCCCTGTACACTACTGATGGAAACACGTCTAAATTATTCTTGCTTTTAATTAGCCTTAGGATTATCGCTGCATTGAATCTGTTTTTGGTTAATGTTGAAGGATTTTGCTGTAATGTTAATATTACCCTGACGCGATGTAAACTTTAGTGGAACTGATTTTTTATTGTTCTGCTAGAACTATCGGACGTGTTGGTATTTATTGCCATCGGGAAGAATTCTATATGACAAGGTTAATGACATTAATAACGTTAAGGAATTATGTCTTTATTCAATGTAAGAATCAAAATTATTTGCATTTTTATTTCGAAGTGATAACGATCATTGCAATTTTAATTAATTCATTGGATTAACGAACTGGTGTGAAGACGTCCGAGAGTTTTGGTCGTTTGTGTAAGCAACATTGGATGCATCGTTTAACGTTTCTTTACTGCGTAAGCTTTTTATATAAGATCTTTAGCGTTCATCACCCGGCATAGACTATTTACGGGATGCAATGTAAATAATTAAGGGTTAATAATAAAGAAGAAGACCTCAGAATTTTAGACGTTTCCTGGGTCAGGTCGGATCGGACTAGAGGTCAATTGTTTTGCACTTAACTCGTACTTCCTTACTAACTTGCAAGGAATGCTAGACTAGGTTAGGTTAGGTTAGGGTAAACAAGGGTAGATGTCAACACGTTTTATGCTATCTGTTATTTGTATTACGGAATTGCGTTGATGATGAATATATTACGGTAAAACATATATATTGCATTGGCAAACACAGAAAAAAATTCTTGTCTGATTCTTTGAAATAATAACTCTGCATTCATTTCAGATTGATCTGCTGAATCTCCGGAAAAACTCAAATGCGGAGGTTAGGAGGTGTACATGTGATGGAATAATATGTTGAACACGTTGAACGTGTTAAATTTATTAGTCTTACATCTCGTGCCTTACGTAATATATTAATACGCAGAGAATTCATCAGTGAAATGTCAACTTCAGAGAATCTGTAAACATAACCTGGCTACATATACTTTTGAACCACCTGATTAATGTCAGGAACAATGAGTACAAAAAGCTCTGAATTTTCTGTAAGAGAAGAAGAAATGCATAAGGCAATGCATGACGTTTATGAAGCAATTAAGAATGTCCACTACCTGTATAAAAGTAAGTATTACCAGCAAATAATTAATTGCTTTAATGTTAAACTTTGTAAGGGGTCTTTTATTTTTTATATTTCACAGAATTCTGTGATAAATGCTTGATCTTATTAAAAGAAAACAATGAGTTGAAGACCACTGCGACCAAGAATATAGATATGTAAGAATATAATGATTATTTACTCACTGTCAAATATTCATAAAAATCTGTAATATTCATAATAATTCATGATGTTTCAGACAAAAATCTTTGACCACAACTAATTTTGACTCCGATATATGTTCCGAGTCTAAAAGAGAGATATGTTTTTCAGAAATTGTAGAAAAACGTCAAGAGAATTGTGTTACTAGTTTATTATCTCCAGAGAAAGATGCAAGTAAGCTATTTGTAACAAGTCCAGTTTTATGTGGTTCAACAGCAAACAAAGGGAAGTCATTAGCATCCTCAAATTCGTTTAAAAAAGTCCCTGCTGTCCATAATTTAATCAAGGATTTATCATGGTCATCGTCATCGTCATCGAACAGTAGACAAACTTCACCTAATTTATTAATCACCACGACAGAAGGTGTCTGGAACAAAGCAAAATTTTCTAATAAGAAAAAACAACTTAGACAAATGAAACTTATTTTGCAACCTGTTAAAAACAAATCCAATGTAAGTATAATTAATTTGATGAAATTAATAATTGGCATGTGACTTCTATTTCTTTGGTAGTTACTCGAGGCTTTTATTAATCTGCCTATGATTATTTATTAATATTTTCAGTGTACTGTGACTAGTAAAGAAAAAAATTCGTCCATGGAAATGGCATCAGACTCTAAACATGATTCATCTGTGGAAATAAGTTCAAACTCAAAAGATGACTTGGACGATGTAACAAAAATCCAGGCAGATGACATCGTTGAAGGAAGTCCCACACAGAGAGCAGTATCCAAAAAACTCAGAGACAAACTGAGACGTAATAAGAAGCTCCCTAAGACATCAAAAGATTATGATCATACAAGGAGTTCCTCAATTCCATCTGTCTCAGATAATGATGAATCTTTACGCGAAGAAATCAAAAATAAAGCGATGATATCGGATTCAGATACTGGTTCCTTACATTCTAAAAGAAAACGTTCAAGAAGCAATTCCTCACTTGCAGACGAAACGTTCTTCTCTCCTGGAGAATCATTTATTAAAAAACTTCAGCACGACCGTCAAGCAGAACAAAATTCTTCATTGAATGACGATGAGCAAACAAAATTGAACAATCTACTAAGTCCACAAAGAACCACAGAATGTCGACAGAAAGTTCTAAATCCTCGTAATATCTTGGATGACTTCGATCGGTGAATATATTATTATTTAGTTGAGAATATGAATACTTAATTAAGAATAGACATGTTAATAACCTGATACATGTTTTTTTTATTTTTCAGACTTCCTGAAAAGAAGATCACTATACCTGAAAATGCTCGTATTGGTAAACCCGTAAGAAGAAAAGAAGAAAGGGCAAAACTAGATGGCTGGAGTTGTGCCGACTGTAAATCGGTAATTTTTCAAATTATATTTATAAATAAAACCAAATTTTCGCACTAATTGAAATTTATACTGAATGGATAAGGTCGCGATAATGTTTCTTGAAAAGTTCACTCTTTTGCCTTTTTAATCTAATTGCGGTTACGCTATGAGAATATTTCCAAAGATCATCGTGATAATCATTACCAAATTTGTTTTTAATGCTGCTATGTAATAAGTTAAAATAAAAGTAAGTATATATAACATAGTTTGAATCATCTGGATAGTTATGATTCGGCGTTCAATTGATTATCGCAAAAATTGTTATTTCAGTATTACGCAGCTATGGGTCTTACTGATTCTGAATTGGTAACTCGAATGAATAAGTGTTCACGACACAAGTCACTCTACAAAGAAAACTATGAAACGCCAGAAGGTAACTCTTGATTTATTTAAATTAGTTATTACACATTTTTAATGCAATAATTTTACTTTCGCCAGGTTTCTGGAATCCACTTTTCTCAGACAGCGGTGCAGAAGATTCTTATTACTGTGATTTCGTTGAATAATACTCAAAACAATAGAAATAATGTGGAATACTCAAGTACATTATTAAAGAATAAAAAGTCTCGTTGAAATTTGTATCTTAGATATCCGTAATATGGAATAAAAATTTCATTGACAATATTACAACTTCCTATATGAAATATGATATAGGTCATTTTTTAAAAGCTCACAATTTTGAACATAGATTGATTTATTCATTTACAACATATATTATCATATTCTTCGGTAACATAGCATAGATCTGTATAACTATAATATATATATAATTTATGTAGATACATCATTCCTCGTTTTACACAAAAATATAGAATCTATTCTGTAAGTCGATGCTAAGAGAGGCTAATCAAACGTATCATGTAAGTAAGCGATTACATAGTTTTCCATTCTTTTTCAAGGTACATCATTGATATCATTTTTTGTCACTTTTTATTTCTTGCATGTTTCATTCCCGAGGCAGTCAGAGACAAAGGCTCAAAGAATTATTATATATGCAAAATGAAGATCGCCAACACCAAGAGAAGTGTTGTTGGAACCGCAGTATATAACTCCAAAAACAAAGAAGAATAATATAGAGATAAGAAAATTGTGATGCTTCTCCAGTGGATTCTAAAGTGAAGTCAATTGATAATCATTTGCGCAGAGATCAGTGCCGATAGTGCACTTAATTGATTAATTAATTAATTTCGATAACATTGGAGATTAGTTGACCCCGTGGGAGGCTGGGACCACGGGGCCCGCGGCACCCCAATTAATTATTTATTTACTTTAAAACAATCGTCAAATATATTCCATCAATATGTTATATATTATCATTCTCAAAATTCATCGGTCTGTCCGTTTCCCATCGTACACTCAGCGAATGCTTATAAGACATACAGTATATCCTGTATCGTTATATTAAAATATTCATCACTGACTTTGAATATACTTTCATATAATATTAGTACATTTAGTTACATGCGTTAGTCATATATGTATGTCTCGTATATATCGCTACATTGACTTTTATTATCATATCTTTAGTAGTTGTGTCGTACGACAGACAAAAGCCCGGATAGTTATGCAGACGATCGCAATTCCCTTTTTTGTTTAATGGAATTTTTATAATTAGCTTGACGATTAGCATGATTACTCACTGTTGCAATACCGACGACTATTAGGATACTCTTTACTTTTTCAATTTATTTCTTCTCTTTGTAATCTTCTGGGTTCCTCCAATTTAAAAAGTAAAATCGCTCTCGTCAAATGGAATGTAATTATAGATTCCTGCACTTGGATAGGCCGTGTGCATTTAAAAAAAAATTCTATTTCGCTGCGATCGTTTAACTGTCTCGTAGTAGCTTTACTTAAGGAAAGCTGTAAGGAGGACATGGGGAATGGCAGATTCTCGAAACGTTTGGCTTCCAATAGAAAATCTTTTGAAGTACGAAATTATTTGCGACGTTGCCCACCGCATAGATAGAATTTGTAAGAAGAGGGAAACAGCGGTTTTTTTTTAAGGATATATCATAGAGAGATTGTTTTTGGCTGTTGCGTATTTAGTTATAAATTGTTTTCACGTCCTTGGCTGAAGGTCAAGTAAAAAGTGGAATTTCCAATTGTTCACATAAAATTTGTTAGTTTTAACTTGTGTAGAAATCTTTTTGCTACGTACTATAACAATTCACGTCTCTCATTTGAACTCGTCTAAGCACCAATCAATTATACCTTCTTCAGTTACACATTTTGTGTCGATTATCTAAGATAACAAATGTCCCGTAATCTTCAAAGAATAGGAAAAATATTGAAACATATTAATAACAAAAATGTCTTGGTTCGACCCAAAGTCAAGGAGCAGATTCTGCACTTTCCTGTAAGGTTGCCAGAGTTTATCCATTATTCAATGTTTATTATCCATACCGTAATTTACTGCTCGTTCTTTGCCGGAGGAGCGGATGTACTGGTTGACGTAGGTGCCGGTGATTTTTCAGCAGGAGGAATTGGTAAAGCTTTTAGGATAGCGTGGACTTCTTCGGCTACTGCCATGAGGACGAATTCAAATTGTTGTTTGGTTGCTACCATTCCAGGTCTCTGATCTCTTATATGTTCTAGGGTCGCTGCTATGTCGATTTCCTTAGCTCCTTTGGCCATCCGGTTCAGCACCATGTCAATCAAGCAATAAGTACCGGTACGTCCAGCTCCATCGCTAAAAAATATATAATTTCATTACTCGAGTATTGTTTATGATTGTATCAATCAGTGTTAAAGATAATTACCTGCAATGAACCACTATTGGACAGGATCGACCTCTGTAGGACTTGTTAACTTTTCTGTAACAAAAAAAATTAATTTTATTAATATACTCAATAATTTTGTTTCATGCATACCATCGATACAACTCAGGACTGGTTATATGAAAATTATACCTTCGGAACTCAAGTAAAGCCTTTGTGGAATGCGGTACACCATTTTCTGGCCAGGATAAGAAGTGGAACTGAGTAACTGTGCGGGTCTCCCCAGTACGTAAATTCTTCAGGTAGAACGATCTCACAAGATAATCATCGCACCAGATATGTTCCGATACCAGATGCACCTCGTAGATGTGATAACATTCAGAACCTTCTTCTGGCCAATACCGATGACACATGGCCCGACCTTCCTCGGTCAACCTAGTTAGCATGACTATAACAACACTTCCTTGTTCCCAGACAAGTTGCCAGAAGTCTGCAGCAGTTTGTGGCAATGGGCCTTGAGTAGCGATATAGGCAGGATTCCTCGGATCGTGATCAGTCTAAAAACAAAAATATTAATAGCAATGCACTTTAAACTTGACATTAAAGCTGCAAAAAATTACTGCAATTGCATTGTAAGCGAGCATCATTCCTACATCGACACTTACCCACTTGCTATTACAAAATAATCATTTATTAACCCAGATATGTAGTTCACTAAATATTTTACGGAGATTACCTTCAATATTAATTTATATTATTGTGTGTGAGAGTTAACATATCTAAGTTAATAATATATTTTATCTGGTACCCAACGAAAGCTTATTTATTGCTCTGCATCTTATATACAATACAGGCGGCCACGTTAAGTTTATACATTTTAAGACGTTCAATAGATCACAACACGCTTGATAGGTTTGGATGAATAGCCCCGCGCATGCCGTGTATCACTTACCGATTTCTGTATGGGTGTTGCGGCATCCGGGAAAATTAATTTCGTGGATATCTCATCAGTCAGTTCGATTGCGAGACGTTCATGAGAATATGTAGCTATCGTAGCGCGTCGTACCGAAAAGCTAACTCTACGTCATGTGCAGAGACAGATAGGAGACTACGACAGACTACGATGTTGGTGCCAAAGATTACTTACAATCGTGGACGCATTAATGTAGTCAGTTCCGTTGGCATTAGCAAGGTCATTCAGGACTACGCGAGAATGATCATAAGGAAGAGCAGCTCCAGATCGATTTCGTCCTTGGTTCGATGTGTCCTCGGCGATGGCTGTAGATGATGGCTCTGCTTCGTAGGTGCACAGTGCTATCCATTCTTGATCTAGACGATCCTTGTTCTTCAGATGATCTTCCATGTATGACTAAAAATTCATTTAGATCTTCTTATGATTTCAGATGCAAGAGCAAGATGGCTGCTAACAGAATTATATGATTACCAGAACCATGTGCCCGGTGGATATATCCATGTTGGAGAGTGCTGGTTCTTCACTCCAAGATGAGGTGCTCGAACGACTCGAAGGAGAATTATTTGATTCACTCTCTCTGGAGAGACTTATTATACGCGGTGAATCTGGCTTCTCTGTTGGCTGCTTTGCTTGCATCCTGGCACGGCATAGATCTTGGTAATCCTTTGATGCTTCTGGATCCGATGTGGCTAGTGCCATGACTTTTGCACGGTACTTGGCATGTCTACGTGCTATCAGGATGGTTACTACTGCTGCAGCACCAGCTGCTGCGGCTCCCCCCGCGATTATTGCGTGGAATGTACCAGAACTCATTGACTGTACACTTTTTACTTCCAAAGTGGCAGGTAATTTTACCTATAACGAGATTAAGATTGTAGATCTTATAGTGATGAATGTGATGGTTCGATTAAGCAAGAACTATTCGTTTACTTTATCACCAATGCCTGCTCGAACCACTTCGACTTGAAGAGCTTCTTTCAGTGGACCACGTATCTCATCTGCAATGAATTAATTCAGTTATTGTATAATATAGATTAGAATTAATCGTTAAACTTACCAATTCTGTTTACAACGTCAGAGGCATTATAGTTTTTCTGATTTTCCGTCACTTTAAATGTCACTTCTGCTCGACCGACGCGTATATCAGTTAGGGCACCTGTGTTCAAACCTAACAATTTTCCGACCTACGATAAAATGATACTTGTAATCTTTATCATTATTATATTATAGGGATGCGCGGGTTATTTACGATACTTACTTCTTTTACGACATGTTCGCCTTCGGCCCACGTGAGAAATGTATTTTCAAATTCTATATAAACGTGGTCCAAATCAACATTTTTGTATGAATTCTCAGACGGTTTTGATATGCCTGCATTATCTTTGACTTCCTTTTTGGTAAGGGGTGGATACAAAATATCGTTTTGCCCGTTAGAGTTTTCCTCCTCTAACGTTACTATAGGAATAAAGAAATAATTGTAAAAGGGAGGAAAATCGTATTCCCATGTAAATCACTTAATATTATTGATTACGAACTTGGCGGAGACTGCGTTTTAAATGCATAGTTATTCGTAGCAAATGGTGGTCCAGGTTTTTTAACATCCAGTCGTTCTCGTCTCTTAAAACCAGCTAATTCTTGTCTCAAAAGTAAAGCATTCAAATCATCGTCAAAAACAAGATCTGCTGCATTTTCTGAAAAATTATAAATTTCCTATAGAAAATTATTCAAGTTATGTAATGACTATACACCTACCTGGTCTTACACTATGTCTAAGTGGCTGTACCAATCCTCCTTCAGTATACATTCCATTCTGTCTTGACAATGTGTCTATCACCTGTTCGTCCATAAGCTCCTGTTGCTGTTTCTCATTGATTTCCTGCCTATTGTCCTCGTCCACGAAATCCGTATTCAACCATATTGGATTCTTATTAAGAAACTCAACTTGAGAATAGGTTTTGGGATACTTGTACTTTCTTGTAAAGGTCTTTTCATAATCCTCATTCGATTGATCCTCAATATCATCTCTCATCCTTTCAGTGTTATCTCTTGAGAAGTCCCAGTCAGTCCTGGTATTTTCATTGACCCTTGTTAATTGATCAATAATTCTTTCATTGGCTAATATTCGTCTGACTGATTCATCTTGCAGGATAGATGGATGACCACCATGCAGATGACGATACTCCTGTTCATAAGGATCCAAGGATTTCTTCTTAAGCTTTCTATTTCCATCGTAATAAGAATCCTCTAGATTATTTATCTCTTGGTAAGTATTCGTCTCTTTTCTATTGTCCTTATGTGGGGAATAGGGGTATTCTTTGTAAGGTACAGGATCATTTCCAATGATAGGAGGATAGTAAAGTTCATCAGCAAAGTCTCCATGAGGATCATCCTCGCTAGGTGTAAACTTTACTACAGCGATTGGCTGAGACTGTAATTACAAAAATGGAATGAATTTCATTTATGAGCTTTAACCTATATAAATATTTAATTATATAATTTTTTTAATTACCGTAGCATCTCTGTCAATTTGGTTATCCTCACTTACGATATGATTTTCATTGTGTTTCTTTAATCCTCGACAAAGCTCGTAATCACTTTCAATCCTGCTGACAATTTTGATGGTGTCAATTATAGTAAATACTGATTGATTACTATGATTAGTACAGTGCATTATCTCAAATGGCTATTTATTTTTCGTACCCGTATCGCAATGTGTTCAAAGAACTCTGCACTATGCACTGTGTATAAGGATGCTGCCAAGTGTACCCATTATACTCTAATCTTTCTAGTTGTAATCGTAACAACTCTAATTCTTCAGGATCCAGGTTGTACCTATACAAGAAGCATATAAGATGTAGCACCGAGGATCAAGATTCAACTGCATACAATAGAGAAACTCACTGTTCCAAATCCTCCCTCTGAAGATTCGTGTAAAGTGATATACATCTTCCGAATGCCAAGTCTGCATTTGAGAAGAGATACGTGAATAGAAGGTAGAGAATATATCAAGTATTATATAAATCTTGTCTATATAGTCTTACCATTGTAACATGTTTCCGTTGCAGGGTCACAGAGATTCTCGCTGAATAGGCAGCCTGAAATAAATTACAAAAAGACTTTCATCTGGAGAATGAAAATAAATTGGTAAGCAGCAACAGCGTCATACCACCTGTTGATTATTTTCAATGAATTCTATATAACAATTATTCTGCTTTGGGGCGCAACTGAATCACATTTACTGGTAGATAATGAAATTTTTATTAAGTATGTGAAAATACTCAAGTATGATTAAAAAAATATTGTGATCGTGTACAAATGGATAATTTCATAAACAAACATCATGTTTGCCAGAAACATTGATCCACCGTCCACCTGTTGACCGTACCCCTCAAAGTTCTCGTACTCTCTCGTATTTTCTCCCTCAAGTAATTTTTCATTTCCAGTAAACCAATTCACTAGACATTCTCGTAGCTTCTACCTACCTACGTACGTATGTCGTAACGAATCTCTTTGAGCATAAATATCAATGTATTCCAGATTGTATAAATAAGTAAAAGCCCAGAATGCAGTAATCTTATTCGTCGTACACTAATTACATGATGTACTCGTATCTAAGTTACTAAACGAATAGACTGAACTTTCAAGCAAAACTTCGTATTACCCTTATAAAATCTCAATAAGAACGTCGAGAAATGTCAATATGTTCAAAAACAGTACAAACAAATAAAATGCCTTAGTTCCTATGAAACAGAACATGTGTAAGTACATACACGGTTAAATGTAAGCGTATGTGAAACTGACTTTGGCTTAGGTTTCTGTAGCGAGGTCGAGGGATAGAAATAGCTATCGAGATAGAGTTTCTGTTTATATTATATAGATATAGGGGTTGAACAAGTCTCAAAGGGTAGCGAGTGGCAAATGTATGGCTAGGGGTTGGGAGGGTAGGCACGTAGAGAAAATTTTAAGGGGTGGAGTTTGGGGAGGCGGTGGTCGTGTGGGGATATGAAAGGAAACGAATGTATAGGCATTGAAGGGTGGGTAAGGGGTGCGGGGGAATCGCAAAGAGGGTTGGAATTTGAAGAGGAGGAGTTGGCGAAGGCGGTGGCTGCGTGGGATGTACGGCTCGATAATGGTAGTCGGGAAGGCCGCGTGGGCTGAAATGCAAACGAAAGAAATTCTTTCTCCTCCGGTTTGTTCATATACAGAGATGTAATATAGTTAGTAAATAAAAAATCTTGCTCCCTTGTAGATTTATTGTAATTAGAAAACAGATGTAGGAAACCTTAATTACTTAATTTGCTAAGGTCTAATACAGCCGAGCAACAATGGTACTGTTTTTTTTTTTTTTAATATCTTTTTAGTGTTATGGTTCCATTGATGAAATAGTTCCATCTTATTTTGACACTTGCTTCAATTTTAAGGAAACGTTTTTTTATTGAATAATACCGTACGTATATTTTACTGATACTTTTCTTTTTTGAGTTTTCCACAGCGCCAAAAGGACCAGACTGATTGTCGCTGCCTAAATTTAGGGGTTGATTGATCCCCTTTTCCACCGGACTTTCCTACGTCATGCTATGGAGGAATATCGCATTAGGGTAATCTTGAGGAATATCGATTCGTGAATGAATTTGGCACCCAGTGAACTTTAGCGTGGTCGGTTTATTATATGAAAATATCGCGTTACCATTTGCTTACGTGGTTGATATTCATCTTTACCTAAGACTAAATCGATCATCAGGGTGTGTGAGTGCAATACGTTGCTCGAAGCCCTGCATGGGTAAATAAATGAATCGAATCGATGCTTGGCCAATGCGTATAAATTCAATCGATTAGCAACAGAAAGTGTACGATAATAAGATATAACGTTATTTGATATAACAGACTTACCGACTTCCCCATCAGCCTTAATACCATTTAAGAGGACACAGAGCAGCAGAAGCTCCGTTCCTCGCCACCACCTTCGGCGGCCCATAGATTTTCCTGAAATTCATCCAATTACAAATAGCAGAAACAAGCACTGCTTATATCTATCTCATTATAAAACAATATTAGGCCTATTGTATAATCTTAATCTTGGCACGGAATTCATAACTATTCTCATTTACCCTTTTATATCCGGGACGAAGTTAAATCGATTCTCAAAGCTTATATTAATTAGATGAATGATCAGATTGTTGTGTGGAATTTTTTAAGCACAGCCCAACACGTCCCATTGATTTGTTCATGGTCAATATACAAAAACACCTTATCCGTAAATTAACATCATCTTCAATAGTCGACACTAATTAATAAAGGAAAATTCAATCAGCATTGCCATATTCATATGTATGCTACTGAAGCATCAGGTTGCAGTCCTCTCTCACTCTTATACCATCACATACAAACACACCCCCTGTTGCACGTGTAAAAGTGCACTCTCGTCGTCTCTTACCTGGGCGGTAACGCAGTTTTTGACAATTTTCAATTCATCGTATCATGTTCGCGCACTAATCTCACTCGGAATTCTCCTTAGTTCACTAGAGAATGATTGAAGAAGTCAGGATGTAGAAATGCAGCACGGATGTCGTACGAGGATGAGAGTGAGGAGGCAACGAAGACGACAATCCATAGATGCCCTCAGAGCATATTCCAGCAGAGAGGGCGTGCGTTGGATCAAATCGATTACCTCTTGGTAATGTAGCAAATGACGTACGCTCACAATCCTCTATTCTTTTCTCTAGAAAGTGGCAGACACCTGGTGCACTATGGGCTCTCGTAGTTCCAGACTCTCCCTTCCCGTCACAGTCCTCACCGTACTTGCCACCCGACGAGAGAGAACAATACTTCCATGAGAGTCGTAAGGACGTTCTCCTTGGCTTCCTCGAGCTGGATAGTTCATCACTCACGAATACCGGGTGTCCCGGCAATGACGCGCCCGCGCCCTACGAACCTGCGTGGGTGCTATATATACGTGTGTGTGTGTGTGCGTGCCACTCTGTACAAGAGATATAGCCATAGGGTTGAGACTAAACTAGACTATGTGGGTTTTGTACGATCTTCTAGGAAGCCTTTATTTTTTTAAGGAGCTCACGTCTACTAGGGTGCTCAGCAAAGTTCTCTGTCAGATTGAAATTATATTGGAGCACGTTTTCTCTTGACCACCTTTCACGTTTCTTGATAAGATGGTTGCTACAGTATTTATACGAGGCTGGTTATCTGTGCGGTTTGCCGCACTTCGTATTGATAGCAGACCAGGTTTTTCGCTCTATATTACTATTCGCCAGTGTGGAATACTTTCTTCCGGTTTTATTTATGATTTTCGTTTACGATGGTTTTCATAGCGTGCCTTAACCAGGGTCGTGGAGCGGGAGGTGCCGCTAGGATATTGATTGGTGAACACTTGTTGCAGCGGGAGAGGGTCACCGAGCTTACTTTGCTCTTACTTAATCTCCTTCGTTCTTTGTAGGTATACGTGGGAATTGTTGGGATCATTTATGCTGTACTTTTGTTTTTTTTCATTATGGGCTTTGTTTTCTGCAAAGGATTTATACTGATTTTTTCTTCTCATTGCGGTAATCCATTGTTGTTTGGGGTTCTTTCTGTTGCACTTGACTACGCACGTTATTTTTACTTCGCTTTTTCATTTTATTTATGTTTACATTGTAGGGGAATTGCTGTTTAAGATTCTAGACTTTAATTAAAAGTTACGTACTTAATTTCGTACGGTTTTTCTGTAGCCTATTAAAAATGTTGTCTCTTTCGCTATGTGTATCATAATAATATAACGGATGCGCTACATTTAGATTAACAGATTTTTCATAAGTTGCTTTTCTTTATGCAGCTATTATTCGTTGTTAAACATTGACTCGTGAAACGAATGATTCTTCATAATAGATTAAGGAATTTAATTTTGATCTTGCTCACATGTTTTACTTTAGCTTTAATTGTATGTTATCTCGTAGAGTAAAGCAGGCTAGTATTTCAAAATAATATAATATTTCATAGCGGCTCTGACTAACCTTTAGAAGACCGGCTATTTTTCATAAAAAGAAAGTGATCTTTATTGAAAGTTCAGGTATGTGAAGAACGCCATTATAGTGGCCAAATTAGCGTTATTATACAGTGACCATACAATATACTGACGTTGCCGGTTCTGTAAAGGGTAAAATGGATATGAATTACCGGAACGCATTGAACCGAATTTTTTGGTATATTTATTTTCACCAAAAATCATTACTTAATCTAATCTCAATTATGCAGCATGTAAAATGTGATACGGTCTATAATAATTAGAATATATATGATGAGTAATGAAAGACGTCATATTTTTAGATTAGTATTGTGGATTCGCCCTTTTACGATAGCGCGTCAAACTGTGACATCATATTTTCAATATGGCGCATTTCTTGTTCGTGTTATCTCGTATAGGTATACTTTATGGATTACAATAAATATATATAACATGACGTACGAGTTTTCTTCTTACGTTTGCAAACATTGAAATGTATACACTGCTGCACGGTCTTTACAAGTATCTAGTTCAAAAAGACGAGTATTACATACTGATTTTGGGTCTCGACAATGCCGGTAAAACTGTAAGTGATTCTTCAAGCAATCGCTTGTAAGGTTATCTCAGAGTTGCTTAAAACAAATTTTGTTAATATTCATAGACTTATCTAGAAGCTGCTAAGACGAAATTTACTAAGAATTATAAAGGGATGAATCCTAATAAGATCACTACTACTGTGGGATTAAATATTGGAAAGATTGATATTGCTGGTGTTCGATTAAACTTTTGGGATCTTGGCGGTCAGGAGGAGTTACAGTCTCTTTGGGATAAGGTATGTTTTCACACAATATGTTACAATTATATGTTACGTTATACAGAGCCTCTGATCATATGTAATATTGCATAAGCTTGCTTGGTTTTGTTATTTAGTACTATGCTGAATCTCATGCAGTTATTTATATTGTGGATTCATCAGATCGAGAAAGAATTCCAGATTCAAAGGAAACATTTGGTATGCTCCTTAGAATTTTCATATTTATCTAATATATTGTGGAGTGAGGTCATTGTTAATGTTTTTGTAGATAGAACAATATCGTCAGAACACTTAATAGGAGTACCTCTGCTAGTTTTGGCAAATAAACAAGATGTTCCAGACTGTATGGGGGTTCGTGAAGTGAAGCCCATATTTAATAAAAATGCTCATCTGATTGGACGCAGAGATTGCATGGTAATGCCAGTGTCTGCACTTAATGGGTATGCTTTTTCTCCCATACAAAACTATATCATTTATTTCCCAAGATACATTAATAATTTCATCTAAAAACAGAGATGGTGTAGATGAAGGAATTCGCTGGCTTGTCGACTGTGTCAAGAGAAACAGTGACGTTCGCCCACCGCGAAATCAAGACGACAATTGTCTCTCCTAATACCCACATTCCTGTTAAGCTGTATCCTTTATACGGCACGCAGCATTGTATACATTTCCACGTTTCGTTCATTGCGGTACAGTATTTATACAAATAAAATTAATTCCTATTTTTTAAATATCGCCAATGTCTGCTCTTTTGTTACCTATACTTCCCTTTTCAATGCGCGTTAAAGCTGCCAATCTTTTCTATATATATATATATAAATTTAAACAGTTACTATCCTTTCTCCTTTTCCTTAGTCACTGTGTTTTCAAACTCATTAATTTTGGTTTTATAGCAATTAGCAAGTAGTAAATCATTCATCTATCAAACAACTAATATACTGAGATTTATTATTCTCTTAGAATCATTCTTGTGATTGCATTCTTCGTGTGAAATACCGGTAATATTTTGGTAGTAGTTAATTCAGATTTTCCATGATAGCCTCAAAGAAAATTAGATAATTTTGTTAGTGATTAGAGCAGCACGAGTTTGTCCGCTCTGTTGATAGCAAGCTGCCCACTACGATAAGAGATAACGAGCCGACACCTTGTGGCTCCGTACAGTTTTCTACGATGAAGGGACTTTCGGATGCCATACCTGGTTGACGATTAATATACGACTAGTGATATAAGTGTTACATTCAGTTTGAGTTAAAATTTGTTTACTCGTATAACAAAGAAAACTATGTGGCCTTACTATGACGCTGATGATTGGAGCGTTTTGCCTCCCGAGCAGAATAGAAGGTAATAGAATTCGTGATAGTTCTGCTTGTCATTTAATTTGTGCTCTATATGAAAAACATTGACTCATAGCTACATCAAGCATGGAGAAAGTCGATAATATATTTGCATTTCACAATCAGCCAGTATAACGAGCACTGCTTACTAATACATTACGTATGGGAGTAATTAAAATTTCATATGGTACTCAGAGATAATAATCTGTCAAGGAGTGCTCGCCTTATGTTTCTTTGAGTTATAAAGATAAAACCAAGATTAACATTGAACGGACAAAAGTATACAGCAACAATACACGTAATAATTGATGGTAGTATGAAACATCTGGTGGCAGTAGGTGCTTTAGAGAATTTGTTTAGTATGCTAACGATTGGTGCGTCTACCGACATTTTGTAGAAAGATAAGAACGAGGAAAGATGAGGTTCTGTCTGATTTAGAGGGACATTCCAATTTTGTGCCCATTAATGGTTGTAGGCAAAACCACTACGTTAAACAATGGTATCACCATAAATTGTAATTATTGAACAAGAGGCTTTTGAATCTTTTGTGTATTTTCATTTTGTGATTTAAAAAAAATGGTAATAGTGGATTCATTCTGCTGGAATTTAAAAAATCAAATTGTAACGAGCAGTCGGTAATAAAGATGAGCTACGTCAATGACAATGAGAAGCCATCTTGGTTTTCTGTATGCGAGGTCTAGACGAGTGTTTGTCGTTCGGTGAAGTCAGTTGGCGTTAATTATGTCCTCGTTCTCGGGAATGGACTAGCCGCAATCTTTATATCAAGTCAACACAAAACGGGGTATGTATGACGACGTTGTTAAGGACGCTGGGACAAAGGGAAAGTTCTGTGCTCTCGTTGACGTGTGAGCGTATTACCAAGAGGCAGGTGTTGCGCGGCATACAGGATTGACAAATATCGGACACCTAGTTTGTTTTTTAACATGTATCTACTAGCTTGTGTACTCAGTTGAAATCTTGTTATCTCAACTCCGTTCGTTTAGCTTATCAATAACGCGTGCAGATATTTTATAAAATTCATAATGAAGTTGAGATTCCTTTGAAGGAAACTAACCCTATGAACGCCCTTTGCCGGGATTTATATAAGTCACGATTGATAAGTTTCACAAGGCATTGTCAGGCTCTTTTATTTGGCTCCACTGTCGCCAGTTGTACTATGACAGTGAATACAGACAGTCTGTCATACTGATTGTTTGACATTCTGATATCTCTGTTCTGATTGGTATAGAGGTTGATTAAACTTATGTGAAAGAAAAATTGTGTATGTATGTCAAACAGATCTTGTTGTATTTAGTCATTATGTGATATTCATTTGTATTAACAACAACAAATTTTCCTTTGTCCTACTGTTCTGATACAAGTTTGCTGTTTTGACATATCCTAATTACTCACCATAATGCTAACCTGTAACAACAACACCATGCCTAACAGGACGAGAGCAGCGTGCTGCAGAAAGTGTGCCGAGTTCCCTAACCAACTGCTGCATTACGTTATTACTAGCCAGCTACGCACATTCCAGGGCTGCAATCAACAATCATGAATGCCTCAGAACATGGGTAAAGCCAGTCGATTCTTTTTGCAAAATGTCTTTTGATATGGAGTAATAGTGAGCATACCCTCACGTTTACTTGTACTATGAACTACAAAAGGTTTAGCAGTCTTTCTTTCTACGAAAGTGTCGGTGCACGCGTAGAACGTTGCTAGGTAATGGCGATTGTGTGCATAAAAGAAAGCATGAGCGTGTAATTTTTCAGGTTTAACCCAGCCTTTAACATGGCCTCCATTAAGCAGGCCATCAACGAGGCGGTAGAAAGAGGTGGGTACACCTTTTCGTCATTGCCGTCGTCGTGACGTTTCACTTTATCTATTTCCTCCCTATAAATTACTATATACCTTCTCTTTTACAATCCCTTCCTGAACCTTCTACACGTAACCTACATTTTGTATAACACAGCATACAAATGCATACTCTTTCTATTATTTTATTCAAGAAATACAATAAACATCTTTCTTTACGTTCCATCTTTGAATCTTCCTTAGAAGTGTATCTCTGTGTATCTACGTTTTCTCTCATAGCTTTATTCTATCTAGAAATTCGCATAAAACATCAATTACTTCAAGAGTAATCGAAATCAGAACATTATAAGCTATTTCTGTTTTACCTCTATCACTTATGTCTTCTGAAGTCTCCAAATCGGAACACATGCTTGTGCATTGTATACGTGGTGTATCGTCGACCTTATTAATTTCGTCGATGAATTCGGCTAGCTTTGCACTCTAACGCACCGCCATTCAGCTAACACGATGCACGGCTAACGTATTGGTAATTTAAAAGTCTCAACAGTGAGAATGCCAGCACCAACGCGTTTGCGGGATCTCATAAGACAAATCAGAGCAGCGCGGACTGCCGCCGAGGAACGCACCGTCGTCAACAAGGAGTGTGCTTACATCCGGTCGACCTTCCGGGAAGAGGACAGCGTCTGGAGATGCAGAAACATCGCCAAGCTACTCTATATTCACATGCTGGGGTTAGTAAAGAATCATAAAACCTCATTAAATTAATTTCAAAATGATTCCGTAGAATCAATTTAAATGCATGTCATGTGAAAAATCAATACTTTTCTTTTAGCTACCCAGCGCACTTTGGTCAACTAGAATGTTTGAAGTTAATCGCCTCACCCAGGTTTACCGACAAGCGCATCGGCTATCTGGGCGCTATGTTACTTCTCGATGAACGACAGGATGTTCATTTATTGATTACCAATTGCTTAAAGAAGTAAGTTCTCATATCTATGGATTATGAGAGTAACGCATTGCGTGGAATTCATAATATTCTTTTCAATTAAAGCGACCTGAATAGCTCAACGCAATTCGTCATCGGATTGGCACTCTGCACCCTGGGGGCTATTGCTTCTCCGGAGATGGCGAGAGACTTAGCCTCTGAAGTAGAAAGACTAATGAAGTCACAGAACGCGTATATCCGAAAAAAGGCAGCCCTGTGCGCCTTTAGGATTATACGACGTGTCCCGGAACTCATGGAGATGTTCCTTCCAGCCACTAGGAGTCTCCTCACTGAAAAGAATCATGGGGTCCTTATCACTGGCGTAACACTTATCACTGAAATGTGCGAGAACAGTGTAGATACTCTGAATCATTTCAAAAAGGTGTGTCCCGTCTCTCTCATTCTTTATTTTTCTTATAAATATACTTGGCGAGGTACTATTTCAACCGTACGACAATGTAAAACGAACACGTCTACCCTAATTTTTCTTTTATTAATTAACACCGCCCACTATCGAGTCGCTCAAGTTATGGTCATCAATCAATACACTCTAATGAACCTGAATTAAGAAAACTTTTGTCTCCTCCAGGAATGCGGCCACCGAGAGGTAATTTATTGATACGTTCCCTGTGTTTATTGCATGTCAAGCTTCTCTCTTTTGCGCACAGACTCACTTTTCTTCGTATACAAGTGGGAAAACTTGTAGTACTTACTTTTTAACAGTTCTTCTGTACTTCCCGTTATAATTCTCAGTGTAATACACTTCAAGGGAAGAAGATCATCTGTGGTCGTTGAGAAAGAAAAATATGTAAATCTCAATGACTTCATTCTTTTTCTATTCTGCACTTTTCTCTGTGCCTAAAAGCCTCTCAAGAGACAATTTAAGGCTCAATAGGTATTTCATAAATATTTCAGATAGTACCTAACCTGGTCAGGATCTTGAAGAATTTGATCCTTGCTGGATATTCACCAGAGCACGACGTATCCGGCGTTTCCGATCCTTTTCTCCAGGTGAAAATCTTGCGTCTTCTAAGAATCCTGGGACGCAATGACGTCGACGCCTCCGAAGCCATGAATGATATTCTTGCGCAAGTTGCTACGAATACGGAGACAAGTAAAAACGTAGGGAACACGATACTCTACGAGACTGTACTCTCCATCATGGATATCAAATCCGAAAGTGGCCTCAGAGTACTAGCTGTCAATATACTTGGTAGATTTTTATTAAACAATGACAAAAATATCCGTTACGTCGCACTCAATACTTTGTTGAAGACCGTGTACGTGGATACCAGCGCTGTTCAAAGACACCGATCTACAATTCTTGTAAGTATACCAATATATTTATAAAAACTATGTTTAATCGTCTAGTACATATCAATTATTGACACTTTCATTCGTTTTGTCAGGAATGTTTGAAAGATCCGGATGTTTCGATACGAAGACGAGCAATGGAGTTGAGTTTTGCTCTGGTCAACACTAACAATATCAGGAACATGATGAAGGAGTTGTTACTATTCCTGGAACGTGCTGATCCAGAATTCAAGGCTCAGTGTAGCAGTAACATTGTCATGTCTGCCGAAAGATTTGCACCGAATAAACGTTGGCACTTGGAAACACTTTTCAAAGTACTTGTAGCCGTAAGTGTGCAATTTTCAGTGTTGCTCTTGCAAATAATAACTTTGTCATTGTTCTTATATAAAATCGTTCTGTCATTCAGGCTGGTAATTATGTGAGGGATGACGTCGTAGCGTGTACTATTCAACTCATCTCTGAGACACAGGCTCAACAGGGATATGCAGTTGGTGCATTATGGCGTGCACTAGAACGTGATACTTCTGATAAGCAACCCTTAGCTCAAGTAGCCACTTGGTGCATTGGGGAATACGGTGATTTATTATTATACGGACCACCTTCGGAAGATGCTGATGCTCCGATCGATGTAAGTCTTTCTATCGTGCCAAATCATAGATAATAATGAGAACGTTTTTTCTCAATTTTCCGATTGCGCAGAAATTTAATGTCAATTAAAAAGTCAATTATATCCATTAAATACAAATTTGTGTGAAACTCATATTATTTTATTCATATCCCTCGGCAGTTAACGGAAGACGAGGTAATTGACGTATATCAAAGGTTACTGTGGAGTCCTCAGAATACAGTAGTAACCAAGCAGTACACTTTGCTATCCTTGACGAAATTGAGTACGCGTTTCCAACAAGGCAATGAGTGAGTACAGAATAATTGCGTTGAATAATTCGTCCCGATTTTATGTATATTTTGTAGATTGCCAGATGGCTGCAATCCACAAAGTAACACGTCGCAGTATGACACATTCTTTTTACAGAAAAATACGCCAGATCGTCGATACGTTTGGGAGCAATTTGCATATCGAGCTGCAGCAACGTGGTGTAGAATTTTCACAGTTGTTCCGCAAATATGAACACTTGAGGCCTGCGTTGTTGGAGAGAATGCCGCCAATGGAAACTGCCAGACCGCAGGCGAATGGTATCATAGGAATGGTCAATGGGGAATCTGAACTCGAAGAGGAAAAATCTGTCGGTTTGGAGCCAATACTAAGTGCTGCCCCATCCGATTCTGTAAGTTAAAGTAAAATATTTTGTTTTATACTTAAAAGAACATCCTAGATAACTAATAATGTGTACTGATATGTGCATTTACAGAGCGCACTTCTCGACCTGCTGGGAAGCACAGATTTGGAAACCCCAGCACCTTCTTCTACGATTGGAAATGCACCAGTGAATGCTTCTCCGTCGATAGTCATTGATAATAATGATCTTTTGGATTTACTTGGAGGTTTAGATTTGAGTACGCCTGCGACATCTTCGATACCGACTTCTACGTCGACTTCTACTATAGGGCAACCACCCTCTACGCAGATCTTCTCGCCTATGGATACATCCAACTTCCTCGTGGATGGTCTTCTTGACTCTGCCCCAGTGCATAATGGTAATAATATCAATCAGTTTTAGAAATATTTATCCATCGAACTAGGCTCGAAATATATCTTGGATCACGATTTATTTTGTACTGTATACGTTATTACAGAAATACCAAGTCTAATAATCTTCGATAAAGCTGGGCTGAAAATAACATTCAAGTTAGAGAGACCACCCGACACTCCTGATTTATTATTGATCAACATGTCCGCACAGAATACCGGACCTGCGCAATTGACCGAATTTCTATTTCAAGCGGCAGTTCCTAAGGTTGGTTATATCTTTAAACTGAGGTCCGTTATCAGAATTGCCTTTAAACCTCATCCAAAATATTGTCCTACATATGAAAAATTCCTATTATGTACATCGAATAACTAATATTAAATTAAATCTTCATATATTTTTTACAGACATTCCAATTACAAATGCTTTCACCATCCAGCACTGTTATTCCACCATCCGGTCAAGTGACTCAAGTATTGAGAGTGACGAACATCAACAAAGTATGTTTCATTAGCTTTAACTTCCTTGACATAACCCCACCATCCCAACAACTAACTGATTTGACAATGCTTCAGGCATCATTGAGAATGAGACTGCGCATCTCTTATACCGGGATGTCGGGACCGGTTCTGGAACAGGCGGAAGTGAATAATTTCCCTGCACTCGCATGGCAGTGACAGCATACTATACAAAAACTGATTGTATATATACCTGCCTAACGATTGAGCACCTCTCTCAAGGGTAAACGCCCGGTCGCCTCATCTTCTTCGCGAATTGTCGCGTCGCTCGAGTGAGATAGAGCATACCAAGAAATAGGAATATCGAGAAGGATAATAAACAAAAGAGGTGGTTAGTGATGCGGGATTAATAGAGAAAACATTAAAATGATAAGTGTGAAAGATTATGGAATGAAAGAAAGTATAAGAACAAGGTAAGAGTCTCGATCGGCCCACTTGTGTATGTAACATAGGATAAAACAGTTACAAATTAAAGTAACAAGTGTGCAACAATTACAAAGATCATTGTTTTCATAAATTCGCGATGAAGAAATGTTGGAAAATAATTGTTTTTTCTTTTCTTTCTCTCTCTCTCTCTTACGTTTCCGTGAAAAAGTGGACTGCCATCTACACGTACTTTCATACTTCCCGTTGCGAAGTTTACAAAACCTCGGCTGAGCAACATGTGCAATCTCTTGTATTCATCTTCTGTCACGATTCCTAAAAATGATTACGATTATACGGAGATACACTTGGTTACTTTGTGCGTGTTGTCCAGGATTCACGATTCTTGCGAGAACGTATAGATTTGAAGAACCTCCTGAAAAAGGAATAGAAGAAAAGGCGATTTCTCAAGAAATGGGCAATTTTTGCTAATGTTAATAAATTCCTTTATTTCACGTGTCCTACTCTCCTTCGTCCTTGGCATATTTCATGGTTTTTTTTCTTTCTGTCACATGTAAAAACTACATTACGATGCCCGAAAGAATCCGTAGACATCTTGTGCCGTGATACGCGTAGCGTTTATACATTTTTTCAGTCTAGCTAGATATAAATACATATAATATACGTGTACATATATGTTATTTATTTATATATACCTATATATATGAACATCTATTATATATGTACACATATATACGCATAAAAGTATATCCCTTTGTGAACGTGTGGGGCTGAACGTCTTTTCGCCTAAAGTAGTATTATTTCACCATCTGCGTGCCGTGACACTATTGAAAGATAAAGAGTTGCATGGACCGAAAAAAATGCGGATAAAATAATGTATAATACGACACTCGCGCATGAAACATGCGAAAGTGCCTAAAAAGAAAAGAAAAGGCAAAAAGTATGGAATGGAATGTTCTCTAGCAAATTGCGCTAATTCTTTGATCACGTATGATCTCACGCGGGCGTCGCGATGTCTGTTGAATTCATAAGCATCGTGGCTCCATCGGATTATCGCGTTTCGGTCTTCTTAATAAACAAGTAGATATATTATTAATGCGCGTGCCGAAGCGCGACGGTGCAGACTCCTACGTATTTTACGCTCCGTCCCTTGTAAAATTCCTTGTGCGAATCGTTTCAGCCCTTCAGTGAAAGGGGGTGGCCCTGCCTACTTCTTCTCAGCCCTTATATTAGTTTTATAAACTATATATATATATATGGTATATCGCGCGTGTGAGCGCGAGAGTGCGTACGCATCTGTGCGTGATTGAGAGTGAGAAAACAAAGATCACGTAGATGCGCGCTCACGGGCATTGGGGTATATACATATATATAATGTTTGTATGAATATTTATATACATTATGTATGTTTATATTGTATATGTATATATGTATATACTTCAGTTACGAGGATAATGAATAACGATAAAGACGCTGTATATACTTTTTAGTGAATCAAGGTGTGAAAATAAAATGTATTTTTATTCCACGGTAATTTATATCCGCGTGAAGACTCGTGTATATGTATTCTAGAGACCCTTTGTGCACTTTACGATTTATTTGTGAAAAAAGGATAAAAGGGGTAGCTTGCTGATTGTAATGTCCATTCGTCAGTGCGTGACTCCGGTTACTCACATTTATTTTAGGTGTCTGTTACACTTAGCAATATTGTTTCTCTAGGGATCTAAGAAGAATCAGTTGCGCTATTACCGACTTGATTGAATAATCTGTCTTTGATGATTTGGGCCATCAGACCGTGTATTACTTCTATGGTTGTTTTGCAACTATCTCGAGTTGCTTTCACTAGTTTGTCTTCGGTTCGACGATCGTGAGGATCTGTACCACTTAGAAGAAATCCTCCTCTACCAAGAGCAACTTCGGATTGTTCTAGTTTGTCCGAGAGATCAAATATTTGTCCAGTGGTGTAGTCTGCATTTGTTAAAAGACTTGATGAGCTGAGGGTATTCACCCAATACTTATTCCACAAGGAGTCGAGGAGTCGTCGATCTAATGATGATTTGAAATAGGTTACTTCTAAGGAGTAATATTGCTTGCAATGAACACCAAAGTCTTCGATTTTATTCAAAGGGATTGTTTGGTACTCCGATGGCTCCTCATTGGCTGGTTTGTAGCCCTGGAATTTGTAGGAATTGTATATAGATACTGGAACATAATTATTTTGTATTTTTTACTACGTGGTTCTATTTCAATGATTTTAGTACCTTTGGATACGTTCGGAAAGCACCTAAACATACTTTTCCAGCTGAGATTGTTCTTACTGGGTCAATTACTATAGCGACAAATGGTTCTTGGAAGTTTTGATTGAGCATTTGAGTCGATACGTCAATTCCTGATAACCAACATCCATAACCAGGATGGCTGTGATACCATCCTATAGCATTTTCTTGTCTTCCAACCTGGTACAAAGATTACAGTAAATCAGTAATTATTGGGTAATAAACCTGCATAAAAAATTCACTAAAACATATATGTACTGTAAATTTTTCTTAAGACTAATACCTGTTTGGCTGCTTCTATGTAAGCAGTCATATATTCATAAGCCTGTGCTTGGGCATTAACACGTGTTTCTGTACCCTCGACTGGTAGTGCAAAAGAGTCCATGACAATCATCGTGTTAGCTGCTACTTTTCCTAGGAGAAGTCCCATCACTTCTAGCGTTCCACCAGAACGAGCATGCATCACCATTTTAAGAAGAGCCAAAGCAGATATTTTAATATCTTTGAAAAAGTGAGGACTGTAATAATTAAGATAAGAATATGTAAAAAACACAATTCAGTGAAAATTATGCTAAATTAACAAACTGTACTCAAACAAAACATTGCACAGTTGATTTTGAGATTCTTTTATTCATCATTAAAAGGACTTACTCCTTTTCCCATGGTTTAGCAGCTAGTATATCTTGCTGTTCTTTACGATCATAACGATAAATTTCATCTACGGTACTGATGGATTCAACATTGTTTGACATTTCCCATGTTTTCTGGGCAGTCGTTGATTGATCGCTCGAAGTGCTCGCCATGTCCTGGCGTTTTATTTAAACTGTAAGAGAAAACGTTACAGGGACAATTGACAAATTATGAGTAAATCTTAACGATTTAACGCTAAAACGATAAAACGCGTGTATTATTCTCGAGGTGAACAACGAAAGCAGCAAGGCGCCATGATGAATTTTAGTCTCGCATGGTCTCGCAATAAGCCGCATTCTCACAGCGTCTACAACGGCCAGAAGTATGTTAACATCAATTTTCATTTATTTTTACTAACACGCCATCTTCACAACCACAACTTTCACGTTGGTATTTCTGATTCAAAAATCAGGTAAGCGCGGCGTGAAGAGTAGATTTGAAGACTCAGTTTTTTTTTACATATGTAAATACGTGTTTTTGATATATCAGCATCAATATTGTAATTTTATTCTGATTAACTAAATAGATTAACTATAATTACAAATAAAATTAATAAAATTGTGCTCATTGTTAAATATCTACTTATTGTGTATGGTCTGTTATCTTCTCGTATTGTCACCTAATATCATTCCAAGAGCAAAGAGTAACACGATACGCACTGAAATACTAACCAAGCATTTTATAAGTCAGAAGGTCCGACTCAAGAATAAGATGTAACATAAGAGTAGTGAACACTATGAAAAAAGGCAGCTGCAAGACCAGGTACTGGAGAATAATTGTGCTGTATAAAATTGTTGCGTATCAGAGAACAGTTTTTAAATTTTCTATAATTTTAAAAAGTGTCGCGAACCTTTCGAATTTTTTATATTAAAACTACAATTTTTTGTGGTCTATAATCAGGTAATTATAATTGCTATATTAATTTTACTCCTTTAAAAGAACTACGTTTTATTCATTTCGTTATCTGTAATCCTTTCCTGGAATTTACGTGGTAGTTGGTACCACTTGTTGCGTTTTAAGGACTTTCGTACCCGACAACCACTGTTCAGTTAGTCAACGGATTCAGTTAATCAACGAACTTTCCGAGGGAAACTGTGTGGACATCGAAATTCTTATTTCAAGAGAAAGAAAATTGTTGAAAATTAAACATGCCCAAGAAACGTCCAAATAAGAATTCTTTCGTCTTTTTCATGGAAGAGTTCCAAAGGCGTGAACAAGCTTTGGGACGAAAATTTCCTGGTGGCTTAAAAGATGTACAGTGCGACCCTTCCTGCAATCAACAGTGGCGAGTAAGTTTGAAAAAAAAGTTAAATACCTTTTTGCGAGTGCATTATGACAAAAGACGCTAATTTCAGCAAGGAAATCACGCGTTTTATTCCTCTTAGCTTGATACATCCGTTACATGGTAATAGAATATTTCGCAGAAAGAATGATGACATATGTATCTGCGATTTCTTTGTTCTCGAATGAACTGTATAACAACTTATTTGCCCACGTAATCATTTCGTTACTTCGGTGATCGTAATTACTTTGTCGTTTAGGGTCAATAAGAATTATAATTTGGAATTATTCGGGTTGTTAGGTTTATACATTATAAATAATTCTTTCTTCTTTCTTATATTCAAGATAGAACGACACCTTAAATGACCTTTGTTCTGAATGTGTTATAGTGATTTTTGCGATCATTTCTGTGAATTATTACTTGGAACATTTTTATTCGTTAAAATAAGTTTTTTTTTTAGTTAATTATTTATAGCAAGAATCTAATTACATAATAGATAAATAACGTTGCCTTTAATGCCCATGTTTTCGTTTAACAATGTCGAAGTTAACGAATTTACAAATGTTTTTTTAATTTTTAATTTTGTTTTTAACTTTTTGAGCGACGCATTAATAACGTTTTTCCCATTAGCAAACTCAAAACTTAAGTATTAACCATGTTGCAATTATTTAATAATGAAATAATTTGTTGTTTTGTAATTAAACAATTTGTTTAAAAACAATTCAACTAAAACTATTTATGTAAAGAGAATTTAAGTTATTTTGAAGCAAGTTAAGAAAATAAATTTATATACATGTTCAAGATATTGATACTTGTATAAGCATTGCTAAAACTATGTTTACATACATTTAATTTTCTGTAGAATTTGACTCCCCAAGAAAAAAGACCTTACGAAGAAATGGCTAAGAACTACAAGGTTCAAAGTGGAGCCAGAGGAAAACTCACTACGACTGGTGAATCAATTGCTGCTCTTGAAGCAGAAGCACGTAGAAAGCAAGAAATGGAGGAAAATATGAATATGAATATAATAGAAACAGTGAACATGGCTAACAGAAAAAATAGTGAGTTTAGAAAAGTCTCTGAGAATTCTTTGTCTGAACAATAACAATGTAATTTAATTATATAATTTGTAGGTCTGCATAAGAAGGAATTCTTTTTTATTCACGTGAATTATTTTTGCCGTGATATACAGAACAACCTCAGCTACCCTGCTGAGTTTGCATTAGCTCGATTTTCTCTTGAAAAGGGCGTTGATGAAATTTACAACGAAATATTGAGCGTCAATATTCCGCTTGGCAAGCGGTATGAGATCCAGCAGCACGCACAAAATACGCATAAAATTTCACGGGACCTTGACTGCGCTCAAAAGGATTTTGCGTACATGTATAATGTGTTTACAAAAATGTTGGGTACTGATGGTGGGAAATATCCACCATTGTACACAACAAAGGAACTTTTTCCTGTTGTAAATGACTTGCTGGAGAGATTTTGTGATGCAGGAGGTAGAAATTCTATAGTTTTATTTATACAATATCTTGAATATACAATATATTATAATGTTGTTTATTAAATCTTATAAATAGCTTGTTTATGGCTCATGCATCCTATTATCTTTAATACTTTGAATAAAGTATCTGTACATATATAATTTTTGTTACAGATACTAATGTGGCCATATTCAAGGTTTATTCAATAGAATTGCTTTTCACGCACTTAAGAACTGCCTGTGCCCAACGAGTTGATTCAGAAGGGTTTCCTACGTACATGATAGCTGAAAACGAATTGAAGAAAGATGTTTTTGATTACACACCAGGCATAGAATGCGCTGTATGTTATATACGTTATGCGTATTCACAGTGTTCCATAAAAGCGAATATAAAAATGCATTTTAATTTTAAATCTGTTTGCAGTATCATAAACTATTAGATGGTACAAACGTGTACTGTAGCAAGTCCATTGTAAAACGATGGGCTTTTACCATTTGTGACTTCTGTTGTGCTGATTTGGGTATAGAGATGACTCCCGGAATTCATTGCCCTGCTCAGAATAATTTGGATTATGATGGACCCATTGACAGTGGTGTTCAAGGTTTTAGTATGAATGATAAACGTGCTATTAACACGATGACTCCAGTAATTATAAAGCTTTGATATTTAATTTTACGAGACGTTTAATAATAGGCGATTTAATAAGTCGCATTTTATTTTTTTTTTAGTCTTGTGATTTGTACCGATGGAAAGTATCGGAACGCACGGATGAAGAAGAACGACGCAGACGATTGAATTCAAAGAAAATTTCTATAGTTGATTATGGAAAACCCGAAAATCAACATCTAATTGATGATACCAACTTAAACGATTCAGTAATAATATCTTTCATAATTGTTAAAATGAGATTTATTTTATATTGTTTGATTGTATTTTCTTTCTATCAAGGCTGAATTTCAACCTCCAGTCACCCCTTCTCAGGCGTGTGCTTTGGTGAGCTTTCTTATTATTAATGAATATAAGCTGCATATCCTTAATCATATTTACGTATATTTCACTTTCTGCTTTAGCCGCCGGACCTTGACGTTCCAATGGAACTTGCGGTAAGGATCTGTCTTGTCAAGATTACTAGTTAAATATAATTGTAGTATATTCGATTGTACAATATTCCCATACAATTAACTGTTGTGTTTTTATTTTTTGTCTAACAGACGCAGAGAAGTCTACGAGAGCCAAATACTAAAAGTAAGTGTACTCGCATAATACAATAAAAGGAAGGTATACGCCGTATCCGCTACCCATAAGTGTTAGACGATGATAATACATGTTCTCTTGTTTTAGGTTATGCGGAAATCGGAGCTCCGCCTCCTGTGCCACTATGGGACGATTCTGACTTCCCGACAATTGGTATATTCATATATATATTATTTAGAAAAAAAACACGACAATTTTGATGATTTCGAAATCTTCAAAATTGTTAGTTTGTTAAAGTGGAAATGTATGAATTTAATATTTATTTAATCATAAAATGTTTTGTTAATAGGTGGACGGGGCCGTTTTCAAAAAAGCACTAAGGAAAACATACCCATGTTTGGTCGAGGTAAAACAACTCTATAAATATTTTATTTTATTTCAAAAATGCATTTTTCTTCTGTTGAGTATGTCTTAAATAAAAATGTGTTTAAAAACCAATAATTATCATTCCTTTTATAGGTCGTGGGCATTCAACATAAGCATCTGTTCCATTATCTCTGACACTGATAACGGCATACAGGGCAAAACTTTTATATTTCTAAGGACTTTCAGCTACTAATTATTCAACGGATGTTACCTATTATTTACTAAGTAATGCACTATATCACTAAATCATAATGATGCTTCCAATGTCGTCAGAGTGTAAAGTGAAATACTTTTCATCTACTAAAGTAATCTTATATGAATACCAAAATACTTTCCTTTTGTTTCCATAAAAGATATAATATACTATAGTATAATATAACGTAGATAATCTACTTATGCCAAAGTGTTAAAGTGCAGTGCCAAAGTCTTATTTACTAATGAGAATTATTTCTTAGTTGAGAGATGTATTTTCTTTATATTCAAATAATATTATATATTTTACATCAAATGGTTGTGTTTCTTTAATCTTTGTATATATAGACATGCCATTTTAATACGTTCTATCACCTAAAGTATACTTTCTCCATGAACCATACTCCATATCCGTCACATTGGTAGAACTCCCTGTAAAGAAAATTATAGTGTATTAGACAAGTCATTTTTTTCTTATTTCAGTATTTGGCTATTACAATTGTTAGATTTTAAAGCCCGAAAATACTGTCTGAAATATCGTGTAATAATTTTAGTTGTTATTACTAAAACAAAAAGACACTTACGAAAGTGCGTATGATACCATATTGCGATATAAGGTGTACATTTATTCCGTTTTTCTCAAATTATTCAATTTTTAAGTACAAAATTGTACTCTTCGCATTTCATACTGTACAATAAGTAATTCAGTCTTACACTTTTTAGTTGTGTGTTTAGTACTTCGAATAAAGATTTTTAAAACATCGTTTAGAAATTTTATGCCGACATGCAGTATATTTCGTGTTACGTTTTCAAGTTTTATAAAGATTATATAATTCTGCTGATGATAGCTGCTTGAGTATGATACTCGTGAAATTGAAACAGTAAAATCCTAACCAGTGAAGTAAAAGTTTCTTTACTAACTTATTCTGTTAATCTGTTTAGACTTTAAAGAGGATTATTACAAAAATTTTTAAAATCCACAAAATACATTTCATACATTCAAATGTCTCCCATTAAATTATTAATGTGCTACTTCTAAATTACAAAAAGTGGCTAAAACCAACAAAAAATTTTTATTCTATCCTTTATTAAGAAAAATTCTCATTTACAACGTACTTGTGTTATTAGCGTCATTTTGATTACTAAAGCTATTTAATGAAATTCATACAGCAAAATAAAAGAGATGCCCTTTTAGAAAAGTAAGAAAGAATAGTAATGAATATCATCAGCAGGGTGAACTGGTCATCACTTATTTAAATGGAATTGAACAGAGTTAATTCTAAAAGAATTTTTTATAGCATGCTGCAAAATGTCGGTCAAATTTCAGCATTACGCTGAACGTGTATGATAAATCATTTTACCACAAACATATATAAAAAAACACGTACACGACAAATACGTACCGAGATTATATGCTGGAGTTGAGTCTCAGAATGTAATACGTGCTTCGAGTGCTTTCAGCGGGAAATAAAGTACATAGAAATATGTTTAAAAGAAAAACGCCGGTGCAAAAACAAATTATATTTATTACTCTAGCCTAGCAGCGCGGCCATTATCGAATGTCTATCAGAACAGATAAATTAATAAAATGACACTCTATCCTTATGCTAAAAGGGATACATGAAATTAACTTTCATTGATTTTTTTTCTAGCTATGTCGGAGGATGGATTTACCGGCGAAGCAACACGTCAGCAGTGTATGGCGCCGTGTTATCGTTGTATCGATAAAGTGACACAAGCAACTCGTGTCAACAAAGCTTTTGGCAAATTTGATAAAGGATGCCTCGGAGATACTGCAGTACCGAACAATTATTTAGAAAATAAGCTAACGTCAAAATCAAAATCTATTTTCAAAAGCATCAACTACCAGTACACAAGAAAATTCCAATTGCGATTTGATCATAGATTGCGCCATAATTCTAATTAAATAGTAAATTAATAAGGATTAAGTTCGAAGTGAGTATGCTTGGCCACCAAGACGAAAACTAGTTGGAAGAATTTCTTTTAGCTGGGATGCATAAGACAGTGTCGTTATAAGCTTCAGTAAGGATTATAAACGTGTGAAGCAAATAATGAAATCGCACTTGTACAACTAAAATAAATATTTGGCCTCTGTTTGTATCAGGCTTTGTAAGTTTTCATAGTACGGCTGTGCGAGCTTTCTTTAATTAAGAAAATTTATTCGGATTAACGTTGCTGGGAAAAATCGTTATTGTCTAGAACGTTGCATATGCGTACAATTGAATTGTAAAACGGGTCTTGAAATCTACCAGGTGTTGTTATGCGAACTTTGATTAACACGAAGAATGCGCAATGCTTCCATTTCCGACTTTATAACTTTTTTTCGCTTTCTTATGTGAAATCTTAAAAAAAAAGCCCTCGTTGCACAAAGCTCTGACGCATACAAAAAGCGATTAGGAATTAAAATAACAGTGAATCTGTGGATTTAGTACAAAAAATGGTTACAGGCTCGTGGAATTTTCAGAGTTCCAGAGATTCTTTATTTTGACAATAAGACAGATAGCGGTGCGATAGATATATTAACTAAACAAAAATATCTTCATTGGTGGATAACTCATTTAACCAATGATACGAAAACTCCCTTTCTCTTTCTTGGGGGAAATATTTAACAATGTATCTTGAATATATAAATTTAAGTTGGTAGGGCAGAGGGAGGCGAGGACTACTTAACAAATAAAGTGAGAATGGACGAGCGCGTCCGGGGCTCAAAGGACGACGCTCTACCTTCCCCCAGCATTAAAACTTATCTGATTACAGCAACGAACTGGAAACTTTCGTGAAAGTTGATTCAAAAAGTCTTCCTAAGGTTAATGACGAATAATCAAAACCTTAAAAAATATGGGAAAAGTATAAAGACGGAAGTGAGATATTTACGAACGATGAACCGGTCACAGCCACTCCCACCGAATTTATCATCTTCGCATTACATCCGACAATAACTTCAATGTCCACAATTAAAGATAATTACAGGCCAGTCCTTAAATGCTTTATAAACGCTGTCTAATTATAATTGTGTTAGCTTAATTAAATTATGAAACATTTCCTTTAGATTCCTCTTGGAATTTTATCGTTTAGTAACTCCTATTGAGTGTTTCACATTAGAAATATATAATAACAATGTACGTATATATATAGTATGTATATATATATATGGGTATATAATCACAACAGCATATCGCAATTATTAAGTATCACTAATGTTAATACTTTGTATGTACACACTGTACACTCCGTTACGAAAATAACAAAAGTACAGGACATTACCACCGATTCGATTATTTACAGATATTTACAGTATAGACAGCCGATACATATAGTGCTATAGCGATCGTTTTTTTTTTTTTGTTTTTTTTTCGTTTTGCTCAGTGAGTTTTACTTCCAATCAATTTTGCTTCAACTCACTATCCTCTTATCGGTTCTCTTTACGTTCTCGTATTCGCACGAATATTTCTGCAAGTATCCCGATAAACGTTTCATCCACGACATCCGAAACTTCCCCCGATGCTCCGATATAAATAAATTGACTGATATCGAGAAAATTTATTCTATGTCCTTCCACGTGTAGTGATCGATATATCATCTAGGCACCAATGTCTCGCGTTGTAAACCAATATTTCATTTATCTATTTCTCACTGTCAGAAATACACGGGCGTCAAGTATTGTCTTATATCAAATTGTATTTCGTTTCTGTCTTATTTTTCTCTGTAATTCTTCGTAAAATCTTAAAACCTCGAGCGACCGATTAGTGTATGTACATATACTGGGTGATATAAATTCATTCGGATGTAGTTATCGTGCTAACCCCTGGTTTTATGTCTAGATGAAGTAAGTTGAGCCACGGTATTAATGTGTAATTTTTTAAGGTATTGTCATGGATATTGGCGTGGTATATTTACATAGTTAGTAATTCTATCAATTTACAACCTTGTAATTCGTATTGTGGTACACAAAGTTCATGTAGCGTGATGATAAGCTACGTTCACTTGCCACGAGACGGATATGAGAACGAATATAGGTATTGCGTGTATTAAGCATGTGCAAATTATTTTTTATATTCTGGGTTCGAGTGCCTCATTGATAAACGCGGGTACCAGTATTACAGCTGACTTGTGCCAAATAGTCGCGCATGCTTCGCTTATCAATTAGAGGCCTGTTAATGTTTTTGCGAACTTTCGGAAATATTTTATATCGTATTTTAAGTAAGTTTTTTCAATACTGAAATTATGATAGTATCTATGTTTTACGTCGCTCGAAGGTTTTTCAAGTGCCGGCAAACGGCTTGCTAAATTTGTTAGCCTGCTAGTATCGCGTATGACCAAGATTATATGCGTGACGGTATTATTAAAATCGTAAGATGCAAGTTTTTCGCGGCAAAAATTGTTTTTTTTTTTTTTTCGTTTTACTTATTTGCTTTCTTTTTCTTTATTCCTGTCTTTTGCTAGAAAATTACGTTGCTATTTAATTTGCCACTCGCCCCGGGTACTGAATTATTCATATTCTATGGGTCCGAATGTTGTGAAGAAAAATTTTTTTTTTTTTTTTTTCGTTTTACTTATTTGCTTTCTTTTTCTTTATTCCTGTCTTTTGCTAGAAAATTACGTTGCTATTTAATTTGCCACTCGCCCCGGGTACTGAATTATTCATATTCTATGGGTCCGAATGTTGTGAAGCTTATTTTTTTTTTTCATAGCCTTTGTGTTGCACAATAATGTACTAGGGAGGTACAGAGTTATAGAAACGGTATACTATGGGCGTATAACGGTTACATGTGAATGGGAAAACAAAAATATACATTAAGAAATCGCGCGCGAATTTACCTGCTTTACCTATTGAGTGTTTCGACAGTCGCCCCCATATCGTTTGACCCATATAAAGGCGCGTTCATAATGATTATTAATCAATGCCTTTACAATGGGTCTATTGAGTGTTTCGATGTATTTTTTTTTTTTTTTCACAAAAAAAATCCTCTTCACCGTTCAACATTTTGTGGACACCAAACATGTGTAAATACGAGATTTTACGAAATTAATTTTTCCTCGGATTCGTTTATTCGATCGTTACGTAGTTCGATTTATTTATCGTTAAAGTACTCTTTTTCGTGTGATTTTTGTGCAAAAAAATATCACGTACCGTGCAAATATTTGCTTGAGTTACAAAAAAAGTCCCGATACAGATAGATAAGTTTTATTTAAAATACGGAACGTTTTTTGTGACTCAATCTAATACACGTGTGGGAGAGATCGAGGCTTTGGGGTCAGCATTATTTTTACATCAGTCCCTTCGTTGTTTTGTAATATTCTGTATTATTTCGAGCGGCTCACGAAAAGGAGCGAAGCACCAATTTGTTTTTGCGTGGAATCACTTGTGACGATAAATACTTCGTGCGTCAAATTCGTTTCTTAGTTTATTAACAGAGAGTTTACGAAAATTGTTACTTGTTTACTATTGAGAATTTCGGTATTTTTGTCTACGAGCAAATATATTTGTTGTGACGTAGTAGTTTTGCTAGAATGCTCTATATATATGTATTCAAGTTATTAAAAATAGGTTATTTATTGATGCTCGACTTAGGCCGACTCGTTAGTTATTTTTCTTAAGCAACATTTTTCTTTCGACCAGTCACTTTTACAGTCGGACTGTACATTATTTTGTTACTTTATTATATAATAGACACGTGAATAACATGATCTGATAACTGAAATCAATGTTGAGGTCCCATAATTTTATTAGTTCAAGAAGAGTTTTATTAGGTGAAAGAAAAAGTTAAGTTGGAAAATTTATTTAGGAGCGACTGCACGTGCTGGCCAACGATTTACGGCCTGATTTTTGACACCGTATATAATACATGCTTTTATGCTCAATTCACCGTAATGGAACTGAAATTAGATTTCACATGTTATTTCTATCTCGCCCACGGAGATTCATCACTCGCTTGTTATGTAACAGCCTTTTAGATGTTAATTCATATTTTCAGGGTATTTTCGTTTACTGTTCGTCGGTAGATACAATTACGCTCGTTCGTTCGTATTCGATACATAACTCGTGTCTGTTGTCCAATTTTCGTAATATTTAACAGTTCATTGAACAACTATCGACGTAGAAGATTTTTCAATATTCAGTCGCTCGTAAATTCGAAATACCGAGAAGCACTCGTAGATATAAAAATTATTGGTCCGTTAATGTTTTATAAAATTAGGCTAATTGCTCCTGATAATATTCCATTTGTCGTGTAACGAGTCCAAGGAAAAGTTGTTAGTCGAACATTTTAATAGAACGAAGATTAATTGGTCCTTCAAGTTCACTTTCTTTCGAATAACTTTTTAAACTTGAAGCGAGTCGTTTCTTTGAGTTGGTAACTTTTTTTTCTTTTATATTAAATATAAAAGTTCCTTCGGTTTACAGTTATAACCTTATAACAGATAATGAGATATCGCACTTGAAATCCTAGCCAAGTAATATCTGAGGTGTATAATTTAATGTATTTTTGTGCTATTATTTTACTTGTCGGTAAGAACGATTAAAAAAAAATTATTTAATGTAAAAACAGTGCTAGAGGATTTTCCGTGAATACGCAAATCAAAGCTTTTTGTATCCCCAAGTAAAATTTGCATCAAAGAAGCTCGGGGTGTATTCGCAAATTTAATTACGCAAAATTGTCACGCTCAACAAATCCTATTTTTGACGCGGGAGTAATCAAATATTTAAAAAAGATTTTTTTTTGTAAATTGTGCCTATGTTGAATCTATAAAAGTTTTCTTATTAACGGCGACTGTCGAAGCAGATATATGACTTGTGCCACAGTCTTAATGAACTTTTTAATTTCTTTTTTTTAGTTTACGTGGCCTTTTAAAGGGGATAGCAAACCGAATGCCGGACACGCCTGTGCTAGACCTGAGTGACCTGCGTGACGGTGTGATTGGTCCCGGTGTTTCCATTGTTTTCTGGCTTCAGCGGTACGGGCATCCATCTGCCGAGTAATTTCCAGCGACCGAAAAGTTGGTTGAACGTCGTCCTGAATTGCCTGCTCATTGCACAGTACAGGATGAAATTGATGGCGGAGTTTATTAGCGCCAGGATGTCCATCGCATCGCCTGAAAGTTAACCAAAAGGAAACCAATGGTGAAGTCTGACAAAGTTAATGATTCAACACGCTTCGAAACGTGGGTTAAACGTACGCTCCAATCGTAGCCAAGTTTAAGAGCAATTTTTAGTACTTGTCTATCGACTCAGCACTGCTTTTTTTTTCACATAAAGTCAATCACGTGGGATAATTAAGTACCCCGAGATGACCAGTGTCGGGTTAATTAAATGGCAATTACTTACTTAGCAATTAAATAATAATACAGTGTTAAGCTGTTAATCTTTTTAGAAAATAATTTATTAACAAGCCATAAGTAACTTTTGGCTCTTTCAATTTGTCTTTTTTTAGTCTTATCGGGATTATAATTTTTTAAATAATTATGTAAGACCTTCAACTGTGCAAAGAGTTTAAGATTTAACGTGACCTAAACCATGACTTTGTTTGACTTAATCAAGATGATTAACGACCTTTCTTATTTCATTTAGGTTCAACAGTGTTCTACTGAACTTTGAGGATCGAATAGTAGGAAGAATTGGAAAGGAATTGGAAAAAATACGCGAATGCCACAGCACGACACGTATAGGGGATGCGGGATTCGAAATTCACTGAAACTGATCATCGTTCGTTTAAGTTCTTGTTTATTGAATCTTAAGTAAATACGGAAACGTTTGTTCGAAAATAACCCAGGAATAATGAGTATCAAAACCGTTGTTCAGATTCAATATGGTTTTTGTATACACGTGTCAGTCTCTAGCTCTTCAAAGATCCCCATTGACTAGTCCATCATTCTCTTAGAAAGTGCGAAATGGAAACTGTAATTATCTTAGTTTCAAAATCGACTTTTTTTTTCTGTACACGTACCGTCCGAGTTTTCTCACAACTTACGCCCTTTCTGTACGCCAGCTGCAGATATAAGACACACTAAAAAGTTTTCCTAGTTTTTCTCATTATTATCTCAAGACTGCCAGACTCGGGAAGAATGGTACGTCAGATAAAAAACATCAATTACCATCGATCCCGTTAATTAGCTTTGCCAGTCAATTTTCTGCATTTTAACTCGAGTTCTCATTACAGTCAGGTTCTTTAACACACTCTGTTACCTGTCATGATAATACGTTAAGACCCTACAATCATACCACACCATACTGTAATCAATGATAATTTGTAAAAATTTAATCCCCAGCAGGACTCAATGTTTTTCATTCAGTCCCAACACTAGAACCCTCGTAAAAGAAGAATTAATAATTGAGGTTGCATCGTTGCAAGCAAGAATCTGTTGCAGCTCAACAAAAATCGGTGATCTGATCGACAAGGTTTAAAATGACAGGAGGGATGAAACTCATGAAAAGATACAGTCGCTTTTATTTGCCAATGACGAATTTATACCATTTCAACCGGCACTTCACCTTTACCGTGGTTTCTATGCAAAGCATGTAGAAAAAGCGAAACGTCCCTTTACGACCCGAATGGATGGGATAATGTTTCGCCACGAGGGAACTTTCGTAGAGTCCGTCGAAGGCGTGTCTCAAGTCATTTCTCAATACGTTTTACTCGTAAAAGCTCAGCAGAACTATTTTTCTTCGGAGGAGAACTTCTTACCCGTGAAGGAGCTTCTTCCGATCTTTCCTCCAGAGATACTTGTAAGTATATACACACACGTACAGACCTCTAAAAATACTCAACAGTTCGCCGAACCTCTTGAGCTCTGTTCATCGTTCAAGCTCAAAGACCGACGCCCGTGCCCTTCGACGCGGTTCAATCCATAAACTCGGATTAACCGTGCTATTAGCCAATCAGGCACTTGTATTTCGAAGATAAACGGAGCTTATGCGTTGAACCGCGTTGAAGAAAACGGGCCTGATAGACAAACAAGTTTAATTTGTTCTAATTCTGATGCTATTTTTTTTAGATTTTTCTTGAAATATCGATCTTAACATGGATCAAAGGTGATCAATGAACTCCAGGGATGGAAGTGGACTTTCAATATTTTTATTAATAAAAAGCTCCTGTGTGCTTATCCTCGTTGCCACTTGACGGACGGGAGAGGAAACGAAATCAATAGAAGTTCAACTGGAAAAATTGAAAATGGTACTGTGAAACAAGTATAACGTCGATAAGCGTGTCAATATTGGCAGTCGTGTAGACGCAGATCGACAATACAATTATTTCTGCTGTTTCATAGCGTTTTTTTATCTCTTGTACAGGACGTGGGATTTCATCATAGCGGACGGGAACGTTTGGAGCATGCAAAGTGGAACGAAAAACGCTAAACGAATCAAACAGAAAATTGTCATTGGAGCAACATTGGAAACTGGCAAGTAGCTTAAATAAAGCGATGTCGAGTAAACCGGGAGAACACATTTCATTAGAGTTTACCTTTTTTTTTATGAGTAAACTGTCATATCCAAAAACGCTAAAAAAATTGTCAATTATTTAACAACTCCAATAGAATTATATTTATTTTCAACGGAAATCTTTTGAGATGTTCGATATCCTGCCTTACTCTATAATCAACTTTATTTATATTTTTCAAGAAATTCAAAAAAAGAAACAAGCGTCAATATATACCTTTACTCACGAATATACCAATTCGTGAGTACCAGAATTCGCACGAAAGTAAGCATTAGCATTGATGATTACGATAACTATCTCTGGTAGGGATATACATATTTTGAAAAGGAAGGCTAATTATGAAATATTCAAGGACAATGCCCCTGTTAATAATTGGAATAGTCAGGTTTAAGAATATGGTATTAATTATATATACATATATGCTTGTGTGTGTCTACCAAGCAGGTATTAGACATTAGCATAAGGGCAATCCCTTGGTAATATGGAGTGTAGAATCTCGTGTAAGATAATATACATGAATAAAAAGGGCGTGACGCGTTACACATTGCACAGCTTATGTCAGCTGAGAGGCTAAAGCGTCTAAAGCGCAAAGGATGATTATACATACATATCCATATGGAAAGATGTTATAACCAGCATGGCTGTTATAAAATATATCAGATATAGTACAATTACTAATAGGTGGCAATCTAACGAAAAAATTATCTGGATGACCTTCGTTTATGTATTTTAATAGGTCCCTCATTGGAGAGGCGTGAAATTTATAAAATCGATGACTATCCATTTGTTATGAGTCCTCTGAGCATTCGTTACCATATAAAACAGTGAAACATAATACCCCGCAGGGTTTACTTGTACAGCGGATAAGATGGCTCCTGCGTACTAAAATATACACGCGTGTATAATAATTTAAGGTAATCCGGGGCATCGGTATAAATATTATTATACATATGTATTTATGATTTGATCAATCTCATTCAGGATAAACTTACCAAGCTTCGCGTAACAAGTCTTAAGGAATGTGTGGCCTAGCACGGCGCTCAACAATCCCAGCACGCCCTGAGGAAATTCTGTGATGAGAAAGAGAAGTAAGACTGCCAGTAGCATCTTGGTCGTTCTGTCCGTCTGTTTTTCCTTGTCTATCATTTTATTATTCTTCTTTCGGCTCTTCTTGTTCTCCCTATCGTCATTAGTCTTGACTACCGCGGTGGCTTCGGTGAGTCTTTGCCTCCTTTTCTTAGCCTCTATCAAGGCTACGATCAGCCTGAGACTGAGTATTGTCAGTGCTATGCATGGTATGATCTTAATGACCACACTGTATATCCAGACATACATGTCATTCAGAATCCGATTGGCACGAGCTGTTTCGCTGAACTGGACGTAGTAGAGTGTTGTGTTAAATACGTATATGTCCTCGGTAAGGTTTGTGATATTGTTTATAGGATTTCCATTCGTATCGAGGAGCTCTATGCTGGGCATGACACTTGTAGCCATGTAGAATGGTATGCATATCAGAGGACAGATCACGTAAGCTCCTGCTATGGCTAGGATGGTCCTGCGGAAGCTGCACCATTCACGATTTCTTTGAGGATGAGCCACGGCTATGTAACGCCAGACCGCCAGGGTCACTGTTAACCATATCGATATGGTGTGACAGACTTGACTGAAATTTGAATGGAACAGGACGAACAGTGTCCAGCCGTATGTGAAACGGTCTCGTTTTGGTCTGTCATAAAGGTACATGTGAATCGCGTATGGTATGTACTCCAGCATCACTAGAAGATCTGCTACGGCTAGACCAGTGAGAATTGCATTGGTTGGTGAGTTCATCTCTCTTCTGGTTAGGACTATTATGTTGAGGGTGTTCGCTATGGAACCGAAAATGCATACCAGGAGACTGGCATACCCGTGAATTTGCGCATAGGCTGTGTGAAAGGAATCTATTCCAGAACCGCATTCATACGGTGATGAATTGGTTGTGTTTGTTAGGTTTGTTATGTTCATTTCTATTATTGGGATGCTGTTCTTTGAAACTTTCTTTTTTATTGGTACTTCATTTAGAGAGTGCTATCGGTGTTTGGGTGTTACCGTGATGTTTTTTAAAAATTATTTTTGATGAATTCTGCTTATTGAATGTTTGTAGCATTGTTGTGAGTATTCGTTATTTTTTTATTTTTATTCGCGAGGTAAAGTTAGTGGGGCTTCAAAGATTTTTCTTTTTTTCCGATCATCTCTTCCTGTCACAATTTTCTCTTTTCTTTCCCGTTTGATCGTCTACACGAGAGAGTTACTCCTTGATTATGGATTTTCTGAAGTTACCCTAATTCTCTTCGTCATTTTTAATTAATCGCTCTTTTAGTTTTTCTTGAAGAATCTTCTCTTGGTGTTGTTATCACTTCTTTCTCTTCTTCTTCAGATTCGAGTTAACCTATCGCCTTGACTAGGGTAGACTTTGGTACTTTGAGCAGTCTATGGACTTTCAAGGATTCATGTTTTCTTTGGCTACACTTTAAGGTTTCCCTTTTTTTATCTCTCCTTTTCTTTTATACTGTCCCTACGAATTCCTGCGAATACTTTTCAGTTGTTTGCCAATCTTTGTTTCTGCTTTTCTTTTCATTGGATCACCTTATGAAATCTTTTCTTCGATACTTTACACCTCGTACGGATAACTCATGTTCGCGTTGGCAATGAATCTTTTGGCCAATAATTCTAGTTTATTTTACCTTTCCATAATTCTGTGATTATTGTACTTATCAATTTAATATTATCGTCCTCACTTTTGAACTTTCCGCATTTTTCGTATTCGCACTCACGACCTGCATATACCTCATTCGCAACGTCCAAAGTTATCAAATAACTCCTTTTACTTATTTTCTAAATCGTTCAGTCAATGTTTTCCAATTGAAAATGAAAGACCGTACATCTATTCACCACGTATCGGATCACATTGTCGAAACTTTCACCAGAACGCACAAACGTAACGCGTCCTAATCATCGACGTGATTAAAGAAACATTATTCTTTTAAAACTGTAAAGATACAAAAGTTTCCCAAACCAATGAGATACACGACGACAGTAGCAATGCAGTAATACAAAGGAGAATAAAAGTAAAGAGAGGCCGGCGAAAAGAAGCAAAAATGCGTACAGGTACAGGGAGAGGAGAAAGAGAAAAATTAAAGAAGTCAAGATTGAACAGAAGAATTTCTCGGTTGAAATCCGTCGCAACGTGAAATCAGAGTCGCGGACGGACGACGAATGAGACGAATCACCGAATGGGTAGCGTCCCGACGAACGCGGGACATCAGCGTCGCGACGCCTTGCGCCTGCGTTTACATTGTGCCTTCTCTCTCGTATTTCCTCCTCTTCTATCCCCTGCAATTTTCTGCTTCTATTTTCGCTATCTCAGGTATGTATCGCTCTCAATTCTCATCGATGTCAATTTATATTTTTTCTCTCTTTTTTTTTTTTTCTACAACCTTTCCTCAATCTCTTGTCAGTTCACATAGCAACTCCAAGCAGATCTAGAGAAGTCATTACAATATTTATGATGTACTCCGGTCTTACGTGGTGCCTATATTCCATTGTTTGAATCGATGGAATAACTGGAAGCTGATGTATTTTTCGATTTACCTGGTAAACTTATTTCGCATCGTTGACTCTTGCTTGTTTCGTACTTTTTTTTTTTCTCACAAATCTTCTTTGTTTGTCTGCTCTGGCGCTGACGGAAATAAACGATACTCCTGAAATGGGTGTATTTCAGTAGGGGAGTAATCGACGTAACTTACGTTTAGTCACGTTAGTCGTTATGGTCACGTTTACGTTATGCAATACAAGTTTAAAGAAGAAAGGATTTGCAGATATTCGATAATCTATCAATAACTAGGGTACGATTAGACTAAAATTATACTATGTATTATATTATGACGATTGCTCGAATGATTTCACGCTGCCGATAACCTATATTTATTTACACTGGACTTACGGACAGTTTATCGAAAAGACACATAATCGAAAATTTGTTTATCGAATTTACATTTCTGCAAAAATTTCGTGCCCTGGATTTAAAGAAAATTTTTTTTTTTATTTACATCTTTTGCTTTCAGCCTTATAATATATGAATCTGTTGAGCTTTAGCCTCCGGCTTTTGGAACTCGTAACGTATTCCGAAGTCATATTGAAGAAAATATTTGGATATTAAATATTTCGGAAATTCAAAATATTTGAAAGGTATTTATTTTTTAAAATAGAAATATAAAGATTTCTTACTTACTACCGGTCTAAGGAGATTTTTCTTGTCTGGAAAACAGTACGGAAATGTGCTGTAACTACAGGTTGCTCTAACTTATTATATTTGTAAATAAGACTGAATAAAATAAACCTACTCTGACTGAACCTAGCCATTTCGAGGCTTATCACAGCAGTGTTTTTTTTTTAATTAATTTATTTTAGCCTCGGCCTTGTAGACGTGAGTGCGGTCGGTTTTATTTGACGATTTTATTTAACTAGGTCCCACTGGTGTGGAATTCGAAATTCCGCCATATCCTAACCTAACCTAACCATTTCTAAGCCTATCACAGACAGTTGACTGAGTGCACCGATTTTACTCACCTAAAACAAACGCTATCAGGATTAGTAACAATATAAGTCTAAACAACAACAAATTTGTGGCTCATCACGCAACGGAGGAAATACATATATATATTTAAGAAAAATTAAGACAAGAAATTGAAACAGCTAGTCATACCCCCTTAGAATAACAACAGTCAATAAATTGTCATCGACGAACGTGGTTTCGAGGAATTTGAAATTCGGCAAATACGCCGAATATTTCCGTATTCGATTAAATGTTCCTTTCGATCAAATGTCATTCGATAAAATGTCTTTTTCGATCAAAGATTCTTTGGATAAAATGTTTTCGATAAACTATCCGGACACGTTTACACTGTACTTGACTTAACGATTTTACATTTATGTTAATGATTTAATGGATTTTGAATATCCGGTTATCATAAACATAATGAAATACAATTTACCGTATATGACTAACTGGCCATTTTAATGTCGCCTTAAATATTAAAATACGCATCCCTTCTGTTTTATATACGGGTTTAGTATGATTAATTCGACCCTATATTTCTATTATAATGTAATTAAGTGTTTTAATGAGTAACACCCTTAATCTTCGTTGGTATAAACTGTGAAAATCCTTCTTGCAATTTCGCTTCAGCTCATTTCACATTTACCTTCTTCGCATCGATTGTACCAAATGAGTACAACATCCCACGGGGTTATTTACGTAGCTCGATGCTTTTATCGATCTTAAAATTAGCGATGAGTATCTCTTCCCTTGTGCTTATTTCTTTTCTTCCCACGGAATTGTGCATTCGTACCAGGTTTCTAATGGACGATGTTTACGCGAATTTCGAAGATCTACGTCTTGTATATCGCCCCAATGCAGAATTAGTTACTGGAATTTGGAATGAAATAAACCAGGGGGAAGTTGAAAGAATTTCGAAACACAACGGATGCTGAGACAACTTCACTATTATAGAGGTATGAACGTTTTATTGTAGCTATAGATTGATTCAGTAAAGGTTACGTCATCCTGAAAGAGATATCTTACTTGATGGACTTTTACCTGCAACGCGACAATTTTGTATAGCTCCACTAACACCAGTTACTGTTTAACATTACGTATTGCACATTGCGAGCTGATAATCATGAAAATGGATTATAAAGAGATAAATAATAAATGTGAAATTAACCTCAAAAATCGTGCAGGGTCAAATTTATGTGCTGGTTATTAAACGTCACTAAATATTATCCACGAAGAAAACTAATAGGAAGAAGTGTGAAAAATGAAAAAAAAACTCTACGTTCAGTGAATTCGCTTTAGGTTGAAAGATATAAGCAATATAATTAAGTTTTTTGCCGTTTTGACAGTCGAGGTTCTCGCAATGTTCCTTAAAATTATTGTGAGAATCAATGGCGTTTCGTTTTATAAAAATCTACTAGAATCACTGAGTACGGAAGAAAAGAATTGTAACGATTTTGCTTGTAATTCTTTGCCGTTTTAATTGAATTTTAAGTTACTGCGCCATCTGTCAGGTAATATCGAAACTAATGGAACAGCAGCGTGCAATTAGGGCAAGCCCCACGAGTAACATTATTTATTTGTTTGTTTCCCTGGCTTCGGAACGCGGTAACTCTTATTCTTTTATTTATTTATTTATAATTTGTTTGTTTTTCAGTTGCTTCGATACCTTTCCAATGTTCGACAATAGTTTAAAGACGAGGTATCTAGGTTTGGTACGCCATGGCGTCGCAACGCAGAAAATTTCTCACGGAAATACAATCTAAGACACGAAAGGCATCCGACCGCGTTTTGTGGTGTCTCTTGGAATTTAATTTCATACCATTCTCAACGATCTGATTGGGCCGTGGAATTTATCGGCGCATTCTTATCTTGATTTCAAAGTTGAAAAACAAAGATATGAAAATGCACAATTTCAACTAACCTGAAATTCATAACCAACAGTACAGTCGAGTAAAGAAGTAAGTAACAACGTAATAACAAAAGAAAAAAATACGAAATACGTTCCGTTGGTTACATGACGTGTTGCTAATTTGCAATTACACGGCTTTCGAAATTTAAAATTTAACAATATGTTAAAACTGAAGTGTGCTGCTTGAAGTCTGTAAAATTGCCATAAAATTAATGACGTTGACTCTTTGACAAATGAGCATGACCGTAACAACAAATTCGACATAATTTTTTATTTTCAATATTGTTGCATCATTGCTCCAAGTATGCTAATCAAATTTTGCACATGTCCATGAAACCTAAAGTATCAGCCTGTAGTGCCTATGCCCAGCAAACACAAAATTTTATGTAACATATATATCCTATTTAACTTACACGCAATCTATTTATTCCTAGTCAAATACGTAACAACTTATTATACATTTATTTTTGTTATTTAAATTCAACATTACCTTTTCATAAAAAAATAATGGATACAACATTTTACACATGTGACTAGGAATTAATAACTTGCATGTAACTTACACCTAATAAATATATCACATTAAAAGTTATACAGGGTGACCGCCTTTTACGGGGTCCAACGAGAGAGTACAAATCGGCTGAGAATCCGCCTCCCTATAGGTATTTATATTTGTTGTAGAAATAATATTAATATTGTGGTATAGCTGTCGCTTTCCGGCGTACTTCAATCGAATGATTGTTCTCATTGTTAAATAACTAGCAATTGATTGTTACATGAAACTAAACAGTTTTTCATCTCCTGCGGGACCGCCTATGAGAAGACAAGTACCAAGTAAGCAGTAAGCATTAGGAACTATTATACCTACGAAAATAAGTATAAATAGAAGAAGACGGATCATCAGCCGATATGGGGTGCCGGTGAGGCAGGAAAAGTTACACCCTGTATATTAGCTGGGATCTCAATCGGGTACGTAAAATTGTAACCATACAACCCTATACTAAAATCTTGCTAGGAATATGTAATTTCAAAAGCATCCTATACTACACACGACCTAATATCGTCGCGGCACACGTGTTCTCTGAATTTGGATTTCCAATATCTCCATGACATCAGGCATTGTGGTTTTAGGTTCAGGAGGATCACGTGACTCTCGAAATATTTTCAACAGGCATTATAAATACTATAACCGCCTTGGACACGAGCCAAGATTGCAAACCCGTGAAAGTTTGAAGTATCTTTAATATCGCCACTTTGTCTTCTTTCCAATCTACCGCATCCATTTGCCGCAACCACCGTAAATGGCCGTCAAATATGAATTTTCGCAGCGCTCCGAATGCTTCCAAAAATTACAAGGCCAGTTACGGTAATCGATGAAAAGTTTACAAGGTATGTTCAATAGTAGATGCTGCCTAAAAAAAAAAATGTATTAATGACTTTTTTAATTTCATTGAAATCAATTATTTTTATACCCCATACGTAATCCACCTTAGTATTTATTTATAACGTAAAAAATTGAAGCTGTCATTTTTTAAATTTTTTCAGAGAGCACGCCATCATTTTTCAAAGGAATAATGTCCGACAGTTCCATGCTCCACAATTGGTATGAATAATCTATTTGTCACGTAGCAATTCTTGTGTATACAATATTGTACTATAACCGTTTTTTTTTTTTTCGTATCTACTCACTATCTTGAACTGTTGATATAATTCTTGTGATACAAAATATCTTTCTTTACCCTCGCGCTCTACGTATCGACTAATTATTTTTATGTTTCAGTCAATATACTCCCATTTTGTCAGCATACAAGCAAAGGTATTCCTAGCTAGCGTTTCAGTTTACACGTTTGTTCATCTGTTTGCAGCCTTTAGCAAATAGACTTTTTTGTCCTCTGCTACCCTCTTCTGTCTTCCTGTAACTCATCTACTGTTATGAGGGTTTTGTCATCCGTCCCGTGAAGAATAACCAGCCTCATTAGTCGTATTTACATGGACGTATGTTACATGGTTGATGTTCCTTGTGGGATACTATTGTCGCACGGTTTGTTATTTCTTCATTTTAATAACAAATTAATGGATTGTGGTTATATTATACGTTTCATCCCCATTCCGGGAATCGTCGAGCGATTTTCTTTCCACATTTTATGAGCATTGATTTGGGGTATCACAGTCTCGGACGCCCCATGCGTGGAGCCCGGGTTAATATCCAACTAATGAAAATAATTATCCTAACAATGCGTTAATGTTGTCATCAGTGTTTAAATCGTTAAATTCTTTTGAGGTTAAGTTTCACTGATTCTTCTAATGGCATATGCATTTCTTTTCTAGTCTACTCACTACATGGAATCTGGGCTTGAAGTTGGACCCACAAAATTATGGAAGCTGATGAGCGACTGCAACGTTCAACGTATATTAATAGGACAATCTCGAAATTAAGTTATTTTTGCCAAATTGTATAACCGAGTTATATATTGGTATATATTTACGAAGGTGCGCCCTATTATGTTGCTGCCTATGTTGCGTGGGTTGATAAGCACGTGATTATAGAAGATATCGACTTTGAGGGTGGGCATTATAATTTCTTTGATCGCTGCAAGACTTAATAATGTATTTTTAATTAATTGGTACGTTCACCGTGATCAGTTATTCAGGAATATTTTAAGCCGCCATCAAAGACTTTAAAAGTCAGCAGCAATTAACACGTCTTATAAATATTAGTCAGACTTATTTAATCAGATGCTAATTAAGTAGGTTGGAAATTAATTAAGCTTCTGCTCCTCGTTGTCAATTGGTATTACATTTTTTGTCTTACATAATTAATTATATCAAACGAGATCAAAAGATTGAAAATAAAGGGTAAAGAGTGCTAATTTATTATTATTATCATTGATATCAGTCTCATTTTTGTTTTATTAATTGACAAATGAAATTTTTGATATTCTTTTTAATAAGCTTTTTTTAATTTATGGTTTTATACCTTTTTTCGGGATAATCGTATAGGCTCTGCTGTACCTGTTTGCCCTCTTGAATGAAGGCGCGTCCGCAAGGGCGAATTTGTCGCTTAGACGAGGAGACGAGGTGAGATTAGATTCGTGTCGAATGGTAAGGAAGTTGCAAATTGAGTTTCTTAGTTCTTCAGAGTAGATATTACGTAGGGTTAAAGTTATAGGGTGGCCTTACTTGTAAATGACTTTCTCAGAATCGTGGGGATTATTACCCAGTGAGATTTTGCAGGATGAGTATTCGACGTGTCTCTGAAAATCTGAGAAATGATCTTTTTACGCACGGAGCTTGGGCTTTCGGTTCCATTAATATGAATTGAAAAACATTCATCCGTCCATACAGGGGTTGTGCAGTGAATGGGGTAGGTCGAATCGTCGCCATTATAACACAGAATTATTATTTATACTGTCAATCCTCTCCGTATACATATTCATGAACCAGAAGACTCAGGTACGTCTCTCGAATAATACGAATCGTTTAGCCGGCATTTCGTTAACTAAATTTTTGTTGGAATAATACGAGAAATAATTGGAAAATGTCAAAAAAAAATATCAGCATATTATTTTAACATTTATTACATTTTCTTTTTATTGTCGTTACCACTTATTTACTTTGCTAAATTTTTCATTTCTTTATGTTCTCGACAAAATTTTGTCCTTTTTATCGCTTCCTTCGTATACTTCTTGTTTAAGCGATGCTAACGTTAAACTGGGGCATATCCCGTAGAATTGGAAGGCCCGTTCACAGTGTTATCTCTGTAGTTCCTGTAGTTCCATCTACCATTTGACATAAAGATTTCCATATTTTCATCAACTTAGGACCTATAGTATATAGGGATCTATATTTTTAACAATTTTACCATCATTTTATCTAGTTTCTCGTGCGCTCAAAGAATCCCATTAGGCGCAACCCGACTAACGTAGAGACACTGCGACGGGGTTTTTAGTAGTTCGCGAATGCTGGCGCGTCGCGTTATTCGATTTATGCTCCATTTTCCATTGATGACACATAGCGACTTCTCTTTGAATTTCCAAATTGATTTTTTGTAAAAATTTATACTTGCATCTTGAAAGCGCACATTTTTGTAAATCGATGAATAAAAACTATGCAGTATAATATACATATGTGTGTATAAGTTGTAACGTGGCGTTACAGAGCTGGAGGGGATACCACCTAGGAATGACCGAAAAATAAATAAATAGGACTTATCAGGTCGGACAGTGGGTTCAATAGCACAGTGGTAAGTGCTCGACTTGGCAGTCCGAAGGTATCGGGTTCGAATCCCGATCAGAACTCTTAATTTTTCGGAAATTCCTAGCCCTCTAGTGCTCCCTGGCGGCTCTATGGATCAAAATAATTATAGCGGGGACGAGCCGGGCACCCCGTTATAAAGTATATAGAGATATTGTAACGTGAAAAGTCCTATAGGTGATCTTATGTTAATATATTTGCATTAGTACCTATTCACTTGATACGACTAGACTGTGCAAATGGATAAAATTTCAGACATTTTTCTCTCCAATCTTCTTATCTGTTCTGAGGGAGAAAGTGTGTTTTCAAGAAGCAAAAAAAAGATGAAATTTCAGATAAAATATTACTCCCTGTTAAATTATGATTTATAATTTCAATTTTTTATTCTGAAATAATGTCAATGCAGCTTCTTCAGTGATATTGAATGACGGGTTTCTATTCTGAAAAGAACTTTAATCCTACGCCCATGAGAAGGATCTCTAAAAATTTACTAAAACGAATGCGAAGAGTTTTTTTTCAGATTTGCTTGATTGTCCTTCTGGATAGGTTCGCAAGATACGTACTCTGCATGAAAAAGAGCAAAGTTTAGTTCCATCCAGTTACCCTCGAGTTACCCCGGCAATTGGTCGTCCCACGACCTCTGACAATTCTCTTCAGTGTTATCCAAAAAAAAAAGGTTCTAAGGATCCAGGGAGCAATATAATATTACCTTTCCTCAATTTATCAGCCCACGGAGTAGCCTTCGCTGTGCGTAAAGTATCTTTAAGGACTCTTGTTATTTTCAAGAAATTTTGTTAAAAATAACACTTCAAAAAAATTAATTTTTTTTCATCAACACCAATAAATCAGCTGTATCCCAATACTCCGTTTTCTGAATTTCCAGCGTACAACTAATTTCGATGACGTCAATCCGCGCGTTAGAGGCTTTCCATGTTTTTGATTTATTTCTGTAAACTCTCAGCATGTCGCACTAATTAAAATTGATTACCGAAGAAAGTTGATAAGAGGCAGGGAGTCAATGTTGACAGAGGGGTAAAGAGGAGCCATTAAAAATTCTCAGATTTCTTTTGAAGAAGCCGATCAAAGTTGGGTCCCCCAAACTCGAAAATTTTCCAAATTCGCCGAAGAGGAAAACTTTTGGTCAGATTTGTATCAAAAAACGTAAAAGCTTATCAAACTCGAGGGTTGTTGAGACTTACGAATATATCCTGATATCACTAAGGCCGTTAAGAGCAAAGAACTTAAAAGCTCCAGACTTTCCCATTAAAGTGTTTGCAACATTTTTCTACATTTTCTACGATAAGCATTCATTTTCACTGCTATGGAAAAAAAAAACTTTTAACAGGAATGCACGCTTCAAAGAATATTTTTTTCTGCCGTAAAGTCGTCATCTTTTTCCCTCATTGTAGAAACGAAAAGAAGTTCATATATTTTTCATCCCATGACAGAAACAATCCTATGGCGAAAAAGCACATTTAACCCCCTTCCTACTAAAAATACACCGAGTGTTTTCCATTTACGTGGAAATTTCGGTGACCGCTCAGCTTTTCCTGGATTAACGACACCCGATATAAATAATGTATATAACAAGAACAACTGGGTTTCATATAAGAACCATGGCAGTGGGTGATATCTGATACTTTTCATTTATGTGGAAATTTCGTGATTGAAATATACCCTCTGTTTCTAACACACCCGTTATATAACAGTCATGCAATTTGAGACATATGACAGGAGCGATGTATGCTAAAGAAATATTTAAGCTTGACATCTTTTGCCAATCTACTTCACCCAATACAAATACGATATTCAGTGATGATTTTTCATTTCAGATTTCTTATTTCAGATTTCTTACGAGACACCCGTTACATTTTCTTCGCGCGGATCTGCTGTGAAACATAATCCTTAACGAGGACAATCAGAGTTCACGGATATCGCAAGAGTGTGCTAAATCTACGTTAACAGCGAAACGAAATAGCCAACAGCCTGCTACAGGAACAATAGGAAAGAAAATAATGCCGCATAATACTCTCCTCTTCAACAGTATAACAGTACAGCAGCGATAGTGTAGTCATACTAAAGATCCTAGTATTACCGTGTTATCGTGGTTGTCAGTGCGACGTTGTCATATTGCAGCTGTGTGAAAATAATGTAAACCGTGTATAACGTTGGGAAATGGTTTGATCTTTGACTAAAAGGAAATCGGAAATACTCTCCAAATCTTCAGTTCCCTGCAGGTACCAACTTGTAGATGTAAAAGGATTTGGAACTGTCGACCGCATTACTACCAATTGCAGAATCATCATTTTACAGGTTAGTTATTTTACAGGCTTCCGTACTTCTTCCATTTTATATTCCATTATGATTTGCAGTTAAATCATTTTTGCTTCGACAGAGACCATCCTGGAAGTATGATAATACGTAGAAAATAAGGTCTGAGTTGTTAGCGAAGGCTATGACGTATCTGTTAAGTCGTTCAGTCAATTTTGACACTTCGAGAAGTTTTATCTGAGTACAGCATAGTAACAGTCTGATAATATACATATTGCATAGTAATAATTTATAGTTTCTATATTACACCGTAGTATTTTATGACATTCGTATATTGGAATATTTTTCAATTTTATGACCCGATTGCTCAGACAGTTATTGAGTAATTTATTGGAATAAAAATAGATGGATATGAAAAGTGAACGAATCGTAAGATAGGCGCAAGGAATTAATATTGAACGGAATGATTGTTTGGACTAAAATTTGCTCTCTAATCTGTATCATATTTCATAACCTTTATTACTAATTAGTAATCGATACGTTTTAGTAGCAAGAGATTACACCCTTGTGCCGTAGAATTATTGGAGATGGAATTTCGTAATATCCAGAGAAATCCTCTTTGGGATTTCCAGGATTATGAAAGATTTAAGGTTTCCGAGTGAATTTTGTATATAGGTAGGCACGTGCATACATAGCCTGTAGAGGTTGTATGGTTTAGAGTCTATGCCTAAGAGAAATCTTCCTTACCGACAGAAATTATCAGCTGTGTACTATAAATAGTTTAAATTAGAACTTTACCTTTCCCTCTGCCCTTTTCAACACGTCTAATATAATGGAAATATTTCACTTAGCTTCTTATCGTACAGCTTTCACTTTGCTTACAATTAGATCTGGGTTAATACTTCGAAGCAACTACCTTAACCACCTCTATTGTATTGTTAAAGTACTTCCTACCAACTCTGAACAACGTGAACTCCATTAAGCAGTTGAAAGTGTTTATAACGTACATTGTATCGGTTGTGTTAAACCGTGGAATAAGTTTCACGCAGGATTCAATTTCTGAACCCCATGGGAATTTCAAGTGACGTTTAATGCAGGTTCTTTGTAGTTAACGCATTCTACATGGAACCATAACCTATATATTCTTAACGACTAACCCTAGTTGTAAGACCAACTAATCGCGGAACAAATTCCCTAGTAACCACAGACAAGATGGGTATGAGAATCGATTATCGATTGTTGCTTTTGATATAAAAATGTAAATACCAAAGAATAGATTTTCCAGGCGAATAAAGCTCGAATCATATACAAATATTTTGTTATAATGTAGTCTTTCTGTGCTTATCAGATACAGTTTTATGCTAAAAGTATTAACCGAGTTTCTTACCAATATAGACATCCCTTTAGTAAATATATTTGGAGTTTGTATTAAACCATATTTTTCTTTTGTATTATTGATTCGATAAATTGTTTTACTTTTCGTATACTAAAAATTCATTTTCACAAGTCTCACTGTAACAAAGCTGCAACCGGAAGATATTTAATTGTTAGTCAATGTAAATTTCTTAGACGATGGCAATTTTTCACGAACATCCGGTTACGTCAAATCATTTTAAGTATTCACTGCCGATTCTATCTCTGCTTTCGTCGTAATTCCACTTCCAGTTTGTTTCATGTGTTTTTACCGTCGAATCTTGATATTTGAACACCAATGTTATATGCTTAGTGATATCCGAGTAAATCTAATATACAAAGATATTTTTATGTTTTTTCATTTATTTTATTATACTCAAACTAGATAATGGTTGATAAATTTACATCGACTTGACTCAGTATAATTTAGCACAACTTTCCTCTCGGTATATTCGGTCATTGAATTACTTAGCATGGGACAATTGAAATGAGTATTGTGGTAGTTTGCTGATACGAACTGGGTTATGCATATATTATCGATCGATTTATAAGGAGCAAAATAAATTCAAAGTATATATATATATATATATATATATATATATATATAT